TTAAAACGGCTATAAATGCAAAGAAATATAATTATATTTGTCCCATTAACTATTAAGATTTAAAATGCACCTATTTCATTTGCCAGGCCCATGTCTCGTAGTCTCTTCTACATGTATACTTACAGAAGCCCACAGAAACATATAAAAGAATGTTTGTTGAAACATAACAGCAAAAAAAGGAGATTATCTAAATGTCCATTAGTATAGGACTGTATGAATTATGGTTTACCCCTATAATGTAATATTATGCCATCATAAAAAAATAAGGTATTGATATAGAAAAATGCCAAGCTTATCTTAAGGAAAAATAATCAAGTAGTCAAACAGTGTGCATAGTGTAAAAGCAATTGTACACTGAAAAGGATATATGTGTTAGTCTGTCAATACACATGTAGGAGTGGCTACTACACATGGGCCTGGTAAAGTAGGTGCATTTCAAATTTTAATAGATAGTGAAAGGGACAAATAAAATTGTATTTCTTTGCATTTATATCTGTTATAAAATATGGCATGCATTTGAAAGTAATAAACTGAATTTTATTAAAAATTATGTTTCAATAAAGACCACTAAAACCAACTTTCTCAAGATATATACACATCTACTCAAATACGAATAGACTATTCCTGACATGGTGCATAAAATCTGTCAATAATTCTTACCTTTTAGAAGAAAACTACAGTTAAATGATATGTATGAGGGGAACAGTTTTATTCTTCACCATCTGTCCTCTCAGTTCATAGAAATTTTGCCACTTCTGTGTATTATTTTAAAATAATAGGTAAAATAATTATGTAAAAAAACTATTAAATTTATTTTACTTATGTTAAAATTTAATAATAGTTATAGAAGTTAAGGAAGCCCTTTAACATTAAAGCCTCTACCTTGGACTAAAAAATATTTCCAGGCATGTTAAAGGAAAAACAAGACACTTCATTGCTACTTAGTTTAAATACTTACTGATTTATGGTGAATAATCCCCGAAAATTATCTCAGTACAAAATGAACTTTCACCATTATTTATAAGAATTACTTATATCACCATTTGAGAGGCTCAAAATTTGAATTATAGTAGCCCAAATTGAGTCCCCCCCCCCATGTTTATGCTTCTCTTGAAGTGTCATGGAAACATTTGATACTGATTCAACCACATTGAGCTCTTCATTTGCAGTGTTAGGCTTTTGTGCAGATGGCGCCTGATCATACGCTGTGTTTGGATTGACTCCTGTTTTTCAGAATTGGAATTTAGTGAAAGATTGTTTTCCAATGTCTAATCATCTATTTAATTCTCCCCAATGTAATGGAGGTTTGTTTTAAAAAATGAATTATTTGTCCTTCTTATGATTTAATATGATATGTTTCCAGAGTTATTTTTTTAAAGAAAACTTCAGTAATTTATAAAAATTCTTGTATGTTTTGCCACTCTCATATTTCCCCCACATTCAAAGACTGTCAACTTCCATTGTTTCCTAAACTGGTATCGTATTTCTTGCAGTTATCTTCTTTGTTTGTACTTCTCTCTATTTCTACTTTCTTGTCTTTGTTTCTACCATCTTTCTGTTACTGCTCACTGTGAGTATTAGACTTCTGAGAAGAGAAGGTCTGATTGGATTAGTCACTGTCCAGTATAGGGAAACACACAGTTCTCTATCCATGTCACCTCATTGACTGTTACTCTTTCATGCCTGGCCAATACAAAGTTGATACCTGGTTCAATCAGATATATACAGAAAATCAGGGTCATCTGAATCATAATGTCCACTCATGCACTTATAATCTAATCTGTGTACACTTTGACAGTCCAACAGCCCAAGAGAAGATATTTTAACTTCTGTTCAATTTACCCCCAGCCCTACTAAAAAAAAAAAAAATAGGTCATTGAATATGAAATATCAGATTTTAAATCAAGTGTAGTTTATTATTAATATATCTCAAACAAGAAGCAGTGCAGTTAATCAACGTATATTTTTACTTGCAAGAAGTGGTCCAAAGGCTGGAAGAAGTGGTAGTCAGTTGTGCAAAGTCTGGTGAATATGGTAGATGACAGAGTTTCCAAGTCCAGCCTCTGTAGTCTGAGTGTTGTTTGTGTGACATGTGGTCAAATGTTGTTTTGCAAGAGGATTGGCCTGTCTCTGTTGACCAATCTTAGTTGCTTAATCATAAACATCCTCCTTATTTCATCCAGTTGGTTGCAGTAGACATCCACTGTAATCGATGACCAGGTTTCATGAAGCTGTATTAGAATACCTAACAGACATGATTAGTTTTTTATTTTTTATTTTTTGATGGATATTTGGTTTTGGACTGTGTTGCCACTTAGTCTGTGTCCACCCATTGTGCCAAACTCTTGTGATTGTCAAAAAGAATCCATGTTTCATCACATGTAACAATGTGGTGTAGAAATTGTTCGCCTTTATGTCATGACAGCAAAGAAAGGCAAGTTTGAGACAACTTCTCTTCTGATGCTTGTTTAATTCATGTGAATCCCATCTATCCAGCTTCTTTACCTTGCTCATTTGTTTCAAAGGGTCCCATATTGTTGGAATAGTAACATCAAACCTTGCTGCTAATTCACACATAGGTTGAGATGGATTTGCTTCCACTATAATTTTCAGCTCCTCATTATCCACCTTGGTTTCAGATCATCCATGTGGCTCATTTTCAAGGTTAAAATCACTAGAACGGAACTTCTCAAACCATTAGTGTACTGTGTGTTCATTAGCCACATCCTTCCCAAGCACTTTGTTGCTATTTCAAGCTGTCTGTGCTGCATTGGTTCCATGATGGAACTCATATTTGAAAATAACACGAATTTTTGACATATTCATAGTTTCACAAAAATCGCTCTAAAAATTTTGACAGATAATCACAAGCCAAAATGTGTGTTTGCAAGACTGAGGGTGTACCTTCACAATAAAAATAAAATAAGAAGTGTTAAAGTGAAATGTCAAAGATACCTTAACTGTCAAATTTAGTACTTAAGGAAATCGGACATTTCATACTTAATAACCTAGAACTAGCCTAGACTAGAACAAAACAGAATAGAATAAAATAATAAAATACATCTGCCTATGGGAAAATTTACATTTACATTGCATAACCCACAGGTCTAGGTTCAACTCAAAAATAGTGTAGGGGGAAAGACACAGGCCTTATGTTCACATAAAGTTTTCATCTCTACTTGTAAACTTCTAAGGTAGACAACCTTGGCTCTTAGAGATTGTGGCCGCCTCTGTAGAATAGGGATGGATAACAATATTTCTTTGTAGGATTGATGTGAGAATTTAATGTGACCATGTATGTAAATGGAGTAGAACAACAGAGTAATTATCATAGCAGTGAGCATTTGAGTGCTTCCCAGGGGCCAAGCCTTATTCTAAACCCTGTTTGCCTATTAACTCATTTAATCCTTGTAACAACCCAATGAGATAATTATTCCCATTTCACAGATGAGGAAACTGAGACACTGGCAAGTTCTCTAACTTTCTTGGGATTGTACAGCTAGTAAAGGAAGGAGCCAAGATCGCATGTGTCATTAAACATCTATGCTACAATGATCCTCTCCATGAAGTCAGTGCCCCATATCCTGGTGTCCAGGACTTGTTTCTGCCCCCAAGTCCCTGCAACCTTCTGGGTTCCATCCCATGTCCGACCCCAATGTGAAGTACCCTTATACCTTCTCCTCCATCAAATCTAACCACAATGCTCAGTTCACAGTGTTCAGTGACTCCCCTGGGAATTTGGAGGGGTGGCATAGGGTTAGGGATTATATCGTGTACCATTTTGCATGCTCTCGGCCTCCTCCCCAAAGCTGAGATTCACCAGCTTCTGTGGGATTATCTCATGAGGAGCAGCAGTTTTAGGCCGTGCTGCTTTCTTTGGAATTCTGGTGGAGAAAATGTCTTTGGCCCTTTTACATCTTATGTCTTCCTGTTCTCTCCTCTCCTTTTGTGAAGCACTGAATATTTTAAGTAGGGTTAATCCTTAAGCCAAACTGAAGTAAGTAATATTTACCCCTTTAAACCCCTCATTCTGTCAGTCCTTTCTACTTCACTCTTTCACATCGCAGTGAGTCAATTTAATTAGAAGCTTTCAGCCACTGAAGAAATAGAAGATTAGTGGGAGAATGGGAAAAGGCCATTTAAAGCAGAGCTTCTCAAACTTTAATGTGTGCATGAATCACCTAGAGACCTTGTTAAAATGCAGATTCTGGTACAGTAGGTCTGGGGTGGGGCCTGAGATTCTGCATTTCTAACAAGCTCCTGGTGATGTCATTGCTTAACGGTCTATAGACCACACTCTGTATCAAGTTTTAAAAGGTGACACCCTAAGATGGCAGAGGATTTATCCTATTTCCAGGCACATGTAATTTATCCTATTTTCCAGGCACGTGTAATTAAAAGAACATTGGGTCTCTCTTAGTAGGATTTAGTTAGTGTTACTGGTTGCTAGACGATACTTCACAATTTCAAACCCTACATGTGGCAGCTTATCAGTAAAGCCATTCCTAGTTTGAAAAAAAGAATAGTATAAACTTGTCTGACGGTCAAGTTTTGATATAACACAGTAGAAACAGGCATTTTCCTCTATCGGTATAATTTAAGGATTTATATTCATTTTTACTTAGCTCCATGTGAGGGAGCATTGCTTTGCTGCTGCTCAAGATCTAGTATCTTATAACTATGGAAATAGATGATTAAACTTATTCTTCTGCAAGGACCACATGCCTATTTCAATATCTGTTTCTTTGTTCCTCTAATATCTCCTACATAAAAGGAAAGTTAAGTCAACTTTTATTTCCCTGCCTTTTGATTTAGATTCAGCTCACTTGGAGTGTTTATGAATAATTCTGTTAGAAATGATTTGATAATGCTAATCTGAATAATGAAATATTGTTCACAGCTTTAGATATGGAGATGCAGTGTTAGCAGAAACCTCCTGTGAAATGACGTGGCTAATTCTTGTGACGGCAGAGGCTTACGTCCTCTATTTCTATTTTCAGGGAGGAGAGCACTGTTACTACCAGGGCCATATCCGAGGAAACCCTGCCTCATTTGTTGCATTGTCAACATGCCATGGACTTCAGTAAGTGTTTAAAAATTTATTTGTACTGTTCATTCTTTCAATAACTTTATTTTTCTTTTTCTTTTTTTTTTTTTGTGTTTAACATTAGGCATACAAGCTAATAATAACTTTATTTTTAATGCACTGGAATAGAACTCCCTATTTTGTGTCAAGAATAATTTTAAATCAGTGATGGATCTGATTTGTTTCTCTCTTATGTTTTATAAACCAAGAAGATTTTTAAATGAACAGTTACAGAAACCAAAAGCTTTTGAATTATAATATATTTTATAGTGATATTCGAAGCACTTTTCTGGTTTCATCCAAATTTAGAAACGAGTGATTTGGATAACTTTGGCTTCTATTTCTGTGGATGTTTAGCCCCTTGATAACAATTCTACTCCTACTTCTCCTTGATATTCATTTTTATATTTTCTTGGAATAATAGAAATTTCAGTAGATGGAAACTCTTGGCGGCTTGCACAGGGACAAAAGGCTGCCAGTAACCTTAAGAGCTTATGTATTTTAGCCCTTTTAGTCAGCTGGAATCCCACCTAACTCACAGCAAATTTGTGGGAGGATCTGTGTCTGTTCTCAGAGATCTCCAAGGAACAGAGTTCATCCTTCCTTGGGGCCTTGCTTCCTTTCTCATAACCTTCACTATCAAAGAATGTCTGCTGATGTTGAACATGGGAATGGATTACTTCCTCCGTCTTGTCGATGATACTGATACACAGGTGGCTATCTCTTACTTGTTTTGTAACCTCTTATAAAGCTACTGTGTCATTCCTCAGCATTCTATTTATTAACAGACTAAATTATCTCATTTCCTTCTTGTTTGTTTTACTTTTTTTGTCACAGAACAAGCCAGCACTTTAGTTTTGTTAAATTTTTGTTGGGAAACTTAAATACTTTCTTTCTGTTACCAGGTTAGAGATGTGTTTTTTCATCTAACAAGCAGTTACTCGGTTTCTGCCATTTGCCAGCCACTAGCAATATTAAGGCAATTCAAACATGAGTCTTGAGAACTCTGTTTCATGGGGTGGGTGCAAATACAGCCTAGCTTCTTGCTATGAAATGTGATAGGTATATTTCTTTTCTTTGAGAGAGAATTTAAAAAAAAATGGGAAAAATGCAAGCTGGGCATTGGCACTGAAGAAGAGGTGGAACTTGAGAGCTTTCAAGATATGTCACTTAAAGAAGGTGGCGTACAATAGGCTTTGATAAAATTATCCAAGGGAGGGAGGTTAGATCAGCAGATCTTAAATCTAGAAAAGAGATCTATTGGGAAAGACTGGAAAATCTAGCTAGACTGCTCAAGTGGCACCTCTGGCCAGGATCTGGGAGTAGGGATGTAGGCAGAAGGGAGAGAGTATAAGGATGAGTTATTTGATAATCAGAGAAGAGAGGCCATGTGCCTAAGAGCATGGAAGACTTCCATTTGCTTGTCATTTATTCTAAAAGACAATTTTACTTACTTTAAATAAATGTATAAATTTATTTATTTTAAATAAATTCTTTGAATACAGAGATTTTTGCAAATGTAGAATCCATGTTTAATATTTGGCAGCTTCTGTTTTCTTATTAGGAAAAAGGAACATTGACATCCTTTTCAGCAGTAAAATTATATCTGCTCTCAAGACAAGCACAGCTTTCACCTAGGAATAGTACAGCTGTGCCTGTTGACATTTGTGATTGCACATACATACTGGAGAGATGAATGAGATAAAACATAAGATTTATTGTTCTTCCTCTCTCTTCCTTTTAAAATCTCAATCCAAAGTCAGAATGTGAGCTCAGTACTTGTTCCAGTTTGCCTTCTGGTTTTCCAAATGGGACCTGTATTGTGGCAATCAGAGAGATGATATTAGTGCCTTCTGAGGGTTCTGACTGACCTGAGAACCTAAGAATGATACCTTGCTACTAATCCTCATGTAGTCATTTAAAGAAGGATGGAAAAATAACTTTTAGGAAATTTATAGTAACTGGGTCCAGGAGTAGAACTCAGAATCCTGCCCCAGTTGTTTTAACTAAATAAATTTTACTTTTAGAAACTTTTAAAAATTTAAACAAAAATAAACAGAATTTACTGTGTGTATAGGAACACTGTCAGAATTGTGTCAACCATTTTGGGCTTTCTTAGAATTTTATGAGCATGTTGTGTAAATAAATACTTATACCTCTTATATTTCCATTGTCATCTTGATTTAACCTTTTGAACAAAAATTTCTGAAAGAAATATTTTGGGGGATATTATTAAGTAATTTATATTGTCTTATTTATAGTGATTTAGATATGCTATATATTATTTCATCCATGACTCATCCTTTATAAATTACCAAGTGCATATTGAGGTTTTTTTTCATTTTTCTGATTTATTGAATTCAGTTAAAGGACATAAAAGGGGAAAAATTGGGTTCATATGTATTTTCTATAAAGAACCTGCAAAGGCACATTTCTTCAGATTCAAAGGACTAACAAGCAATATTTTGGTATGTTTGATGTGACAAAATCCTGTAACTATAGGAACCTTGAAGGATGGAATCAAATGTGAGTTCATTGCCCTCTTGTGGAAATGTGTGAGAATGGCTATTTCCTTTCAAAATCTTGTTTTGATGCAGCCTTTTTGAATTTTAGCTCAATTGGTCCATGATGACGTTCTAGTTGCAGGTTTTTATGAAGTACACACTATTGTACACTTAATATATTAGAATTTATATACATATAACAAGTTATCAATTCTCAAAATAGTGTATTTTTAAATAAGCAATTAATAATGGTATATTATCATATAGCAATCCAGAGTCTTCCAAGGTGTAGATGGTGGCAGAATATGTTTTCTTTACACTGTGTACATGATGTTTAAACCCAATAAAAAGAAATGATTTTCCCATTGAACGTTAACCTAACACAAGGGTGAATAACACCCAGTACTATTTAACCAAAATAATCTGCTTGCTACTTTGTTGGTGTTGCCATGTGAACTTTGGCAAAGGTTTTATGTGATTTTCTGGATGAATCTGGCCCATTCTCAGCAGGGGAAGGGATAATGTTCACTGCCATATTTGGTCTACTGTTATGAAAGGGCTGCCCCCTCTAATTCCTTAGGCATATGCTATATTGTCAGTAATATCCGTACAAACTGCATCTGTTTATCTTTAAATTCCAAATGCAGTGTCATCCAAATTCAGAAAGCACATGTTGTTTAAAACTGTGCAGATGTGAGCATAGCCATTTTATGCATATATAAAAGTTGTGGACATGTGGAAGATGTTACAGCAGGAATGAAGGAATTTGGATAGAGGTGGAACTGGAGGCCATTACAATTATAGCCCAGGGAAACCAACATTTCACTAAGGCATCAACGAAAGACAAATACTATTCTGTGTCTAACACCTTGGCCTGTCAAGCAGTCATTTCCACCTAAAACTGAAAAATTAGAAGATCACACCTTTGCTGCCCTCAGATGCCAGAATAAGTTTCTTCAGCATTGTAAAGGGCCTGATCTCAGTAGAAAGATCATGTTGTCCTAAAAGGAGTGACTATCAGGATTTCTCCAAGTGGAAGACAAGGTCATTTGTAGCTTTAAATGATCTCCAGAGGATTTCTCAGATGGCTGATAACCACCTCCAGCCTGAGAGGTCCAAAACTGAACTCTTGATTTGTCCTGCACCCTGAACCCTGCTTCCCTGGGCCCATCTTGTTAAATGGCAACCCCGTATTTTCAGCTGCTCAGGTCAAGACCTTGGCATCCTCATTGACTCTTTCTTTCATGTTCCATTTCAAATCCACCAACAAGTCCTGTTCATTTTACTTTCGGAATGGATTCCAAATTTTACCAGTTCTTACTACCTCCACCATAACCATTCTAATCTAAGCCACCATCTTCTTTTGCCTGTATTATTGCAATAAATTCCCTGCTTCTATCCTTATAGTCCTAAAGATTATTGTAAGAGAGCAGCCGGGGTGATCATTTTAAAACTTAAGGGAGATTGTGTGTCCCCTCTGCTTAGACCCTTGCAGTGGCTTCTTGTCTCTCTCAGAGCAAAAGCCAAGGCCCTCAGGGTAGCCTACCTACTATGGCCCCACTCTGCTCCTCACTGGCTCCACTCCAACCACGCTGCCTCCTTGCTGTTCCTGGAACATGCCAAGATTCTTTTACCTTGGGCTGTGTCTGAAATGCCCTTTGTGTGGGTGTCCTCATGGCTCGTCTCTTGCTCCTTTCAGGTCTTTGCATACATATCATCTTCTGTGAAGCCTTGCTCTGACCCTGTATAAACCAGCAGTTCTCTTTGGTTCTCACACTCTATCCTCTGACACCCATTTATTGCCTTTAACCTATGTTATTTTCCTCCCTAGAAATTATCACTGTCTAATATGTATTTACTTATTTATTATATGTTTATTGTGTGTCCTCCCTCTTTGTTAGGCCATCTTGTTAAATGGCAACTCCATATTTTCAGCTACTGAGGTCAAGACCTTGGTGTCCTCACTGACTCTTCTCTTCCTTGCATATTTCATTTCAAATCCATCAACAAGTCTTGTTCATTTTACTTGTGGCACATCAGCACCTTGAGGACATAGAATTGGTCTGTTTTGTTTGCTACTGTATCACCAGCATCTAGAGCAGTGCATTGTAGGTGCTTTATAAATACCTGCTGAATGAATGAAGATGGGTAGCAGATTGCAAATGAGCAGTTCATGGACCCAGCAGCCTGGGCTCTACTCCTGCCTCTCCTCTCACTGGTTATGTAATTTGGACAAGTTACTTCATCTCTTTGGACTTCAGTTTCCTTACCTGTAAAATAAGGATAGTCATTGTACCTCTGTTACAGATTTGTAGAAAAGATTAAATGAGTGTAAGGTATTTAGTTCATGGCATGTTGTTCTAATGTTTTAATTGTTTTACTTAAGCATCTTCCAAGTGTGTGGTAGGTAGGCCCTATTGACAGCCTGCATCAGCATCACGTGGAGTCACAGCCCAGAAATCTGAGAAAGTCCTGAAGTTTTACAGGCTCTTCAGATGGATTTTTGCATATTAAAGTGTTAGAATTATATGTTAGAGGGAGGAGTAATGGACAACAGCTGGAGAATAGCAGGCCTGAGCATGAGGCTGGGTCAGACGGAGGGGACCCTATTTATGGGGAATCAGAAGGAGGGATCTTGCTGTCTCAGCAGTGTGTGTGGTGTGTGCTGTGTCCAGTGGTGATGAATGAGACTGGGAAATGTGCATTGAGAAGTTAACTGGTCCTCTGGCTGCTGCTGAGTTTAAAATGATCTTGTTCTGAGTTGAGAGTTGATAGCCATGCCTGATTATTTTCTTGTCCTTGGCAGTGGGATGTTCTATGATGGGAACCACACATACCTCATTGAGCCAGAAGAAAATGATACTTCTCAAGTAAGTGTTCCTTCTTTTTGTCATGGCAAATGGAAACCTTTATCCTGAGAACTTTTTTCCTATTCTTTTTTCTCTTTTATTTTCATATTTCTTACGATTAGGATGGTAAGCATATACATATAGATAGATGCTCCTTGATTTACGATGGTGCTCTGTCCCAATGAACCCATCATAAGTAAAAAATGTCTCAAGTCATAAATGCATTTAATATTCCAATAAATCCATCTAAAGTCAAAAAATTGTTAAGTTGAACCATCATAAGTCCAGATGCTTCTTGGTCTTCGATGGAGTTAAATCCTGATAAACCCATCATTAAGTCTAAAAATTGTAAGTCGGGGACTGTTGGTATTTTAAATTAAATATTGAATAAGTCAAAACCACAAGTGGTTTTATTGAAATGTCTTTTGTTTCCTTCTCTTTTATATTGGAAATACAATATTTTGCCTCTGAAGAGTTCTGAAGCCTCTATTTCCATCTCTACCCTAATGTGCTATGATCTGTCCTAGTCTGACTGAGCTACCACAGCAAAATACTTAAACCACAGAAATTCATTGTATCATACTTCTGAGGACTGGAAGTCCAAGATCAAGGTGCTAGCAGGGTTGGTATCTGGTGAAGGCTTTCTCTTTGAGTTGCAGACAGCTGCCTTCACACTGTTCTCACATGGCAGAGAGAGAGAGAACTTTGGTTGTCTTCTCCTCTTCTTAAAAGGGTACCAACCAGCTATATTGAATGAGGGTCCCACTGTTATGACCTCATTTAACCTTTACCATCTCCTTCCAGGCCCTGTCTCCAGATAAAGTCACACTGAGGGTTTAGAGCTTCAACATATACATTTTGGGGAAACACAAACTTCCAGTTTATAATAAATCAAATCTGCACATATTTGATTTTTCACCCCTCCCCTCTTTTCCAGATTCCAGATTTTTCTCTCTTGTTCTTTGCTTTTAAGGCCCTATGCAAATGAAGTTTAGAGAAACCTAGGTCTTCTTAATTTTCTCTCTCACTTTAGTTGAAACATTCATTTTCTACAGATTAGAAAAGGTTTGAGGCTGGGCATGGTGGCTCACACCTGTCATCCTTAGCACTTTGGGAGGCTGAGGTGGGAGGATTGCTTGAGGCTAGAGGTTCAAGACCAGCCTGAGCAAGATTGAGAACCCCTGTCTCTATAAAAAATAGAAAAATTAGCCGGGCATGGTGGCATGTCCCTGTAGTCCCAGCTACTTGGGAGGCTGAGGCAGGAGGATCACTTGAGCCCAGGAGTTTGTTGTTGCTGTGAGCTACGTTAATGCCACTGCACTCCTGGGCAACAGATGGAGACCCTGTCTCAAAAAAAAAAAAAAAATCAATATTATAGACTACAGAAAAACATAATACACTTTTATTCTAACTCTGCACATACAAATGTTTTTCCTCTTATCATACAACATTGGTCAAACACTTAGGCAAGTAATTTAAGGGAATGCACATTGTTTTGTCACCCATAAACAGTCTTGTCTGGGAATCTGTTATTATGCATTATTTTCTGAGTACCCACTGTTGTCCTGTCACTTTGCTTGACAGTGTGATTTTTTTTTACAATAATATGATAAAACTTAATATTCTAATTGTTTTTTAGTAATTGGATGAAGCCAGACTAAATTCTGTTATTTAAATGTTTATTCTTCTTAGAAGAAAAATGTGACTTTTTATCTATTACTTTTTAATAGCACTTTATATGACACTTGAATTTTGGAGCAGAGTCCACTTTGGGCATCTGCTTCTATCAGACATCCTGCTTCCCAATACCAGGAAGATTGTTAGTGCTGTAGTCTTTGCCTACCAAAGCCATCTGACTTTTAAAAGGGGCAGGAATCTGTGAAAGGAACCACTCATAAAAAAAACATTAACCTATTTTCCCAGATGTCTTCTCCTGGGGGAATAGATCCATTCATTTATTTTCCATTACTGCAGGCCTTGGCTTCTCTGTCTGTGAAGGCATTTTGCTTCTAATTGGATATTGCTCTGGTGCTGGGAGAATATGGGAGTGAGTAGGAGGGGTTGTGACATGGCTTACTGCCTCTCTGGACCCAGGAGAATACATAGTCAAGCTACAGTTCTCTTAAGGGTCTCCAGCTATGATTGCCTGAGGCTGGAGATATCTGGTTGTACTTACTTAATCCCTGTTGCTTATGTCATTTCAGGAGGATTTCCATTTTCATTCGGTTTACAAATCCAGACTGTTTGAATTCCCCTTGGATGATCTTCCATCTGGTATGATGTTCATATAGTGACTTTTCTTTAAAGGACAGCTTCAACAATTCCTTTAGTGCTTTAGAACTAATCTATGTATAGAATATTATTAGCCCACATCTGCTCATGGCAATTTTAGAGGGAAAGCCAAGTCACATCAAGAGGGAGAATAAAATGCAAACTGGCCTCATCTTTATAGTGGATGAGTTTGGAAAGATGTGGCTTAAGCACATTGAAAGAAAACTTTAATAAATTTTAAGATGAAAAGTAAGGTACTAGAGAAATAATGTTAGAGTAAGAATTGGTCTATATAGATAAATTATGTAATAATTCATCTTGGTGAAATAAATGGTGGTTCATCGAGGGATGAACGCAATCATTTTCCCATTTGTTGTTTTCCTCATCTTTTTTGCTTCGGCATTTTAAGAAAGAACTGTTCTTGATTAACCTTTGTTATTATTAAGTGCTATTTGCAAAATTGCTCTTTTCTTCTCATGTATATTTATGGGTCAGTTTATACATAGACATTGATTCGAGGGTTGCATCCAAGTCTTCACATGACAAGAAGAGCAGTGCACTAATACTTTGGCCTCTTTAGTGGAGCCATGATTATGCAGGGTGCATTTGTCTTTGACTTTGCTGGACTCGTTCATTTTCTCCTTCTGAAGACAGGGCACACTGAATAGCCGATGTGGAGATGGTTCCTCCCCTATTTAGTGAGCCTTCATTATTCTAATTTTGAATCTCATTTTAATCTTTGCAGAAGCTCTGTAAGATTGATATTATTTCCATTTTGTGCATGGGGAAACAGAAGCTCACCTAGTGTGTCTTTTCCAAGGTCCCACAAAGTTAAGTTTTGGAATATGACACTGTGAAAATATACTCTGGGAGAGAGGAACAAGGGGAAATGGAATGATTGCCAGCCTTAGAGCAAATCCTAAACTACTACTTAGAAAATCACTTAGGAGTTTACATTGTCTCTTCATCAGAAAATGAAATAAGTATTTTCTAACGGGTCCCTTCCTCTCTGTAGTAAGTTTGTAACTTCTTGTTATCCTACAGTTCCTCTAAAGAGAAGCAAATACTCTTACCCTTTCTCTTGCTGCCAAAGGGATAGAAGATTTTGTAAAATTCACTGTTTTGAAAAATCTGCAAATGGGCATATAGGTGCTTTCATTTCACACACACTTTTAAGACTATTCCTGCAGTGACCTTATGAAACTTTTTACAGTCCCTATTATGGGAAGAAAATAAATCATGACTAGCTGCCTGGGAATAAAGCTACAATTTAATAGGTATTACTGGAAGCAATCAACATTAATTAATATTTAAAATAATAAAGATTCCCCCCTAAAGACTTGATTGTAGGCTTGCTATTGTATAACCTTATAATTTTTTTTTAAGATTTTTGTTCAGGATTCGTTTTCAGCAGAAACTTTAAAGGTGACTTGGCAGTTTTGCTGCTATTATTATACAATGAGTTTTGGAGATATTCTTTGAAAACTCAGGTCTGTCTCAATTAGTTTCTAATTTTCTTTTCTCATAGAAATTGGCACTGTCATTTTTAAGGTGATATTTGTCTCCTATGATTACTTATGATTTACTATTATGAATTAGAAGAAAATAGGGAATAGATAAATGTCAAATAGTCAAAAGGCAATGTTGTGAACTATACTCTATAATAAGCTTATTTATTTTAGGATAAATAAAGTTTAACTGGGTTATGCAATACCAGCATCACTATCTTGCTAGAGGTTATGTATTTCCCAGAGATAGAAATATGATCAGGTGTTCCCCAAATTTGTTTGACTGTAGAACCTTTTATTTTACCTGGCACATCTCTCGGGACCACTGTTTCTAAAACTAGAATTTGGGAAAATCTTATTTTCTATAGATCACTTAGCAACCAGTTTTTAAAAAATTATATGTAATGAAATACATAAATCTTGTGTACTTTTCAATGAATTTTGACTTATATACACTTATTTTGAGACATACACCATTTCTATTATCCCAGTAACTTCCTTTGTACCTTTCCCAATCACTGCCTCCCACCTTTGCAATCTCTTTTCTGAGTTTTCTTCTTTTTTTTTTTTACTGTAGATTAGTTTTGTCTGTTGGAGAACTTCATGCAAATGGAATCATATATTATGTCCAGCTCCTTTTGCTTAGCATACGCCTATGAGATTTATGTTGCCAGCAGTAGCAATAGTTCATTCCGTTAAGTTACTCAGTATATTTTATTGTATGAGTACATCACAATTTTTTATCCATTCCTTTGATGAACATTTGGGTTGTTTCCATTTTAGGCTATTATGTATAAAGCAACTATGAATATTGTTGTACAAGTCTTTTGGGGGGCCTCTTATTTTCATTCTCCTGGTAAATACCTAGGAATGACATTGCTGGGTGATAGGGTGTTGGGTGCATGTTTAGCTGTATAAGAGTGTTCGCAAACTTTAGCATGCATCAGAATCACCTGGAGGGCTGGTAACAGATTGCTGGCCCTATCTCAAAAGTTTTTAATTCAGTATGTCATGGGTGGGTTTTGAGAATTTGTATTTCCAACAAGTCCCAGGTAATGATGCTGCTGGTACAGGAACCACTTTGAGAACCACTGTTTTATGAGAAATTGCTGAACCTTTTCTCCCAGTGGTCATATTTGATGCTGTCATCAGCACTGTGTGGGAGTTTTAGTCGCGCTACATCTTGACCAACAATTAGCTGTGTCATTCTTTAATTTTAGCTATTCTGCTGCAATGTGGTGCTATCTCAAGTTGGTTTAAATTTGCATTTTTCTTATGGCTAATGATGTGTAGCATATGCTTATTGGCAATTAATCAGAATTTTTTTGTTACTGAGTTGTAGGAATACTTATATGTTCTGGATATAAGGTATAAGGCCTTTATCAGATATAGTTTCTGAATATTTTCCAAGTCTTTGGCTTGCTCATTCACTTAACTAACGGTGTCTTGTGATGTACAAACGTTTTGATTTTGATGAAGTCTAACATCAGTTTTTATGGTTACTGCTTTCTCTATCCTAAGAAATATTTGCCTGCCTCCAAGTTGTGAAAATAGTCTCCAATGTTTTCTTCTAAAAGCTTTATGGTTTTATTTTTTATGTTTGGATCTACGGTACTCTTCAAATTACTTTTTGTGCATGCTGAAAAGTAGGGATTGAGTTTTTATTTTATCTTATTTTTTGTGTGTGGATATCCAGTTATTCAAACATCATTTGTTGAAAAGTATTTCCTTTCATCATTGAATGCTTTGATGTCTTTGTCAAAATGTATTATTAATAATATGGGTCTCTTCCTTAACTCTATTCTATTTGGGTACCCTTATCATGCTTTTTTGCTTATATTAAGTTTTGAAATCAGGTAGCATAAATCCTCCAATTTTTTTTTTCTTCAGATTTGTTATGGCTATTTTAGGTTCTTTGCCCTTCCATACAAATTTTATAGCCAGCTTGTCAACTTCTACAATTCTTCTGGGGTTTTGATTAGAATTGTATTGAATGCATAGATTAACTGAGGAAAAAGAGACATCAGAACTAAGTTTTCCAGTTCATAGACATAGCATATCTCCTCATTTATTTAGGACTTTTACAATTTCCCCCAGTGTTTGGTTATTTTTAGTGTGGAGGTTATATTATTAATAGTTACCTATTGCTATGTAACAAATTACTCTAAAACTTTGTGGCTTTAAGCAACAAACATTTATTATGTCACAGTTTCTGAGAGTTAGCAACCTGGGTTTGCTTTAGCTGGGTTCCTCTGGCCCAAGGTCTCTGGGATATAATCTCATCTGAAGGCTCAACGATAAAGGATTCGCTTCTAAACTCACTCAGGGCTGTTGTTAGGGCTGAGTCCCTCACCACATGGGCCTCTCTATAGGGCTGCCTGCTCCCCATCGTCTTGGAATAAGGCAGCTAGCTTGTTCCAGAAGAGAGAGAAAGAGAAAATGTTGTATCTTTTTGATGAACTGATCTTTTTATCATTATGAAATAGTGTTCTTTTTCCCTGTTGATATTTATTGCTCAATAGGCATTGAATTTTGTCAAATATTTTTTTCTGCATCTATTGAGATGATCCTATAATGTTCTTCTTGACTCTGTTAACATGGTAAATTGTATAAATTTGTGTTTTTCAATGTGAACTAATTTGCATTCTTAGATAAAGCCCACTTGATTATAGTATTTTTATATATTGTCAAATCTTTCATAATTTTTTTGAAATTACATAGGTTGATAATATAGGGTGATTTTTTCCTATTAGTATAACTCAATCATGTGAAAAGCAAATACATTTTATCACATTTTGGAACAGTGGTATAATTTCAAAGCACTTTTCAGTTTATATAAACAGTACCCAAGAATATTGATAATGGCTCTCCCTTAGTGTTGTGTAGCATTACTTCCATGGGAAGCTCCACATCAGACTCCTTCATGCTATTTAATCAACCATTAAAGTTTTAGTAAATCTATACCACAGGGAATAATTGCAATTTTTCTTTCACTTTGTAGAAAAATCCTCCCTTACAAGTAATCTAATCATATATCCGGAAATGAATCTATATGCATAAACAGTTGATGTATAGTTCTGACCTGCAAGTTAGAAGGAGTTCAGATTTTCACACCTGCTTCTAAGAGCAGACAAAGCCTGAGATAAATTTGATTATGGGCAAAGAGATCTATCAACTAATTGGAAAAAGTTCACTCAAAACATCGGTGTCCTATAATAATTTCTCGGTAAATCATGAACTTGTAAGTGTGTGATTATTCTACTTGCTTCCCATTGCTTCTTTTATTTTGCTGCCTCAAAAGGTTAGTAATGGAAGTGTGAAGGTCAAGTTGGCTATTTAGGAGATTCTTGATAGAGAATGTGATAGTATTTATAGGAGAAATATGAAAAAAATTGAGATAAATTAGAACAGAAATAAAGTTTGAGATTTTATGAATTGTAATTAATCACTATATATTTGGTATTAATATAATATAGTTACTTAGATTAATGTTCTGTGTGAGCATTAAGTACAACATATATAATTCATAAGCAGGAAGGGTAGGTAAAACTTTGATTGCCCTGGATTAAAGAAATCTCACAAATGCACTAAGTTAAATTAATTTAAATTTAATTTTCTTCTAGAATTCCAACAAGTAAACATTACTCCACCAAAATTCATTGTGAAGCCAAGACCAAAGAGGAGTAAACGGCAGGTATGTGTTCACAGGTATATGTCATGATATTTTAAAACACTTGGCTGCCGATCATTTAAATCTACATTAAGTCTCTGTGAGAGAAGGATGAGTACTAGTTCAGGCTTGTGTCAGGCATGGAAAACAGAAAGGGCGGCAGATCTGTAGGAGCTTTAGAAATGGGACCATATTATTTCATAAACTCAAAAAGCATTCAAGATAGTGGTGATAACATGTCTCTTCATCATATTATGTATTAAGAGGCGTCCTGCTTGTGGCATCTCAGGTGCTTTCTACCATAGGCCTCTTTTCTTGCCCACATTTGCCCCACATCATGGAATCTTGTACCAGACATATCCTTGTCTTTATCCCCTTGAAGATAACTCCTTAAGAGTGAATATATTAGGTTTTAAAGTATCACTTGAACTACTTTGGAGTCCAGGATATAAAATCAGGACATAAGTTTTATGCTTGTTCAACTGGATCTTGAACCAGGTAATAATAATAACAACTATTTATATAGTGCTTTAAATCAAATGAAGTAGGTACTATTATTCCCCTTTCACAGAAAGAAAACTGATGGCTCTGACATGTGACAGTGACTTACCCAGAATCATAGAGCTGGTAAATTCTTTAGACAATGTAGTATCTCTGGCCATCAGAATCAAGATGTTATCACCACTGTGGTAGTGGTTTATGTGCGTTGGGATGGGTGCATAAAACCCCAAAAACACAAGATGAAGGAAATCTCTAGTAAGATCAAGCAGTTGAAGGAACCAGGTATCTTCTTTTTATTACTTTGAAATAAAATGACAGATTTTCATTGTGAATAATAATTGCTAAATTATATTGAATACTTACCACATGCATGGCCCTATTGTAAGAATTTTAACTGTATTAATATATTTAATCCTCATAATACCTTATGAGGAAGGTATTATTACAGTGTTTGGGATTTCAAATATTTTTGGATTTTGGAACATTTGCATTATACTTACTGGTTCAGCATCCCTAATCCAAAAATCGAAAATATGAAATGCCCTTTGATCATCATGTAGGAGCTCAAAGAGTTTTGGATTTGGGGGCATTTTGGATTTTTGATTTTTGGATTAGAGATACTCATCCTATCTTATTCTGATTTTACTGATAAAGGACAATGAAGCTTGAGAAGCTTGCCTGTGATAACATAGGGTGACCCAGTGGTGGAGCTGGGATTCTGACCTAGTAAGTCTGGTCTCAGAGAGTGCTTTTAACCACACATGCTCTATATATTGCCTCTTAGAAGCCCATGTGTTTTACAAATGACTGCCATGAACTTTTATATATATATATATATATATAGAGAGAGAGAGAGAGAGAGATAGATATTGTGAATACACATACATACACAAATAGATACAGAGACATATATACCTTGAAGCCCAGTTAGATAAAAATAATTATAATCAGTATTTAATTTGAAACACTATTTTTGTGAAGTATTAACTGAGAGAATAGGATAATATTCTTTCGACATGTTCCTTGAAGTTCTTCATAAGCATCTCGACATCCAGTCATTTGCTAAGCAGATAAACCCTTGACTGCTCTTTCTGAGATAGCTGTGGACACGTGGAAGTGAGGTGCTGTAAAACAGTGTGCTCAATATGGCCACTCTCTGACATTAAGAACATGTTGGGACTTATTGGAAAGTTTAGTGTATTAACTAGTAAAGTCTCTCCCACAATTAGCAAAGCAGATCCCATCATCTTAAAAAATCCCTCTCCTTTTTGTTTTAAAAAAAGACTCTTGTCATTGGATGCAATGTACTGTTACTTTTTGGTTTCCAACCTCAGAATTATAGTCTGTTATTCCCTATCAATTTAAGAGATTTTTTTTAAAGAAATTTTTGAGTTTAGGAATGCAATTAGTAACAAACAAAATTCATGTGGAACTTTTTTTTTTTTAGTTAGTTTTAAATGCAGCACTCAAGACATATGTATGTATTGATATAAATTTGATTGTATACCCTCATCACAAAAATGGCCCTTGGACAAGTCAACAAAAGATTTACTGAAAAAATATGTATTGAACCATGGCATAAAGGGAAATGTTAATTTTACAAACTTTCTTTATGATTGTGTTTTAGACTAACTGCAAAGAACAAAGGGAATGGCTGCCTTAGTGGCTCTTGCCTGTAACATTCATTGGTTGTGATTTTGGAGGTAGAGAATATTTGTTGTTGAGCAGAAGCCATCTAGCTATAATAGATAATCCAAGACTGCCTCGGGGGTTCTCAAAGCTATCCTAACAAAGCCCCATTGTCATTTCCCCATTGTCATTTGAAGGATGCCCTGAACCATACCAGAGGAAGGGTATGTCTCAATTCCAGTTTGGAGATTCAAGAATATAAGTGTCAGTCACCTCACTCCTGGTACTTTCTCAGAGATCCTCAGGACCTAAATTAGACTGAAAAGGATACTCTTTATGTATTACTATCTCTAAGAAATACTGTTAAATTAAAATAGTCTGAATGCAGAAGACAGTAAAATAAATGAAAGTACAACATAAAGTATATATTCATATTTAATTTTTTATGCATAAATATTTCTGGACTCGCTGTACCCATTGTGAGGGAAGGAGTAGGAAATGGGTAGAGTGGGGAGACCAGAGGCGAAAGGGAAGCCTTTCATCCTATGGCATTTTATACTTCTTTAATTTTTTGAAACATGTAAATTTTATTACCTCAGAAACTAAGTAAATTAAAATTTTTTTTAAATGCCAAAGGAATAAAAAGGGGAATTTTGTTGATTTCTTCAGTATTTTTTAGTTTTTCACAGCACAGTTTAGAGGGCTTATTTTGGTGCCGTTTCCTTTACTATGTTGCAGCTTCGTCGATATCCTCGTAATGTGGAAGAAGAAACCAAATACATTGAACTGATGATTGTGAATGATCATCTCATGGTAGGATTTACTTTTGTTTTTTTTTTTTAACTTTTGTCCATGCCTAGAGTAAAACTGGTGGGTGCAAAAATATGTTTAGAAGAAACAAGAAGCCCATCAAGTTATAACCTGGAGAAAGTATTTGTGTAACCAAACATATTTGTTAACCAGCAACAACGTGCAAGTAGGAAATATTCTTAGGTGAAGGTAACTAGCAATAATTTTTGAGGTTCCAAAAATATTTTTGTGGCTCATAATGCTACTCTTTGAATTTGCTTAATATAGGTACTACTAATATTTGACTCTCTACTTACTAAAATGACAGTGTTTAAGAAAAGTGGAAATTTCTATTTTATATTGAAAAAGTTAAGTGAGGCACCAATTATGTGACACTTTAGTTTGTTCATCGTTATCCTGATAAAAGCAATTTTCCTCTTTCTTGCCATGCAAAAAAAAAAAAAAAACACATGGAAATGTTCACATGGCTAAGCAGTGAAGATTAGTATAAAAATTCAGCAAAACTTCCTTCTTGAGTCAAATTATTTCAACCCATAGTGTGTATATTCAATTCATGGGCACATTGCAATCAGTATGGTCACATTCATAACACAGCAGTGAATTATAATGCTAATTGTTCCACATAACTATAGTTTTAAACTAAAAATGTTCAGTGATACACATTGCTGAATTTTACTTAATTTCAGGTACAAGTACATTTTAATTTACTTTGAATGATTTGAGGGGAAAATGTCATCTATGTATATATAATCAAATAAATAATATTGGTCTTTATTATTGCTCATTAGAATAATAACAACAATACAGTCAGGATTGAGTGCTGCTTCCTTGGTCAGTCTAGGTTTAAATTTTATTGTTCTACTTATTTGAATCCAGTGAGTGTTACTGTTCCCTGGGATTTTTATAAAATAATCTCTAAAAACATACATTTTGAACACTTTAGATAGTCATAAATTCAGATGTCTATAGACATACGTAGACAGAAAACACAAGTGAAACGAACCAGGTAAGTATAAGACAATAGGGAGGAGTGAGGCCTGTGGTGAAAGAGAAGGTACATGGTGCCTAAAGGGAGCAGCTGCCTCTCAGTACTTGCCAGTTATTACCACGTGGGGATGCCAATTTTAAGTGAGGCCAGAAATGATTGATATGTCTTGATTTTTAAAGTACCATAGAGGCCAAACAAAAGACATATAATTATGTGGTCCACATCTAGCCTATAGGCCACCTTTTTGTGACCTTTATCTTAGGTAAAGTCTTATAGAACTTGGAAATTTTTATACTTTTAGCAGTATTCACATTCATTTTTTCTGGCTATACTCCTACTTGGATTTGTGTGCCTTGCAGTTCATAGATGGCTTTCATGTGTTGTATCATTCTGAATAATAATCCTGATAAAAATAAACCTGTGAAATGGAGTATTTTTTACTTCATCTCCCAGATGAGTAAACTGAGGCCTCAAGCTTTTAAGAGCCTTGCCTCAAGCTCCACAGCAGATAAAGAACTTGGTCTCAACTTTGACAGTTTTCACTTGTTTTCTTTTGCTTTCAGTTTAAAAAACATCGGCTTTCTGTTGTACATACTAATACCTATGCGAAATCTGTGGTGAACATGGCAGATTTAGTAAGTATCAAGCTAATTCAATGTTGCCCTAGAGGAATTTGATCTCCTGGTTGTTAATAGAATGGATAAAATGGTTCTTATATTTTCACTGCTCTAAGTTTCACTTTAGCCAAGGTATCCTGTAAGTCCCTGGTGCCCTTGCAGTTGACTTTATTGACTTTGATCTCTGGCTGGGAAGAGGAAGTGGTGAAGGTTATCTATCCACAGATTTGCCTGAAATTCCTTCCTGTGTCTTTCACACCATAAAGATAAAGGTTGAGTCATATCTCCCGAAAAGATACTCACAGTGACTTTTAGTGTTGGTGAACTAAGAGTACCATAGTTGTGCCTTTTTCAAGAGTGCCTGGTGCTGTGGCAATAATGCAACTAAATAATTCCACTGTACTTCCGTATTTTCCTAATCTTCCTTGGGCAAAGCTATGCTGGTACCTTCTCCACAAGTTTAATCAGAGCCAGTCAGGATGTATAGAAATTATTTCATCTTCATTGTTTCACATTTTGCTAGGGAAACCAAGCACGTACAAATTCTTTTTCCAGGGTGATGTAAAATGGACTCAGGGGAACCTTGAGTAGGGTGCAAATATTTGTCAAAAAGGGATCATTTGTTTCTATAAAAAGTACTCTGTTCTTTGGGTATTACTCCTAAAACAATTTGATTCTGTTACTCAAGGGAAATTAGAAAAATAATTATCTCCCTTCAAAGCAGTAATGTTTCTTACCTTTAACTAAAGCTCAAGAAGTTCCCATGAAAGGAGCTTTATAGTCCTGTTCATAAATGATTTTACTTCACCACATGTACGGCTGATATGTTCATTTTATTAATATACTAGATATATAAAGACCAACTTAAGACCAGGATAGTATTGGTTGCCATGGAAACCTGGGCGGCTGACAACAAGTTTGCCATATCTGAAAATCCATTGATCACCCTACGTGAGTTTATGAAATACAGGAGGGATTTTATCAAAGAGAAAAGCGATGCAGTTCACCTTTTTTCGTACGTAACTTTTGCAATGATTTATCACTTTTTTTGATTACATGTTGAATGCTCTATTACTTGTGACTGAAATGTATCCTTTCTACTACATAACACAATTAGGATTTGACATGGCAGATACATTTGGAAGAAGTTTTAAAGTATAGGTTGTTTGAAGTTGTCATGAAAATGTAAGAGATTTAATTCTGAGTTATTACTGCGTGCCTGTTTTAATTTTTCAAGAGATTTAATCAGAGCATTTACTGAATAAAAGTACTACTAATGCCGGGCAAGGTGGCTCACGCCTGTAATCCTAGCTCTCTGGGAAGCCGAGGCGGGCGGATTGCTCGAGGTCAGGAGTTCAAAACCAGCCTGAGCAAGAGCGAGACCCCGTTTCTACTATAAATAGAAAGAAATTAATTGGCCAACTAATATATATAGAAAAAATTAGCCGGGCATGGTGGCACATGCCTGTAGTCCCAGCCACTTGGGAGGCTGAGGCAGAAGGATTGCTTGAGCCCAGGAGTTTGAGGTTGCTGTGAGCTAGGCTAACGCCATGACACTCACTCTAGCCTGGGCAACAAAGCAAGACTCTGTCCCTCCAAAAAAAAAAAAAAAAAAAAGTACTACTAATACTCATATAGCATATTTGTAACAACAGATAAATTATATTCCTTAACGTTGCCATCTTTTAAATGTTAACATTGTCTCTGTTTTTGCTTCTCAGGTGAGAGCTTAGTATTTCTGGAGTTTACTTTTAATTTTTTCTCTCTTTTTTTGGTAGCATACATATTATAATAGCAAGTTATATATAGTAGCATTTTTAAAACTTACTGTCTAAAGTCAAAACTATTGAAGAAATAATTGAAGGAGAAGATGTTATTTGGGGGAAACTTTTTATTTTCATATAATTTCAAACTTAGAGAAAAGTTGCAAGAATACTACAAGGAAATTACATATGTCATTTATCCAGATTTATCAATTATTCACATTTCCCTTGTTTGTTCTATGATTTTCTTCCTCCCTCCTTCCTTTCTTATATCCATTGATGTATCTATCAATTTTTTTCTTTTTCTTGAACCTTTTGAGGGTAAGTTGAAGACACTGGGCATTTACTACTAAATACTTCAGTGTGTATTCTCTAAGAATAAAGGGATTCTCTTATTTAACCATAGTAAATTATTAAAACCAGAAAATTTAAAATCAACACAATACTTTCATGTCATTTGCAGTCTAAATATTCAAATTTTACAAATTATCTTTTATAGCTAATTTTTCCCTATCCAGATCCAGCTGAGGATCACACATTGCATTTAATCATCATGTCTCTTTAGTCTCCCTTAATCTGAAAGATTTCTTCAGATCTTGTCTATTTTTAACTTAACACGTTTCAAGAGTATAGGCCAGTTATTTATTTTATAGACTGACCCTCATTGTGGGAATGTCTGATGTCTTCCCATTATGAGATTCAAGTTATGTGTTTTTGATACCATAGAAGTGATTTGTGTCTCTTTCTCTGAGTATGTCATATCAGCAATTCTTTTTTAACAGGTATACTTCAATTTAAATTATTTATTATGTGGGAAAACATCCCTCAGAAACCTTTTTCTTTGGTTATGTGTGGAAACAATTTTCACATTCTCCCCTTACTTTGTGAATGTAGTGTGTAGAAATTTTATGTACATTGAGAAAATAAATGTGGTACAATAATAATGACAGGTGCTATGATGTTTGAGCTGTGAGCAGTAAGCATTTTTCATTTCCTTTTCTAAAAGGGGAAGTCAATTTGAGAGTAGCCGGAGCGGGGCAGCTTATATTGGTGGGATTTGCTCGTTGCTGAAAGGAGGAGGCGTGAATGAAGTAGGTGTGAACATCTGTACAATACCAAGTGGTATGACGGCTGAAAATGTTTTCCTGATATTTAAGAGTTTATTTCTCAGTATTCCATATAACTCCAGATATTAGGTTATTACATTAACAATCAATATAGTTATTAATATTGTAAGTGACCAGAGGACAGAATAGGGAAATAATGCAAGATAATATGTGATAAATCTGTTCATGTTCTACTTAGAATAATTTCCAGATTAAGCTATTTATAGATTATATATAGAGAATCTTTACCTTCATTGAAAATAGACCCTATTTATTACTTCAAATGATTTTCCAGAGAATTGAGTAATTCCCTGAAGCATTGGGTTGTCATGTTACAACCCAATTGAATATTTTCTTCTTTCCTCAGTATTTGACAAAGTTTTTGAGAGGAAGAAATAGAATGACTTTTTCAAAGAATTCCCTTTACTACTAACACACTAAACCCGACGTAAGTGATCTAAAAGAAAAATACTCGAATCTTTGGAAGGCTACATATTGAAAGAAATATCCTCAGTTCTTATTTCTATTGGCCAAAGATCATCACTACTTGCTGTCACTCATTCCATTAGTTTTTGAAGCCACATTCTATTCCATTTGGAGGTACTTTCAGGAGTGCAAGTAGACACGTAAAGATGAATAAATTACAAATAATTTTTACACATGTATTTTTATTTTGTATTAACTAGAAGAATGTTTCAATCATTTATAAGAATTAAGATCTTCAGGAATGTCACTGGTGAAATTTGTACTCAGAATTAGATTTCAGTTACCAAACCCAAAAGTTGATGATTCACTGGCTTCTAGTCTTCCCTATAAGGCCTAATCAAACATGGGTTTATTTCTTCCTACTTCTTCCCAGCTGCATGTTCTGCACTAGCTACAATAGGTTTAGCCTCTGCTAAAGAAAATGTTCAGAAATTTCTTATTTTCAATTATATTGTAATATTTTTCTCTGGCCCATCTTAAGTGAAATACAATTTGCATTTACATATATTTTCTTTTTGTTTTTCAGTTTGGGAAAACTGATTTAATGGCAGTTACACTTGCCCAGTCATTAGCCCATAATATTGGTATTATCTCAGACAAAAGAAAGCTAGCAAGTGGTAAGTTTTAGTACACGTGCGATTTAGTTGTATTTAAAATAGACTATCTGGAAATATTTTGGAGAATGATATTCTTTGATTCAGATTCTTATACTATAAGAATGTCTACGGCACTCACTCTAGCCTGGGCAACAAAGTGAGACTCTGTCTCAAAAAAAAAAAAAAAAAAAAAAAAAAGTCCAAATAAAGAGCCAGAGCACAAAATACTGTCTTTAAAAGTAATACAAGGGAATATTTACACTCTAGATGAAAATTTCTTCATGTATAACCATTTAAAGCCTAGTAAGGTCAGGTGCAGTGGCTCATGCATATAATCCCAGCATTTTGAGAGGCCAAGGCAGGATCACATGAGGCCAGGAGTTTGATATTAGTCTAGGCAACATAACAAGACTCTGTCTCTACACAAACAAACAAACAAACAAACAAAAACCTAGCCAGATGTGGTGTGTACCTGTAGCCTAGCTACTTGAAATGCTGAGGCAGGGGGATGCCTTGAGCCCAGGACTTTGAGGCTTCATTGAGCTATGTTTGTGCTGCTGTACTCCAGCTTGGGTGACAGAGTGAGACCTTGTCACTAAAACCAACAACAACAACAAGGTGGGCATGATGGCTCTCATGCCTATAATCCTAGCATTTTGGGAGGCTGAGGCAAGAGGATAGCGTGAGGCTACAAGTTTGATACCAACCTGGGCAACTTAGTAAGACCCCCATCTCTACAAAAAATAGAAAAATTAGCTTGGCATGGTAGCTACGCGTCTGTAATCCTAGCTACTTGGGAGGCTGAGGCAGGAAGATTGTATGAGCCCTGGAGTTTGAGGTTGCTGTGAGCTATCATGATGCCACTGAGCTCTAGCCTGGGCAACAGAGTGAGACCCTGTCTCAAAAGAAGAAAAACAAAACGAAACAAAACAACAACAAAATCTGTGTAATAAGAAATTGATCATTGAATTTAACCTAAAGGGAAAAATAAGCTCAGTTTGGTGATTTTAAAGGGTCTAGTAGAGAATCCTGGGCATATAGGTTTCAGGCATACTGTTTTATTGTGGTTTATTTAAAATTTTTCTAAGTATGGCCACAGAAGTAGAACTTCCCTATCAGGATCAGACCTGATAAAAAGCTTAGTGAAATACGGACGTTAGTAAAATATGCAAAGTGTAGCATCTGGGAAGAATATCTTTTCCCAACTAGGTAAAGTTACTTCACCATGAATGGTCAAATACTCTCTATTTAGAGTAAAAATTTGATTATAAACATATTTATTTCATTATTTTAGTAATATTATAAATATGATTTTTAAAATAATACTATTTATAGAATATCCATTATATGCCAGATGATTGAATGCCAGTATCACCTACCTAGGTACTCATTTAATTCTCAAGATAATTCTACAAGGCACTCATTTTTAGTCTCATTTTACAGATGAAGTGAATAGATCTTAAAAGGATAATGTCTCTAAGAATATACAGATATTCAGCGGCAAGCCCAGGTTTTGAACCCAGATATTTCTAATTCTGAAGCTGTTCTCCTAATAACCAAAATACCATACTGCCTTCTGCCAGAAGCCTTAGTGCATAGGCTTTTAAAAATGGATAAGAAATTTTAATAATTTCTATAAAGGCCCATGTAATAGGGTTCTTTTATAATCGTGCCATAAAGTTCTTCACTATTCCATTGGTATTTGGTTGTCTCTAAGCCATTTTAAGTGGTTTAAATATGGCCATTGGTTAAAATATCAGAAGACTTTTTTTTCCCAGTAAAAATTATATAATCTTGATGGGTTCAAAGTATATTTTTGTTATACATTGCATAAAAAACTTCAAGTGTAAGAAGAATTAAAAAGCAGGTATTAGTTTTTAAAAGGTTTTTAAGGAACAAAGTAAAGATAGTATTTTGAAAATAGAAACTACTGTTGCTGTGTTCACCTTATAACAAGGCATGTGTATCCATGTTCTCTTAGGTGAGTGTAAATGTGAGGACACGTGGTCTGGATGCATAATGGGAGACACTGGGTGAGCCACTTCTGTTTGAAAATAACTCCCTCTTCCTTTCCCTACTGTGCTGTTGTCTTCTTAGGAATATGACACTTGATAACTTAGTGCATGGAACCTCACCACAGGCATTTATGAGAAAATCAGAAGTAAATAGTCTTAATGACCCTGTATATAAGATATTTTCACAAAAATAGCCTTTTATTTATGAAAACGGTTGATGTCAATTAAATTAGTAGACCTCAGAGATTTTTTTTTTAACCTGGAGTCTAGCCTAGAAATATAAGAAATGAGGAACAACTTTGTTTTTGATGGCATACCTTCTAATTCTCTTTCCTTTTATCTCCTTCAATTCTAATTAAATGGGTTACAAACAATAGTGTGCTGGTAAGTTGACTCTCAAACACAAAAATAAGAGAACAGCCTGGATTTGTGGCTTTCTCAGATTTCCATGGTGTAAATACACCCACAGTGGCTGATTTCACGCCATCGCTGATGGCTTCACAATGTGGTATCACTGGAAAAGGCATTGGGAAGAGCAGTGTACCATCTGCTCTCTTGAACAGTTTTCATTTTCATACCATCCTACCCTTTACACACTGTGAGACATCAATTCTTGTCTTCTTTTTTTTTTTGGTCTAAATAAATTTTATAATCAATCCTTTTATTCCTAGCTTCTCACTACTACCCTGCTTTAACCTTTGATCATCTTGTGCTGTTATTGTTTCGGCAACATTCCAAATACTTAGGCAACTTGCAGGCTCTCTCTCTCTTCCTGAGCCCCACTTCCATCATCATCACAAACGTATAAAGAATAAAATAGCAAACTCTGTAGATAAGTGTTCCAGCTATTTCCTGTTATCTAGCTTATAAAAATTAAAAGACTGCCTACCTGGTTAAATCTCCCTTGTGTTCTCCCTCATTGATCCTCAGCCAAGGTAACCGCTATCTTTAATTCGGTTCAAATTCACAGGTCTTTATAAATTTACTGTTTATATGTTTGTGTGTTGGAGTAAACCTAGTATTGCTTTGCATGATTTCAATTTATTTGAAAGACATCATACTGTATGTAGTCTTTTGTGATTTGCTTTTTTTTGATCAACATATCTGTGAGATTTATCCCTCAGTTAATATGTAGCTCTTATTCATTAATGCTGTTTGCTTGCTCAGAACTTTTGTGTCTCCGCTGTCTAAAGAGTAAAGTTTAAATTCCTTACTCCAGTATGTATATGTCCATAACCTTTCTTCATCCTAATTTGCAATCTTGTTTTCCTCTACTATTCTAGCTCACCATAATTGTACCTAAGTTTTCATCTTTCTTGGTTTGCTAACAATTCTACGTAGATTTCCAGCTTCTTAAAAATTTGTTCATTATAATTGTACATAAATTTACAACTTCTTTTGATTCCCCCAGTATATTCTCTTCATTGGGAATGTCTTTCTCCTTTTCCTCTAACCATATTTCTAAACATCTGAGATTTTATAATTTTAACCCCTGTATTATAATTTTATTCTATGGGTATTAACACTTGTTAATACCCAAATAGTTGTAAATTTTTGAGGGATTACATATTACACTAACTTGTATTACAGACCTCACATCGTGATCCTTTCTATACACGTGATTTTCAATAAACATTTATTTGAATTTTGAACTCATAGGATACAGTACAACAAGGAAAATAAGTGATAGAGGGAATGTATATGTATTTAAAATATTTTTCAAAGCATCCTTGGTCTTTCTGTTCAGTAATGAGAGAAAATGGTAAAGGTTCTACAATTATAATTTTCTAATAATTACTAAACTTCTTTTAAAAGCTATTTACTATATTTGATTATTCTGATGATTACTTTTTTGTAGACAATCTTCATAGCACTAAGCATAATATACAGTGAAATCAATGGCTACCCTTACATATGTATAGCTGTGTGCATTGGAACTCTTCTACATTAAATAGATACACGTGAGAGAAAAGTACTTTATATTAAACATTTTTTGATATAACACTAAATTTGATCTATACCAAATATCACAGCCCTAATTATGGATATATGTTTCCATGGGTGCATTCCCTCCCATTTCTGTTTTCTAAAGTTCCTCTGTACTGCTAAATGTTGGAAAGCGTGGTTGAAATTAATACCTTCAGTCCTATTTAACAGTAAAAAAAAACCTAAGATTTTTTAACTGAATACAATAGATGTGCACTACTCCACAAAGCAGAAGTTGTGGGGGCAGCAGCAGGAGAGAGACATGATACCTGCCTTTAGATACTTCAGGGGCTATGTTAAGGTAGAGGAATAAGGCTTACTTGAAAACAGTTAAGAACACAGAACTGTGTGTAGAAGTTGTAGGAAATCAAATGTGGTAAAATAAAGAGCAATTTGCAAATTTCAACTGTTTATATACAAAAAATGGTTCCCAGTGGGCGGGGAGTGAGTTTACTGTCACTGCTGAGTGTCGGAGCACAGCCTGAGTTGCTTCCACCTGTGCTGTGAGCAGGAGGCTGGGATAGGCTGTGACCCCAAGGGTGCCTGTGTTGGGGGGTGGGGATGCCTTTGTGGGAGGCCAGAGGAGGAGGACAGAACCCTCCTACGGGTTCTTAGAGTTAGTGACTTTTTACTTTGGCAGCAGGGAACCATCTCAGATTTTGACTGGTAATAAAGAGGGAACTCGAAGAAAGCCCAATATTAAATTCAGTAACTCTGGCAGAGATATATAGGATGGATTAGAGGGGAAGGCAATAAAGACCTGGGATGAGGTATAGGCATTAGAAGAAAAACAGAAGTAATGTATGTAAGAAACTTTTCAAGTAAAGTTTATTTCTTGTTTAGGAAAAGGAAGTGAAGGAAGTAAAGTAGTTGAGGCAACTTAAACCCACATTAGCTTTACAAGGAGAGTTTGGCATGAAACACTTCAAAAATGAGTTTAGGATAAATAATCATTATAAATTCCAGTAATTGATTCAGGAAGTATTAACCACTGTGTGAGAAAGAAGTGGGGATATAAATGGACACAGTCTTTGCAGGCTAGTGGGAGAGACTTTATAAAAACTATTCATTATTATTTTAATTGTTTTCTCCATTTTATCAAAGTTCAATATAAAACAATTTTTGGAAGATATAGCAAAAATTTTTATTGCTGCTTTTCTGCAATAGTAAGTAGGTATATAATACTGCAGTATTTATGCCAGTATTTTTCTCTTTCCATTTTATTATTGTCTTATAAAATTTGGTTCCTATTGAATATTTAGTTTATTAATTTTTTCACTTAACACTATATATAGTCAGCATTTTTGAGTCTATTCTTTAGCACTATGATTATTAATTACATGATATTCTGTTAATGTATCAGTTACCAGTTCTCTCACTATTGAACATTTAGGTTATTTTCTTATTATTACTATTATAAATTATGCTATCCTGATTATCTTTATTCATACATTTTTGTGCACATAGCTAATCATTTCCTCAAGAAAAATTTCTACAAGTAGAAGCACTAGATCTAAGAGTGTGCTCATGTTGAAGGTTCTTAATGCATATTGCCAAATTGTTCTCTAACCAAGTTCCTTTTTTCTTTTGACTTTTTACTACTTTTTTGGCATACATTTTCTTTTTTTTTAACAATCTCAAACTTGAAGAAAAGTTGAAAGATTAGTAACAAAGAATCTTTTTGTCCCTTGAATCATAAATTGCTAACGTGGTGCCCTATCATTCCTAAACACCTTAGTGTGCATTTTCTAGAAACAAGTATACCCTTCTACATAACCACCATACAAACAGTAAAATCATCTGATTCTTAGCCTTCATTTGAAATTGTCCCTGTGTTTCAATGATGTGATTTATAGCAAAAGGTTCAAGATCAGGCGTCACATTTCATTTTTATGTCTCTTTAGCCTCCTTCAGTCTGGAACAGTTCCTCAGTCTGTGACTTTCATGACTTAACACATTTATAGATTATAGGTCAGTTATTTCATAGAATGCTCTGCAGTTTGGATTCTAGCCCAGTTTTAATATTTAGGAATGATCCGTTGTGAAATAAATTTTTCCTGACTCTCCTTGATTAAAATTATAGGTACTGTACATGTGTGTTTCCTTTGAATGCATATGCAGTTAATGAACATCTCCCAGTCACTATTAGTCACCAAATCAAGAATTTAGAAATACACTGATTGAATAAAACTCACATGGATTGAATATAAATGTTGTACATGAGTAGAATTCTTTCATTTTAAAGAATAATATACAATTTTAACAAAGTTCAATTTTAAGACTAATTCATAAACAAGGGAGACAAGTTTTACCCAGCTATTGATTTTCTTTTTCTATAGCTATTATCTTCCTAAAAAGTTCACCCAGTGTAATATTGAAGAGTATCATGACTTCCTGAATAGTGGAGGTGGTGCCTGCCTTTTCAACAAACCTTCTAAGGTAATAAGTGTGATCAAGAGTTATTAATTATCAAATTTTAAGCCATTGAATCTTAGAGAACTTTTCAACGTGGCCTACATGTGTCTCAATATGCTAAATAACCGCATTTTCAAAGTCACCTTTAGTGTTAGGCATTTGGGGCTATTTTGATGAGGGAGAAAGCAAGTAGAAATAAGAGTGTTTCTGTCTGAAAAGTTTCCATTTTCTTTTTATATGGCAAAATGGTGAGTCTGAGTGAGCATACAAAAATGGTTTTATTTTACCTTTTTTATTTTCTTAATGCTTCCCCCCCCCCTTTGGATACCTAATCGCAGCTCATATAGGGAGAAAGGGGGAGATCTCTCCCTTCATCACTACCTACCACTGCCTTTCAGAATGAGCAGTGTGATTAACATTATACACACTTCTCAATTTGAAAAGCAAGGCTTCTTAAAGCAGAAAAGGAGAAAATCTTTCTGTACTTGGACTTTTTCATAGACTTTTTACAACTTGCAGAGCATCCTCTGGTCACTGACTAGAAAGCAGGTCTTCCTCCTGCATTTTGAAGCCTTTGCATGTTAAAGAACGCTTTGTCCTTGTTAGTTTTGTGAACTATGAAATGCTTTTGTGCACCACAGTGATATGTGGCATTGCCTTCATAATTTTACCTGGTTTAGTTCTCTATTCACTCCATTGAAATTCAGGAAATGTATCATATTGCATTGAAAAGCAAATTGACAATTTTAAGTCTCTGTAAAAGCTTTGGAAGAGATTTTTGAACTAAATCACTGCTGTCATAATAGCAATACAAGTCTTTTTACCAAAATAATTGATTATTTTAAACCCAAAGTAAGAGAATAAATTTATATTTCATATGGATAAGTTTCCATTCTGGCTTTTTTCATTTGCTATGATCACTTTCAATTGAAAATGAAATAGAGAAGAATTCACTCTTTTGTAGGAGAGGAGAAGGTATTTGAAATCTTTTTGTTTCCATTGTCTTTTTTCCCCTCTAGTTAGTTATGAGAAAGTGAGAGAGAGAGAGTGTGTGTGTGTGTGTGTCTATTTACAGGTGTTTGTGCAATTCCATTCTATAATATGTAAACTTTGATTAACTTTTTTGAGTGAATATTATGTATCTTGCACATAGCAGTTATTCACTATATACTAATTTTGCCAATCACCATAGGATAAATTATACTCCAAAGATAAAACTGATGGAGAGTTAAATAGTAAAAACAGACCTAAAATGTGCTGTTACACAGGCCAAAAATAGCTTTGATCTCTGGGACAAATTATTGTTACTGCTCTCTGCAAAGCTTTGTTAATAGGAGAAGCTGTATTTTATATTAAATAGATCAATGGATATATTAGTTTTTGTGGTGCTTTTCTTATTGTCTGTGAAGTAACTTTCTGTTTCAAAAGGAGATATTGTTAATAAAGGGCTTTCCACAGATGATTAAACTTGATCCTCAAAACAATTTTTTGATGTGGATGGATAGCTAATATTCTTGTTTTAGATATTAAAGTCTCTGACATAATAAGTAGTTTTCCCAAGATAAATAGTTGAGCCAAGATTTTAATCTAGACATTCTGACTCCAGATCTCTTTCCTACTGTTTGAAATGAAATTTTAAGAGTCAATCTGGCTTGGTTTGGGACAATAGTTAGATCATCTTTTATTTTGATGACATTCACCAGACCCTACCTGGTATGTATATTATATATTTATATAAGTATGTATGTAAAGCTGTATACTTTGTATATATTAAATATGAAATGAAAACAGAAGTAGACACTCTTGTTCTGAAGTTCTAAAGTCGTGCTTTCTAGTTTAGGAAAATAAAAATATATTTTGGAGTGACTAAGCAGGTATGACAAGTGTTTACAGGTGTGACACTTATGGTCTTTTTTCAGTCTTTGACACTGATTTTCCTATATTTTATTTCCCTTTTTGTTTTTCTTCCCACAGCTTCTCGATCCTCCTGAGTGTGGCAATGGCTTCATCGAGACTGGAGAGGAGTGTGACTGTGGGACACCTGCTGTAAGTGTGTGGGCATTTGATGATGGTTTTTAGGTAATTTGGGGTCATTCCATTTCCATACACTGAGACATACAGAGTGTCATGCCTGGACATTTTATACCATTATGGCAGAAAGATTATTATTGTGAATTTGTATATTTATTTAAGAAAACACGCTGGTACTTTTGGGAAAATGACACCATTTACTGCTGTTTTGCAAATGTTCATATTCCTTAGGAATGTGTCCTTGAAGGAGCAGAGTGCTGTAAGAAATGCACCTTGACTCAAGACTCTCAATGCAGTGATGGTCTTTGCTGTAAGAAGTGCAAGGTAAATAAATGTTAATTAGTGACCATTTGACAGAAAAAAGGACATATTAGATTGAATTGTTAAGCCTAATAATAATAAAATAGTATCTAGCACATATTAAAAGACTGAGTGCCAGGTACTTTACAGGATCCTCACTCAACCTTGTGAGGTGTGGTTGCTATTGTTATTTCCATCTAACAGATGAGGACACTGAGGTTCATAGTGGTTAAGTAGTTTGCCCAAGGTCTTACACCAGATGAGTCAGGGTGCCCGGCCCTGAACCCTGTGAATCCTGGGAGGCTGTCCTCTCTGTACTGCCTCCCTGAGGAGCATACAAGTTAAGTGAAACCAGGTGTTATTAATCTTTGAATAATGTTTAATTTTCTTTGTAAAGCCAAGCAGATATTCAGTAGATCCTTTTTTTCTTGTTGCTCAGCTTAGTATATCTCTTGCATTAGCTGTTAAATGAGCAAGAGAATACTTTTTGACATGATAATACCTTGCTTACATTATTGTGCATGAAAATTTTAGAATGCATCTTTACATACTTTATCTGTTTTCGTTCTCCCAACCAGCATCCTTATACCTGTCTCCAAATATTTAAGACTTCACATCAAGATGAATGATTATTTGGGTCTTACCTTCCCTAAAGAAACTAATTCTTTTTTTTTCTTCTCCTGTAATATCTGATATAATATTCTACATTATTTCTAAGGCTTAATATCTGTCTCTTCCTCTAGTCTGTACATTTCATGGAGCAGAGCTAGGTACCCACACAATAATTGGCATGGGTTCTCAGTAAATATTTGTTGAATGAATGAATAAATATGTATGGTACTCTCTTAATGATGATTTTCTGATTAACTTTAGTCTAATAAGTTAAAGGAGGGTTGAGTAGGAAACTGTCATAGTAAAAGTACTGTGTGCCAGAGATTGTGCTTAGCTTTTTGGTTTTTTTTTTTTTGAGACAGAGTCTCACTTTGTTGCCAGGCTAGAGTGAGTGCCGTGGCATCAGCCTAGCTCACAGCAACCTCAAACTCCTGGTCTCAAGCAATCCTACTGCCTCAGCCTCCCAAGTAGCTGGGACTACAGACATGCGCCACCATGCCCAGCTAATTTTTTCTCTATGTATTAGTTGGCCAATTAATTTCTTTCTATTTATAGTAGAGACAGGGTCTCGCTCTTGCTCAGGTTGGTTTCGAACTCCTGACCTCGAGCAATCCGCCTGCCTCGGCCTTCCAGAGTGCTAGGATTACAGGCGTGAGCCACGGCGCCTGGCCAGCACTTTTAATTTATATCATTTTACATCTGAATTTCTCAACCCTGGCACTATTGACATTTTTGGCTGGATATTTCTTTGTTGTGAGAGTGTCTTGTGCATTGTAGAATATTTAGTAGCATCCCTGGATTTTACTAGTAGATATTAGCAGCACCCCTCCTAGTCGTTGACAACCAAAAATGTCTCCAGATATTGCCACGTGTCCTCTGGAGGGCAAAATCACCTTTGGTTAAGATTACTGTCTTAACCACTTTCATAAGCACACTTTTGGATAGGCATTATTATCCTAATTTTTACAATTAAGCAATATCCCAATCTCAAGCAAGTGAAATAACCTGCACAAGCTCACTCCGCTCACAAGGAATAGATGTGCAGTTATACCCCAGAGCTGCTGGCAGCCATTTCTGTTGTTTCCATTTTACCACTGTGTCTCCTGGCAGCTTTTTAAGACAAGCAGGCACTGGCAGAAATCTCTGAAAGCACTTTCTAAAAAGGAAGATTAAACTAAATGTGAAATAGACATTCTTTCATTTTGGCTACCACAACTGTTTATTCTGTCAGCTTCTCCCACTGCCACATCAAGGGATGGTGAATCATTTATCTTAGTCCTCGATGTTTTAAGTCTGCCCATTTATAAAATGCATGTAATGACACCTTTTTTCCTTTTAGTTATAGAATCAGACTCCCTGTGATATAATCATTTCAAGGAACAAGTACAAAATAATACATCTAAAATACGTAAAATAAAATGGCATGATTAACTGCTATCCTACAAAATGAATTACAACTGTCCCCGTCAAATAAGATCTTTTTTGCCATGTTCTCTACCACACACATCCCCACATCTCACTAACACCCTGGACTCGAAGGGGAGCCAGCATCAGGATAGTGAATGGAGGGGAGGGAATTAGAAGAACAAGATTAGAACTTGTGTGTATCTCTATTTTTTGTACATATGTCTGTAAGCCAGGGGTTGGCAAACTTTTTATATAAAGGGCCAGTTTAGGTTTCGTAGATCATAAAGACTCTGTCACACTCAGCTCTGCCTTTGAAAGCAGCCATTAAAAATATAGAAACAAATGGGCATGGCTGTGTTCTAATAAAACTTTATTAAAATAGGCAGCCAGCCAGATTTGGCCATCAGGCTGTATTTTACCAACCCTTGTGAAATAGTGCCTGTTTACTTGTTTATTTTTCTCCTCCCATTATTATATAAGTTCCAATAGGGCCAGGATTCTGATCTATTTATGTACCATTATATCCCAGCACTTGGAACAAGTCCTCCCTTGTTATGTTTCCTTTCAGTAGTTTCCTGTACATTCTTGAACATTTATGCTCTGATCTAAATTCTGTCCCACATCTGCTCATATTTCTACTCTAGATGTTCTAAAATTGTGGCTTGCCCCAATCCCAAGGAAGAAGAGAACGAGAACATGTAAAATTAAATTGCCTTGCTTATTTTCTTATTTTTATGGTCAGTTTACTCCCATTTATGGTCAGTTTACTGCACATTCCTTGTGAGCAAGGTTCTTGTCTTGTTCTCTGTTGTTTTCCCAGCAGCTAGAACAGTGCTTGGCACAATCTCAGTACTTTGTAAGTGCTTGAAAAATGGGTGAATGAACACAGATTTTGTTCAGATCTCCTTAAAAAAAATCCATTGAAATCCTCATTGGAGTTGGCAGTGGGCTGTGCATATTCTAGGAATAGCAGGAAACTCAAATGACTGGAGGGTTCTGAGCAGGGAGAGAAGATGCAGTTTATACAGAAAGTTGAGGAAACTGAATAATATGTACATTTGTGTGAGCAGAAACACAAGCATAGAAGGGTCCAGCTCCACATGTTGGAGAGGGAAAAAGAGAGGGCTTGAAGAGGGAAGGGGAAGTACAATAACTATGAATTGTTCTGTATTGTTATAGTGAACACTCTTGCGATTTATAAATCTGATGAGATTAACAATGAATTTGTACAACTCTCACACTTAGAAGTATTTGAGGTAGTTGAAAAAAGGAGAAAAAAACTCAAAACCCAAAAACTCCTATACAGCATAAATAACAGAAACATTAGAAAAGAATAAAAGACCAAGAGTTAAGTCTATCTAAATATGAGGCAGAAGAAAGGAAGGGAAAGCATGAAAGGAAATAGCTTTGCCAGAAAATCCAACTTTTTTTTTGTGATTCATCCTGAAATATAACTTTCAAATTCTTGGCAGATTAGGCAAAAAATGAGTAGTAACATGATAAAAGTGTCAGTAAAAATGAAGAGTGTAAATCTGAAAGCTATTTGCAAGGAAGCATTACTATTGATAGAACTTGGACTAGCTTGTCCTTGTGCACCATCAAGCACTAGCCGATACTTGCAGGATACTCTAAGGCTTATGTGTGATAACTAGGGGATGTGCTTCATGCACAAGAAACTCTCTCTTCCAATTATTAAAATAACATTTTATTCAGTACCTGTGGTTTTCACAGACTACCATCTTAAAATAGTTTTTAAGGTATTTATAGCCAAACAATTTTCATTTTAGGTTTTTTTTTGTTGTTGTTTAGATGATATTGTAAGAGTTCCCCCCCCCCTTTGACAGTTTTAAACATCAATTTTTGTTCATTTTAGTTTCAGCCTATGGGCACTGTGTGCCGAGAAGCAGTAAATGATTGCGATATTCGTGAAACATGTACGGGAAATTCAAGCCAGGTAATTTATAAAATAATTACTATCCTGTGGGAAAAATTGGGGGGAGGAGGCTTTAGTGCACTGACTGCCAGGAGATACATAAATGGACAAAATACTCATGTCTCTTTCACGTCTCTCTTTTTATTTTTTAGGTATTTAAATTTCAATAATCAGCATCATTTTGTCTTAACATTGAACTAACCTAAGACTGCATGCATGCCTTTTAACTATTTTGATTTTAGGTAGAGAGTATGACATGTTTTTCTTTTTATCTACTTACTGAAGGAAGAAACCAGACTCTTCAGCTGGTTGAGGAGAGCAGACCCTTTTCTCTTTCTTGACTCTTACTTGCACCACCTCAGCTTTTAATGGCTCCTCTTGAATTTAATTTTGTTGTAGATAGAAAAGCTAGGGAAATTGGATAAACTTTGGTTAGGGTTCACAGATTTCTAAAGGATCAGTGTATAGGTGGTCCTCACTTTGCATGATAATGATAAACCATAAAAATGACCAGGCAACTTAAAACCATGCAAAGTGGTCTTAATAATCAAAGAAAAATAGTGCAGTTGTTCTATATCTTTAAAAAAATGCTGTGAAACTATTAAAAGCTCTCTGACTGTTGTAGTTTTAAATGCACAGGGAAAGAATAAACTAATATTTATTTAGCATACTATAAATTAAAACCAAAACATTGAGAATTAAAGTATTTTTGTTGTTGTTGTTAAAAACTTTATCAGTAGTTTGAACTATGCTTGCCTTCTTATTGTAAACCTCACGATACAGAGCAAGCGTCTTTTCTATGCCCTGTTGATTTGTTACACTCCTAAGTTTGATCAGCTTTCAACATTTTTTATCCTTTGTGCTTTCAATGTCATGCAGTATCTCTGAGAGATGTGATGTTTCTTGCTGGCGTTACCTCCTCTGGGACATCTTCAGTTACATTGTATCCCAACTACTTCATTTTTGTCAAGTCCTCCTTCACTAAGTTCCTCTGTCTGCATATCTAGAGTCTTTTGAACAACAGTGTTAATGTTCCCACAGTCAGATATTTTTTCCTATAACTCCATTTGTGGCCAGATCGAATTTCACTTTGGGTGTCATCATTTTTCATTTCTTTGCTGCACTTCCATCTTTGTTGCCTAGTTCTCTCTTCTGCTTTTTCATTTTTGTAAAATGTCACATGGTGTCACTGGAAGACAAAAAGGCAACACAGCTATACAGTTTGCTGTCTGTGCATGAATTGGATAAACAAATGGGCAGTGACCAATGACTGACCGACTTTGAAAGAAGTGACAAGATGTGTCACTGATCATGATGGGCATCTGTTACTTGCCTGGGGGGATCAGTTGAAGAGCTAGTAGCAAAGCTGTGCTTTATGCAGTTACTCTTGATAACTGAAATTGGAACTGTGTTGTTGGGGGACGGGTGTTTTTTTTAACAAAACCATGGAAACTGAAATTCATGCATGCCGGAGCTGTGCAAAGTAAGGACTGCCTACATATTTTTTTTCTTCAGAGAAGAGGAATTCTATAGTGATCTACTTCTATCAACCATTAAAAATGCTTTATTTTGAAATTAGTCATCCTAAGAGGTTAAAGATCTTTCATATTGAAGTATTTTTCCTTTCTTGCTATCTCAGTGGCAATGTTTTCTAAGCTAACACCTAGTGATGATGAGGATTCAATGAATGATTACCTCTAAGGCTCCTAGGCAGAATGTGTTCAGAGCAACTTCTTTGGAATGTGATTATAAATAAGCAGGAATTTTAAAATAGTCCTAAATCCAAAGATGATGTGTGTACAAATCTAATATTCTTGTTGCCTTAGTTATAGCAGCATAAATTATTAATAATTAGAGATTAAAGTGATTGTTTAGTACATTGTTAGCTTAATACATTGTGTTACAGCCATTAAAATGGTACTACAGAAAAATTATGACATGAGGAATTTGTATGCTGACAATAAAAGGAAGAAGCAGAATATAAACTATTATCTATAAATTGATCATACTTGTGTTTAAAAATACCAATTTTTACAGAAATATGTGGAGATAAAAATGTGCCAAAATATAAAAAATAGCTACCTTTGGATGGTGGGAATATGAATGACTTCAGTCTTTCATTTTTTTTTATTTTTCATATTTCCCAACTTTTCTCCAATGACTGTATAATTGATGATAGAAAAAGATGCATAATAAATTTGAAAATTATGTCTGCTTATAAACAAGAATGCTTTGTAACTTTCCATAATTGCTGCAAAGGAAAAAATGGGGTTATAAAGCATGTCCTTTTCTAACATTCTAAAAGTAGACATCTGCTTGAATGTCATAATTTAAAGCATAAGGGCTATGTTGCTTTTTATGGCAAAAGAGAGAAAACTAGTTATTTGTCTACCTATGTGGACATACTCTTTGCGTTTCTTTTGTGCTCTTCTTTTCCTTGCTCTGAAGAATGGTGTATCTGTATGAAGCAAGATGCTCTTAATTGAACCATTAGCTGAGTCTATTGCAGTCAGTTCTTTTTATTTGCTGCTATGTAATAAACTGTTTTTGCTTCATATTTTTAGGGAAAAGTGCACCAATTGTTGCAGTTCCTCTTGCTTTCTCTTAATCTTTGTTTTTATTTTTAGATGGTTTAAGGGACTAGCCATATTACCAGAAGTGATTTTAAAAATGAAAGCATTGAAGGGCTTAGCTCAGCCTGATATTTTGCTCTGTGTTTGGTTCATAGTTTGTTCTTTTTCCCTAGTGTGCCCCTAATATTCATAAAATGGATGGATATTCATGTGATGGTGTTCAGGTAGGTCACTTCATTTTCACCTAAATTTTGCATGTGTACTAGCATGAAAGAAATACTGAAATCTTACCAAAATAGGAAGATCACTTTAAATGTTCTGTAATCAGTTCTGCAGATTAAAGGCCTTTAAAGTATTGGTCCATTATTTTACTCAATTATGTTTTCTTTTTCAGTTATCTGATGTAAGCAGACATTGCATCGATAATGGGTATTTTGTTTTCCATTTTAGGGAATTTGCTTTGGAGGGAGATGTAAAACCAGGGATAGACAATGCAAATACATCTGGGGGCCAAGTAAGTAAATTGTGTGGCTTGATCATTTTTAAAATTTGGTATCAGGCAGACTTCTCATGGACATGTATACTAGACATAAATGTTCTTTTTTTTTATATAATACATTCTTGAAACCAGTACAGAAGTAAATTTTTGACTACTTTATGACTGGGAGATTCTGGAAGCCACTGCAGGTCTCAGAAGGGACATGTTTCTGGAAATCGGAGTAATTTACCTCCTTTGAGAAGACACAACCCCACACATCTTTGCTAGTCCACCACACATGGTGCCTGTGGACAAATCAGAAGGTGCCTTTGCTGCCAGGCAGGTGAAGCCCATGCCAGGGCACACAGCTTGAAGAATAGACAAACCTAGATTTCAGCTCCACATATACTCTCCTCAGCTGAGTGCCCTTAAGCAAAACCTGTACATCCATATGGGATGGACATGGACCCTGGCTAGGGCATCCTTGACTTAGAACTGTAGCATTTTGGTTAGAGTTGTTTTTTTCTCCTCCTCTATCTTTCTTAAACTCTAGCTGGCATTCCTACTTACAGGTGACCTTCTGCTGAGGTTACAGGATACCTTCTTTCTTGTATCAGAAAGAAATTTTAATCTTATTGCCTTCAAAGTTAGTCAGATTTTCAGAGGAAAATATATAACATTTATATTTAAATTTATACTCTATTTAAATTTATATTTGAATTTTGAGTAATATATTGTTTTCTGTAATGAAAGTATGACTGGCCCAAACTTTTATTTTTCTCTCTGTCTGAGACAGAGTCTCACTCTGTTGCCTGGGCTAGAGTGCTATGGTGTCAGCCTAGCTCATAACAACCGCAAACTCCTTGGCTCAAGTGATTCTCCTGCCTCAGCCTCCTGATTAGCTCGGACTACAGGCATGCACCACCATGCCCGGCTAATTTTTTCTATATATTTTTACTTGGCCAATTAATTTCTTTCTGTTTTTAGTAGAGACGGGGTCTCGCTGTTGATCCGGCTGGTTTCGAACTCCTGATCTCCAGCGATCCGCCTGCTTTTGCCTCCCAAAGCGCCAGGATTACAGGCGTGAGCCACCGCGCCCAGCTGGTGGCCCAAAGTTTTAAAAGCAGTTTTTCTTCTAAACTCTTTCAATAATTTGTATCAGAAACAAAAGCTATAAAAATAATAATAGTTGTAATAGTCATAGGTAATGACTACAAATCCTTTTAGGAGGGGAAGTGTATGCTCTCTTTAAACAACTAGAAATATTGCTATGGGGCAATAATTTAGTCCTGCAGTCTGAACAAAGACATACTGCTTTTGTTTCCTCCACTTGTGCAAAAGTATTAGCTGACAACACAAAGTAGATAAAGAAACTACCAACATAATTAATTGGTTTTTGAATACACACACACACACACACACATACACAGTCCTTTGATTAGTTCAGAAAAGTCATTTTGTTTTAATTTTTAGGTAACTCTATCAACCATCCTGGCTTCAGAAAAGATAAATACCTGACAAAGATGCTGACATACCTAAAAATGTTATTTGATTCTCAGAGATTTAACATGAATTCAAGCTTGTCTAAAAGCAAAATAAAATTGTTTTTTTTTTTTTTTGAGACAAGAGTCTCACTTGTTGTCCAGGCTAGAGTGAGTGCCCGTGGCCGTCAGCCCCTAGCTCACCCAGCAACCTCAAACTCCCTGGGCTTGAGTGATCCCTTCTGCCTCAGCCCTCGCTGAGTAGCTGGACTACAGGCATGCCACCACCATGCATGCCCCCGCGCCGGGGCCCGTCCACCCGCCGGCTAAATTTTTTATATATACAATGATCAGTTGGCCATTAATTTCTTTTCTATTTAATAGTAGAGACGGGGGTCTCGCTCTTGCTCAGGCTGGTTTCTGAACTCCTGAACCTTGAGAAAATCCGCCCGCCCTCGGCCTCCCAAGAGCTAGGATTACAGGCGTGAGCCACAGCGCCCGGCCTAAAATTGTTTTTGATAGCTGTTAAGAATTAGCGAGCAAGGTAGAAATTATATCACTGTTTCTTGAATCTAATTATAGTACATAACTATTTTAATAAAATTGTCTTTATAATTAAAATTTGCTGAGAAATTAATGCATTATATTTGGCACTGAGATTAAAGCATAGAATATTTATTTAAGGAACCACTGGTATCATCTTCCCCTAATTATTGGCCAAATCCTGAGGAGTGTTATTTTTGTAGCCTGCATGTCATTTTTTTCCCCAAAATTTAAAGTGAACATTCCTGAAAAATGTCCTTGCATCATGGATGTCTGACATAGGAAAACTCTTGTGAACCATGAGTACAATTTTTGGAATTGATAACTCTGCAGTGAAGAGGTGTTCTTAAGATGCAATTTTTCTTTCCTGAAAACATTTTGAACAGCCCACACATTACTTCCCTCACTGATAGAAAATTTTATTCTGCTTCAGAGGTGACAGCATCAGACAAATACTGCTATGAGAAACTGAATATTGAAGGGACCGAGAAGGGTAACTGTGGGAAGAACAAAGACACTTGGATACAGTGCAACAAACGGTGAGGTGGAGTAGTTAGCCTGGAGTTCATACCTCAGTCAATTACAAGCATAGGAATTGAGTGGCCAGAAGATCCTGTTTTCTGCAACCCACAAAGTGTGCTTTGCCTACTCACCTCATCTCTTCCAGTGTTCCAGCATGACCTACACAGAGGGCTTTCAAATCTTAGTATGTATTGTCATCCCTCTCCTAAGGCCCAGGTCACACCTGCAGCAGTTGCAGGACTTTCTTATCTAGATGACACTTTTCCAGCCCAACTCAAAAGCAACAGAAATGAAAGCTACCGGAATACATACTTGGTGCTTGAATTAACTGGCTCTAACATTCCTAACCCACCCGTTTTGCCAAAGTTCTCAATATCTTACTGTTCTTCTGTTTGGAAGCCTCAGAGTGATCCTTGACTCTGTCTTCCCTCTGCACATTGTCCATGTGTACACACTATGTGCTAAGTACTGTATCACACTTTACAATAAGCTATGCTATTTAATTTTTTTTCTTTTTTTTTTTTAAAAACGAAACAAGGTATCTTGAAGACAAAGTATTGCTTTGTCGCCCATGCTGGAGTGCAGTGGAGTGGTCATAGCTCATTGCAGCCTCAAACTCCTGGGCTCAAACTCTCCTCCAATCTCAGCTTCCCAAGTAGCTAGGACTATGGGTACAAGTCACATCAAGCCTGGCTAATTTTTATTTATTTATTTTTTATTTATTTTTTTTATAGAGATGGGATCTTGCTATGTTGCTCAGGCTGGTCTTAAACTTCTGGCCTCAAACAGTCCTCCTGCCTCAGCCTCCCAAAGTGTTGGGCTTACGGATGTGAACTACCATGCCCAGCTATGTTATTTAATGTTTATGGCAGTCTTCCCATTTTATGGAGGCAGAAACTGAGACAGTTCCTTAATTTGTCCAAGGTCATATGCACAGGATGTTAATAATAAGTTAGAATTCAGGCAGTCTGATTTCAGAACTCTCTCTTCACCAGTTTGCTGAATGACATAGTCTCATTTAATAAAAAAAATGGAACCTTAGCTTGAAACTATACCTCTTCCACAATTTGTGCCTACCTACATTTTTTTATCTTTTCCTCTCTGTTCTTCCAAGTCTAGCAGACCTTAACTCTTCCTTACATGTACATTACACTGTCCTAACTTTATGCCTGTGCTCGTGCTATTTATTCCCCAGGAAGCTTCCTTTATACCCATATCATTGGCAGTTAAAAATTTATACATTCTTCAGAGCAGAAAGAAAAGCAGAAAGCACTTTCTCTATAAATTATTTCCTGATTTACTCTGGAAATATATCATCTTTCCCTTCTCCTCTGAACTCCTATGGCCCTGTTTACTTACGGCCTTTGTCCCCCGTTAAAGTTGTTTAAGTATGTGATTCATCTTCTCATCCAGAGTATAATTTTCTTGAGGATAAAGATCTTGTCTAATTTTATTTATGTATTCTAAATTACTTAGTAAAGCTCATACACATAAGTGAAATGCAAAAAAATTTTGAATGAATATCTCTTATGTGTTGAGAAAGCACTTTTGTTTATGATACAGTAAAATGATATAATTTAAAAAATTATTTTAAAGAGTAAATTAATATATTTTTTCTGTATTGGTGACAGATAAAGGTTTTAATTTTTGTCTTTTCTCCATCTGATAAAGTCTCATATTTCCATATCTAATCTTTCTAGCCTACTATTCAGTCTTCACAAGACATTTATTAAAATGTTAATCATTATCACTATTAATAATTGTATTAGAAATAAAGAATATGTAAGATAGTATTTAACACCTATAAAACTATTTTATAAGTTAAATTAGAAGCATATGTGATAATTGGGAGTATGAAATATATTGAAAAGGGATGTTGAGCCTTTGTATTTGGAAATCAATAAAATATACACAACGTATAATTTCTTTCTTAATTCTGGGGAGACAGGTTGAAGAAACATTGGGATTCCAGAAAAAAATGCTCATCCAAAGGTCATTCATTCACTTAATCAAAAACTAAAAAATAGGCATATCTAGTGATGTGTTATGGAAAAACAGATTCTTATATGAAAGAAGTCCATTTGATGATAATTTTCTTTAAATACTTGAAATAATGGATAGTAAAGGAAAAGCTAGAAACCAATTTGGATTTTGGTGTACCGGTAAGATTTTAAACTAATTTTATTTTGTTTGGCATATGAGTAAATAATATAGTTGATGAAAAGCAAATGCTAAAATGAGAGATCATCATTTTAGCAATATATGCAGTTTGCTATATCTTTGGAGAAAGAAGTAAATATTGGGTACTTTTTTGACACAGGGATGTACTATGTGGTTACCTTTTATGTACCAATATTGGTAATATCCCACGGCTTGGAGAACTCGATGGTGAAATCACATCTACTTTAGTTGTGCAGCAGGGAAGAACATTAAACTGCAGGTAATTATCTAACCATTGTGTGAGAACATTAGTCATCTCATTTCCCAGGAATGCAGCTTAGGACTACATCTGTTCTCAGTTTATATGCATTTAGTAAGTCAAAATAGAATATGGTTCATAAAGGTGATTGAGTAAATCCCGACAGAAAAGAGACAAAAAGAAGACAAATAGTAGAATGTGGAATATTATGTGGTTGATAGATTTATGTTTAGTTGGTCAGTAAAATCTTGTTGGGTTTAGCTCATTCTTTTCTTTTCTTTGAGAAAGTCTCACTCTGTTGCCCTGAGTAGAGTGCCATGGTGTCAGCCTAGCTCACAGCAACTTCAAACTCCTTGGCTCAAGCGATCCTCCTGCCTCAGCCTCCTGAGTAGCTGGGACTACAGGCATACACCACCACATCTGGCTAATTTTTCTATTTTTAGTAGAGACAGGATCTCAGTCTTGCTCAGGCTGGTCTCAAACTCCTGACCTCAAGCAATCTTCCTACCTCGGCCTCCCAGAGTACTAGTATTATAGACGTGAACCACTGCGTCTGCCCGAGCTCATTCTTGAGGAAAATGAATAAGGACTTCTCGGTAAAATTAGCATATTAAATATATGCATCTACTTTTGCTCCAGTCTGAAATCCCACACTAAATGGATCTTTTTTAGAGTTCATATATCCACAGGGAAGTATAGAAAGAGAAAAGAGACAACAGCAATGAAATTTTGGAATGTATGAAGCAAATGAATGTGTGGCACACGACTTAGCAAAGAGAGCTGAATTCCAAAGTCAGCAAAGGGGAAAACTGAGAAACAACCCAAAATATTTTGTCACTTCCCAAAAGACTCAGAAATTGGCAGCAGTATCTACTTTTGGAAGGGGGAAGATGTGTGGTTAAAGGGGCTGAAATAAAGAAGATAGACAAAAGTCTGTTAAAGAAGCAGTTAAAGATGCAGATTACTTCCGTGACTCAGCTAAACTGGGAAGCTGAGTTTGGAAGATGCCCATCCTTCTATGGCAGACGTGAGCTTTACACTCTGCAGAGAATAATAGAGAACTTTTGTAAGCTGGAGGACAGCAGGCAATGTTGATATAAGGGTTGCATGGGAGTGGGTTTATCCTCAGTTGATGTTCAGTCAGAAAGCCTGAGGCTTTCCAATCGTCTATTTGGTTCCCTACCTGAAATACGAGCAGATTATCAGACATATAAAGAAAGTCTAACATGAAAAAGGGAGACAAAAACAAGGAGGAAAAAGAAAACCATCTGTCAATATTTATATGTGAGAAGAGACTTCAAACAAGAAAATCAAGTGCTATTTAAAAAAGAAAAACACAGAGAACATTCAGAGAAGAAAAAAGTCTGTTGAAAATTAAAAATATGATAGAACAAATAAAACACAGAGTTTGAAATTATCCTCCAGAAAGTAGGGCTAAAAAAGCAAAGAAGTGGAACAGAGAGAAAAACTCACCAAATTATAAGTATTAAAGAATGGGGAAAATAGCAGGGAGGAAATTTTCAATGAATAACTCAAAAGTATTATCTAGAACTGAAAGACTTGAGTTTCCATAATAACAAGATCACCAAGTACCAAGTACAAGGAGTGACATTAGAGGCACATCTAAATATATCATCATGAAATTTTAGAACCTTAAGACGAAAGAATCCCAGAAGTTTCCAGAGAGGAGAAAAAAGCAAAGACTTGGGAATTAAAATGGTTTAGGATTTATCAAAAGGAGCCCTGGGGGTCAGGAGACAATTGAGAAAATTATTCCCAGACTAGAATTTTGTACCCTGGGAAGATATCTATCACATGTGAGGGTAGGAAATAAAGACATTTTTAGATATGTAAGTTTCTCCAAAATTTACCCTTTCTCAGGAAGCTACTAGAAATTGTACTCTACCAAAATGAAGGAGTAAACCAAGGAAGAGAAAGACAAGAAATACAGAAAATAAGATCTCCACCATGGAGAGAGACAGAGCAATATGCAACTGATAGGGGGAAATCCAAGATTTATAGCTCTAGGATGCCAGGCACATGGAGACAATCAGAACAGATAGAAGCAAGTCAGAGACTCCAGAAGAACATAGCATCTCCATAATATCTGGGCTTGCTCTTTTGACAAGTGAAGCTACAATAGTTTAGTCATTCTCAAATATAATTTGTACATATGCAAATGTACATTACTCTTTTTGAGTAATGAGTTTACATTACCCTTTTTGAGTAATATAAACCAAAACCAATTCTCCTTGTTTGAAACACATTTGAAATCTTAAAACCTAATCAAATACTAGTAATAAAGGTTTACTTAATTTGTACATGTTAGCCAAGGCAAAATGATAAAGCTGTTTCAATTCAGGCCCTTATTATAATCATTATGTTGATATTAAAATTAAGCTATATCAATTTCTCCAAAAAGAATTAGATCAGAAGATTCAATTGCTTTCTCCATTTAGAGTTGAAGCATGCTTACGCTACTGGTTTTTATTAAATATTAGATAGAAAAAAGAGAGAGTGATATTGCCCACTTTTAGGTTTTTGAGCATATTCTCAAGATGACTATTAATTAATGGAATATCATTTTGTTTTTGCTTCTAATTTATTTTTAGTGGCGGGCATGTTAGGCTTGAAGAAGATGTAGATCTTGGCTATGTGGAAGATGGGACACCTTGTGGTCCCCAAATGATGTGTTTAGAACACAGGTGTCTTCCCATGGCTTCTTTCAACTTTAGTACTTGCTTAAGCAGTAAAGAAGGCACCATTTGTTCAGGAAATGGAGTAAGTATTCAGTACCTCACCATGGGGAACTATTCATTTCTTTTATATCCCAGAAATAGACCCTAAACTGCTATCTCTTTTATATCCCAGAAATAGACCCTAAACTGCTATCTCTCTAATAATGGAAACCTGACTTAATGCTTTCCTACTTCTTACTAATTCAAAGGTGTTTTGATTGGGATATAGATCCTGTTTCCTGGGTGGATGAAGAGAGACTATTTTCATATAATTAAAAATATTGTTATTTCTATGTTAATTTTTTTCTATTCTTTATTTGTGAGAGTTCTTAGTTCCCATGACCCTGAGGTTGCTAGTTCCTTTGGCTTGGGTTGAGGAGCCAAGGTTACAGCCTTGTGAAGCTTTCTTTTCAGATTATTGCAGAACATCAGGCCTTCCCACTTCTTTGTTGGACTTCTCTTTATCTTGCTTTGCTTCCTAAAAAATTAATACCATTTTTGCATAAAGACCCTTCAGAAGGAAAAAACCCTTTGTATTGCACAATGGACAGATGATTGTTTGTCTGCTTAGTTTTTAAAATTTCCCTCCTAAAACAAATCAATGAAAATCAAACAATAATTTCATTGATTTCTTTTGGATATAGATTAATTCATCTGTTAAAATTCATTGTTCCCTTTGGGTCAACAAATACTTCTTTAGGTATTGGAGTGAGAAATAATGTAATTAGGATTATTAAGAAAGTACCAATTTTTTAACATCAAATTCTAAGCATATAATAATAATTAGAAATTAACGTTTATTTTTCGTGTCTCTGTACCAGAGAATTGATATTTAGCTTGATTTTGGATTTCAGGTTTGCAGTAATGAGCTGAAGTGTGTGTGTCACAGACACTGGATAGGTGCCGACTGCAACACTTATTTCCCTCACAATGATGACGAAAAGACTGGTATCACTCTGTCTGGCAATGGTGGGTACTGAATTTGGTATCATTATGTGGTCTTTATACACAAGGAAAGAGAAAACTACCCTTCAGACATTTTTATTTGAACTATTTTTATGATAACTCATAAATGATAGCCACAAAATAATGAATTTTAATGTACAGCTGGGGGTCCACTTTATAAAACTGATCATTTCCATTAAATTGTAATGATCTATAATATTGTATATAACGTCTACTGAGTTAGCCTTATCTTATCCTACTTCAGACTGAGACTTTTCATGTATTATACTTGTCTAGGGCTGTCAACAAATCCTAATGTTTCTTTCAAATGAAGAAAGTAGTAATAATTCTTAGTAATAATAATTTCTTCTTAATGAAGAAAGTAGTAATAATTCTCTGAATTTAAAGGAAGAATTTTGTATTTTGGGACTGAATACATAAAAAAAGAAACAATTGATCAATTTTTAAAATATTTTATTTTATTGGGGGGAGGGGGGGAAATGGGCATTTATTGAAACCTTAAAATCTGTACCCCCATAATATGCCAAAATAAAAAAAATAAAAAATTTTATTTTAATAGAATCTCACTGGCATTCAACCCCAGTTTTGTAGCCTGAACTAGAAGTTGTAATCTTTGCCAAGGATTTTAAGGACATGGATAAGAAATAGCATGTACACTATTCTGGCGAATGAGTACACTGAGAGCCCAGACTTCACTAATGGAATTCAACTTGACCCCATAAATCTATTGAAACATTGAAAAAATCAAGATAAATAAATAAAGGCTAAGGTAGTCCAGGTGGAGAAGTAGAAATTAAATGCAGATAGTTGAAAAAACTCATATGTTGGAGGCCAATGTCCCCTTTTAAACTATTTTCATTTCATTATTGAGTTCTTTTGCATGATATAATGCTGAAATCCTGAAGTCCATTCACTTCCAAAGGATGATAAAAGAGGAATATGTTCATTCTAACCATCTAGATAGGTAAAAAAAAATCTAATACAACTTTAATAAAGTCAGAGTAAGATTAAGATTTTGTAGTCCTGAGTCTCAGCAATGGTGGTATAGAGCTTTTTGCAGCAGTTAATGCAGAGATGAGGATATTTAGGTACATGGATTTCAGTGACTTGTCAAAAGTCACTTACAATTACTTAGAAATAATTAAGTCTAGCATCTAAGTTTATTGGTCCCTGTTAAATCCTTGGAAGAAAAGAGAGGACAGACATGCTAGGTCTCAGAAAATCCTAGCAACTGGGAGACTCTCTGGCATCTGCATCCACCCATCCCACAGAGGACTTGGTGAGTTAGTGCCACCAGTCTGCTCATGCCCTAGCCCTACTGTCCGACATGATGACTGAGGGACAGAGAGACTGCCATTTCCATCATGGGGAATTTAGAATCGTCTTCAGTTGCCTACGATGACTAACCTTTGATGTCTAGCATAATGTATGTGGAGCAGGAGTGGAGCAGACAAGGGGGGATCTGAGTGGCTCTGGATGAAAGTCCTGCAATTAAACATGTGGTATGAATCATCTAGAAAATGGACCTCCTGATTCAAAGCCAGGCCTCACTCAGATCAGCCTTTTGTGCTCTTGGGCCTTCACTTGAGCTTATTGACCAAGCCTTTGACCCACTGCATCATTCTCACTGCTGTGATCCCCTTAAGGATTGTATCTCAGCCTGCTTGACAAAGGATGCTGACACAGCAATGCCATCCCACAGTCCTGAGCTTTGGCCTTGCCCTGGCTTCTGCCTGCCTGTCTCTCTGTCAGTCTGGCACCGCCTCCCTCTCATGCCATCTTAGCACCAATCTCCAGCTCACCAGACTTTTTTATTTCCCTCTGGGTTTTCCTCCTCTAGAATGCCACAGCCATCATTGCCCAGACTGGGAATTACAAGCCCAGTGCTTTTATCATTATACCACCTGGGCACTGATTGTATTAGTCTACAGACATGTTTTCCCCCTTAAAAGTAGTTTGTATTCACTTTGAGAGACAAAATATCACACACAAACACACAACAGTAAGAGCAATAAGGACCTTGCATTAGTTGTCCAAATGGAGCGATATGCACAGTAACATTTTTAGAATTTCTGAGAAAGTGGTGAGAGTCAAAAGGAATAAAGATTTTCTACAAATTCCTTTGTAAAAGGTGCTATACCAATATATGTACTAGCATTCCTCCCCCACTTTTTGGTATCATTACTTTCCCTCTTTTAGTTCAGTGACATAATTTCCAGATAAATACATGGAAAATACAACTGTGCAAAATGCACTTGGACAAGAATTAAAAAGGAACATATATCAAAAGTCACTTCAAAAAATTGATATGGACTGCTGAATTATGGTTGATTTTTGCTTTCCTTTGAAAAATACCCATTTTTTTCAAAAATAAAAAATAGTGTTGTTAGTGTGATGATTACAAATCTGGAGAATAAAGTTCCTGAAAGAATGTTATATCACTGATCATCCTTGTTTCTATTTTTTCCTCCCAGGTGTTGGTGGCACCAATATCATAATAGGCATAATTGCTGGCACCATTTTAGTGCTGGCCCTCATATTAGGAATCACTGCGTGGGGTTATAAGTAAGTGAAATGTCTCAGTCTTTTTACTATCAAAGTAGACTTTTAAACATTTTCATTAAATGAAAATTTCTAGAAAATTTTGCATTATTCCATAAATACACTTGCAATGAAAATCGGCCTTGTCCAACAAATGATTTTTTTCATGGTTAGAAGTAATAATAATTGACCACTTTTTTTAATTTTGAGGCAATGCCCTTGTATTCCAAAAGTACTGAATATTGTTTTAAAATTGTTGAAGTGAATTAAAATCAATCTAAATCATGTCTTACAAAAAGGCTGGGTTGGTTTGCCCTTAAGTAACACAGCTTCTGTTGACTTAAACCTGTACCCCAAAATCTAGGCAAGACAGTCAGAGAACTTAGTACTTCAATAATGATGACAGTAATAGCAGTAATAACAAGAACAGCATCAGCAGATCTGTCAATGAGCATTTGCTGAGGCCATGTATCATGCTAAGGGCAAAGCCTCTTTATTTTTATAACCGGTATAAAGGAGGCATTATTATTTGTTAAATATGTGAGTGTATTTGTGTGAAGAAAAGACTGTTGCAAGATTTAATTTGTTTGTTAAAACTAAAATTCAACTTCAAGTTACAAGTTTTAAAAGCCAAATTCTCTTAAGCTTCCAAGTTCAACTTATAACTTTTTTCGTTCTATGTATAAATTTTAAAAAACTATGTCATATAACTTTTGAATAACATTTGATACCTTAAAGATTCTAGACTTATTTATATATTTAATGTGTATAATTTCCTTTTTAAGTATTTCAATCTTATGATGTGAAAATTTTTAACAGCATTCAAATAACAAAGTTTAATAAATTAAGCAGAAATATGGCAAACCTTAAATTCTCTTTAATATTTCAACCTAAAATCATATTCTTCAGATCTCTGATGACCATGCTCCGGTCTGCAGGCCTAGGGTTTTTCTCTATTTGGAAGGCAACTTTTGCCAGGCATTCTGGGTACTTCCCCATTCCATAGCATATTTTTCCTCATGGATCAAACTTAGGTCACTAAAAGTTTTGGGAGTTAGAATATTTTTTACTTTAAAATGACCCCATACCTTTCAATAGACTCATCTTAGTTCTGTGAGTTACCTTATGTCAAACACTCAGAGCAGTGTCTGGCCCACAGTGCATACTATGTAATTGCCTGCTGTTATTGTTACTACGTGATGCGGTCTTAAGCCAATTGTTTGTGAAATCAAAACTCTGAGTTTCTTTGACTGAAAAAGGAGAGCAGTCAGTTTACTGCCAGGATAAATTTTGTATGCTACAAGCATGAGAATAGAGACGTTTGTCAAAAACTATATTAACAAGTAGCACAGACGGCATAGTACAGTTTAGTATAGCATAACTGACATGGCATAACATTGGGAAGGAGAACACAGCGTGGAAGTAAGCTTTGCCCTGATTAAATGAGTACCTAGTGCCCTGTACCAGTTCAGAACAGATGCTCAATACCTATGGGCCTCTCTGGTGTGCAGGTTATTACGTATAATGCACACTTAGATTCTCAGAGTCTAATTTTAGTATAACATATGGACTTATAAAATTGTAAGTCTGAAAGGAAGGCTTTTCTGTTTATAATTTGATTTCTTCTCACACCTCAGGCAAATTAGCTCTATCTTGGAGTCAGACTATTTCCTCAACTTTGCTGATGCAGGGCTTACATAGTAATTGCCATCACAAGCATTGTTTTGAAGTAGCCCTGTGGTGTCATTTGGTCACAACTGAAAGGAAAATTGTTAGCTCTGGAGTGTGTGATTTTCTGCCACCTACTGATGCAAGTGAATATTTCATTTTTACAGTCTTGGAAGAACTTTTCAAAAAATATGAAACCTAAACACTGATTCCTGTTACTTAGAAATTAATGCTTAGAATTAAAAGTACTTCTTTATGTGATTTCTTATTTTTATGACATTCTTTTGAGGTTCTTCATTTCTGAATATGTGTGCTTTGCAGATTGATTAACGAAAAAGACAAATCTTATTCATGCGACAGTATCCTCTTTATAAATAATGTGGATCTAAATGATTAAAGTTTTAGTGTTTCTAACATTCAGAATATGTTTAAAAATAAAATGAAAATGCAGAAATTTTAGTAGAGAAATTAAACGGATGAATATGATGTTTCACATATTCTATTTGAAGTTCGAAAGCAGATTTAGGACCATAGAGCTCATTTTCCATTAGTCTCCCAATTAAACTTTCCACTCCTACTCTAAACCTTAGGATGGAAAGTAGCAGTAATAAGAAAAGAGAAATGTTTGTTTGCAACTGTATGGCTCAAGTAATCAGATTGAAGTAATAAAAAATAAAACTTGTTGAATAGAAAGATACCAGGTTAGGGTTAGGCTTAATTTCCCCCATCTGATAGTTTCTAGAATGAAAAATAATAACAAATTGGCATTTTTACCCTCATGTGCCTATTGTCAAACATGATTCTTATAATGTGAATGGAATAGATTGGCAGATGAAAGTGCTACAAATGAACTACATGCATGCGAACATTATCCTTGATATTAGAGGAAGGAGCCCAAAGCCGTTCAGTTACTTGACCTCCCTAATATGTCTTCAAAATATTAACAATTCTGTCAAGATAGAAAGTTAACAATTAACTCTTGGAAAAAAAGTCACTTGTGCTGCACTACCACACCGTTTAGAGCAATTTTTTTTAAGGTCAGTTTATTTTAAAACTCATTTAAGTTTAATTTAGCTTATGGTCAAATAAAAAACAGAGACTAAATGTTGAACAGATATTTCCAATATGAAGCTTCAGTAAGTAAGTAGTAATAACTTAAGAGGTCCATGACAGCTAATAATTAATTCACTCTTTTTTTTTTTATCACAGCTAATGAAATAAAACATTTTGGTGTGCTTTTATGGTCTCCTATTTGATATCCATTAGGAGCAGCTATAGTTTGGGGTTTATATTGCAATAAGAATGAATTGATTTTATTTCTATGAAAACACAATTTATATAAGGAACTTGATTCATTAATTTCATTACTTAAATCAGTATATATGTCTGAAAACCCATATTTGAAATAAGATTGACTTTAGTTCAGTACAACTGATGTTGAGAAGATAGTTACTCTTTAATGATTACAGCTTATTTATGTTTTTAAAAGGGAATAGTTATTTGATAACATTGTCACTAATTCTTTGTCAGTTTTCCTAATGATGAAGTGAAATTTTTATGTGTATTCCCCATTTTAATTCTGCAATTCAAAATCCTCTAGGGAAGACTTTTCACTGAATGCTAAAGCTTTGATATTTAGTGCTCCCTCTTAATGTCCTTGTATAGGTACTAATTCTTGTGTTTTTCCCCCCTCTCTCCTTGTCCATGAAAAGAAACTATCGGGAACAGAGGTATGTGATAAGAATAATCTGAACACATAATTGAAAGGCTTAACTTTTATCATCATTGTTGGAATTCATATATGTGATTATAAATCAAGTTCACTTTATTTTTCTGTTACAGTGATCATACACTAATCTTAGTTTTTTCATTATTATTTCCATCTTAAAATAATGATTTTAATGATGGTGCTCTGAAATATATTAATTTAAAAATATCTGTCATTATTTAATTTTAATTGTTCCTTTATCCAATACTACTACAATTAGTGCAGGTTCTTATTTGTGTTATTTTATAGTAATGTATGTAGGAATTGATTTTTTTCCATCCAAAACAAATTTCCTCTATGTTAAAGTGTCACATTTGTTTACATTAGTATTGACATTTCTTCATGTTTATAACACTCTTATTGCCTATTACTTTCTGAGGGAATTTATTTTTTATTTCTTACAGTTATATTAATTACTTCGATTCGTAAGTGACAGTTTATTTGAGCAGTGTTGCTGTCAGGGAATGTTCTGGCACTTCAGGAGCCTGTTTCTCTCTACATAAGGAAAAAAATTTTTTTTTTAATTGATAATTAAACACACAGGTAGTTAAAGAATTTGCATAGTGGGAATATCTGATTGTCTTGTGTACTTTTTTTGAATAAAAATGCCCTAGAGAAAGGCATCCTGTTCAGCATAACCTTAAAATCCATGTTTAACCAACAGCATAAGAAGAGATACAAACATTCATGTTGTTCTATAACAATTGCCTATTTTTATCTAAATCTAAATTGGCACATAATAACTGGGATTCACCCTGCATGTTTCACGTTTAAAAAGTTATTAATGCTTCTAGTTATTTATATAAAAAATTTAAAATATTACCCTGGAAATTGATAGCCCAGACCAGGTCTTGCATATCATATAGTATTTAGTCCCATACTCAAGGTATTTATGCAGATTCCTACTTTTTCCATTGTCCAGTTATGCCTGGTTATGAATAAGGTATAAACGTTGTGATACTTCTTCAGGTCTCAACCACAACTTTTGTTTTTTCACAAATCAAAACTTTAAACTTTTCTGTTTATAATTTAAAATCCCTATGAGGCTTTAGCTATAAGAATCTAGAGAATCTCTATGAGTGTCTGGTGCCCATGGCATACCAATTGAACTCCTGGTCAGCGTGGATACTAGAAAAATTGACCTTGCCCTAGAGTAACTAACTCATCATTAAGGGGAAAAGCAAAACTGAGACAAAATTAAGTACATTTTAAAAACAATTAGATTTCTTTATGACATGTTTAAACTGTTTTGTCCAGAAGAACAAGAGCCATTTAGGCCTTCTGTTGGGTAAAAGTTGATTAGTCATATCAGAAATCTAAGTTTGGTGGCTTTCTTTAGTGGAAAATAGAATTAGGAGAATAAGATTGAAAAATAAATGATTCAGCTCCATTTCCATAGGTGCTAAGGCTACAATGGAATTTAATATTACTGAATTTACAAAAAGGAAAGTAAAATAGCTCAAATATGTAACATAAGCAAAGCTAGAACAGTGCTGTAAGATGTGTTCTCACTAGAGAATAAGGGAATTGCCCACACTATACAGAACTGATTAATATTTAAAAGTGTCTACTAATTTCTTATTCTAACTCAATATACGTATAGATATAGTTAAGAACATTTTACAGTAAGAATCTCTTTTATGTGCCTGATATAATTTCATGTCTCCTGGTGTTACTGAGTCATCATTTCATTAGTCTGGCTACTCTTTTGGAATGTAGTCCATATTTTGAGAGTTGTCACATCTTCAGGATGTTTATTTTATATATTTTGGTATATTTCAACACAACCTTTTTTTTTTTGTCCTTGCCCATAGCTAATTAATGTTAGATTTATACGATAGTTCTCAAAATGGAGAAATACCAAAGAATAGACTTTAGATCAGGAAGTCATGAATGTGTAAGTATCTTCTAAAAGATTTTCCTTTTTAAAAATATGTTAGTGATTACAGAGAAAGTAGTAAGGCTAACATAGCAAAGCATTCATTAATGTTCAGTTTTGTAAAAATATCTGCAGACATTCAAATACAGATCTGCCCAATTCCAAAAGATGCTGGGTAGTAGAATTAAGAATTGTGTTGTTACTGCCTTTAAATTAGGTTTTTCCTTTGAGGGTCTATGGTGGGAGGACCAATCGACAAGGAATCAGAAATGTGTTGTTGGAAAATCACTTAAACCCTCCTAAAATCTCAGTAAAATAAGGTTCTTTGTATTCTGTGAAGCATTATGGTGAAAGGAAGTTATTAGCATGTGTTCTCTGAAGACTATGTTTCTCTAATCTTCAAATGAAAGAGGTGGATGTGGTGGTTCTCCCAGAGGAAGGCAGCATACATTGATGTGAATGAGGCCCACACAAGTGGTTGAGCTGGTGAAAGTGTTGGTGAACATAAAGTTTTGCTTTGACACTAAATGCAGATAATAAATATGTAGCCAGTTACCAGATTCTTATTAGTGTTGTAATGGCTCAGAAATGCCAAATTGGGCGTAACTTTCAAATTATTGGAGAGGACAGGCAGGTAACTCTGTGACTGAATCTGATAACCAGGTAAATTTTCCCTTCTGAGACTGTGTCCTCAAGGTTTTCAGTATATTGAAGGATTATGTTGTATGTTTACTAGTAAGTTTGACAGATGAGAAACAAACTCATTTTTTCTTTTTGTTCACAAATTCTTATTTAAAAAAATAAAATGGAAGCACCCTTCTGTGGCATAGTGGAGGCAGAACCACACACATATAAGACATGACTTTAAATCTGCCAGTGTCATCTTGTGAAGGGTAGAACCATGGAACCAAGGAGCCATGGAGAAGCCTTAGATATCCGGTAATGAGGAGGGCTGTTTATCTTTTTCTTTAAAGTCTTCAGGAACGAAAACTTCCACAGTTTTCTCAGTTGATATTATTGTTTATGTTATAATGTAATTGCTTTCAGACTTAGCAGCTGTACGGTTTGTAATAAGACCTATAGGTGGGTTTTGGTTTTCAGGGAAGGTTCACAAATAAGAAACATTAACTGAACTTACATTTATAAAACACCCACATTCAGCTGAAATCTTATTCTCTCCCTTTGTCTGAAATGAGCACACATCATTATGACTAATGAGAAATAGAATAAATAATTAGATCATATCTTTCTGATCCGTGGGTTTACTTTAAGCAGAATCTTCTTCCCCCTATTTCTTTTTTTCTCTCACCTGTTTTAGCCACTTTATTTTCTGCCTGTGAACTTCCTACTTTTTTTTCAAGCATTTCTTAGTTTGTTTTTATATTATTATTTCATTGATATTCATTGCGTCTGTCAATGTGACTTGGTACACATTATACAATGAAATAGTAAACTAAGAGTTCCAATACGAGACAGGCCAGACACTAACCAAGCATTGGAGAAATGCCTCCTTCAGCATTAAAGTTAAGACTTGATTAACTGGGTTTTTAAGATTTTTTTCTTATTCTAAGTATGCATAAGGATCATTAAGATAAATATTATAATTCAATGGATACTTTTAGGAAAGATCAGACATCTCTCATAATAGGACCAACTATTTCCCTAGCGGATTTGGGGTGACCCAAGAAATAGTCTTACTTAATATTTAAATTTAGAATGTGAACACAACAACTAGATGATTTATAATTATGAACACATCAGAAGTTGGGCTGACTTTGTGTTCTGAAGTAGTATAAGAACAAGCAAGTAATAAGCATGGGTATTATAGACCTGGAGAGAAATGGTAATTACAGTTTGTATGAATCAACTCCTCCAGAATCATTAAGTTTATAGGAGTCAGTCCTTGTCTTAGAGAATAGGCAGTACCTTCAAAAGAATGTCATTTAATGGAATGTATTAATTCAGAACACAAAAAGAAATGCCAAGGTTGTGTAGGGAAGAAAAAGACAACCTGTAATTAATATAGGAAGGGATCTTTTTTGAGGGAAAAAAAAACTTAGTTTTTCTTCTCGTTTGGTTACTGTTTACAAAAATATCATAGACATGTTTAAAGTATTTGCATATATTTCAAAAACTATAAGATAATATTCCCATTATAAAACTTAGCACTGGTCAGGCCACCTACCCTTTGGACACTTTTAGTGTCCAAAATTTGATGAAATAAAAACACTCAAGATTTAGGAATAAAGCCATGAAGATAATAAAAGACTAGAAAAAGAAGTTCAATTTAAACATTTTAAAGGAGTTATTTATGGTCTTTGGTAACAAATGATGAAATGTTATTTTATTGATCACAAGGACCTGATATTCTCCATTTTCACTAAAGCAAGAGGAGAAATAGGTTTGCTCTATGTAATTAATATTAAAGATTAATAAAAAAGATCAAAATAAAAATAATAAAAATAAACATTAATGAAAAAGATAAATTTCTGGACAATGAAGGATATTAAATAATATTCTTAAGAAATCTTTAACAAAATTCATTATCTACCATTGACATTTACTATGTGAGGAAAGTTATATGCATTCCTTGTAGAATTTTAAGGAGAATGCAGTGAAGTAGTTTCTGTACTTTGGAGACTTTGCACTGGAGATGGGTAAAAATCTAATCTTCCCACAGTGATAAAAATGAAGAGGTACATTAAACTGAAACTCCCTTGCAACCCCTTGACTGAATCCAGCAGTTTAGAATATTTTCAGCATTTAGAATGTTTGGGCACTTTGTAAAAAATGACCATGGGCTACAGAGAAGTTACGTTGAAGGAGTGGTGAAACATGTTCTGTCGACAGACAAGAAAAGCAAAACTGGTACCCATCCATTAAGCAAGGCAGCCCCTTTATGTCTTCAGTACCAGTTACATGAGGCCTTGGTAATTGTCAGGGTACATGCCTGAATGCCAGAACCATGTAAAGAGAAGGTCATTTGGGGGAATAGAGTAATGGGAAAGGTCATGTGTAGTTGGGAGATCTTATGTAATAGCTTGTCTTTATTTAATTTGAATTTGGCGAGGCATATCAGCTTAATAAAGATTATCATTAAAGGTAATAGTGACAGAAAGGATTTGTTAACCATAAAGATTGTTGACAGGAATGCAGTGTTGATGGGATTCTTTTACAAATATTACTATACAAAAGGGAAGTTTTTTCCTTGAGACAAAATATAGAACTCTAATTTTATTGCGAATATTTTTCCAAGGATTGATGGAATGTTTTATTGATATGAGATAAAACAGAAAATATGATTCTAGAGATCAAAGATCTCGTGCGTAGGAAAATATATCATTTGTCATGCAACACAGTAAATGATAGAGGTCTTATGTTATTTTTCCTATAAAATTAACATTTCACAATAGATTGGGAAAAATAAAAGATAACTATTACAAGCTGAAGTCACTAACAGAATTAAAAAATATTTTGGAAGAACCTACATCAAAGAATTAGAGGTAAAATTAATCTTACATACTATTTTTGTGAGATTCTCTGCTTTCTTTAGTTAAAATAAAGGGGCGAAGTAGATTGTCACACAAAATATGTGCTTTATATGACTTGAAATTTTTTTTTGAGATTTGTAGAGATCTGTGAATATATATTATAAGCATTGGAATGAGTAACAAAGTATTTCAAACATTTACAACAACGTGGAATCAGTATGCAAGTAAACATCTGAAAGTGGCGTTTTTTGGATAAAATTTGTAGTATCAGCAAGTAACCAAGGAATATAATGGTAAATGAGAAACTACTTAGAAAAAAAGTTAGCAAATTTTTGCTTTTGTTGGAGATTTAATTAAGTATAGCTCTGTTTAAAATTCTCAGTCCAGCACTAGTTTGTGGCACTTCCAACAGTAGTACTGAATGGAACTGAATCAAGTTTTAGATGCATTTGGCTGTTTGGGGGCCACACCATTGAGGGTTCCAGGAGGGTTGAACAGGGACCCTATCTAGAAGTTTCTATGTGATTAACTTAAGAGAAGTCATAAATATGTGTTCCATTCTTAGTTAATTCAAAATCAGTTAAGTAAGGTCAGTTACAGTGCAGATTAAATAGATTGTCCCTTGTTATACTCCTGCTACAGTAGAGACAGAAAGCTGAGGTCACCCACCAATTATCTATAAATATCTTTTATAGTCTCAACAAAAATTAAGTTACTTTTTTGAATTCTTTCTTCTTCTTGCTAAATTATCTTCCTTCACTGACCAGCTATAAAAAAATCACCTTTTTGATTCAACTTGGAATTTTTCTAAGTTTCTTCATATTTCTGTTAAATGAAGTTCCAAAATGAACACCAAACTCGAATAAGGATTTATTTGGATTAAGTTATAGAATAGTTTAGAAATCAATCAGTTCTTTAGACCAAATCAGGTTATATTATGTAATGTTTAGAAATCATGAATGGTTTATTCCCCACAGTGAAGCAAAACTATGCTTTATCTGGGCAAGGGCTATATATCCTAATACATCTGTGTAAAAAATACACAGTTTTGTTTTTTTTTTTAAAGCCAAAACTGCAGTTAACATCTCCAAGTATAGTGAAATTACAGTGAAAACACTCACCTTTTCGTATTTTTACCCCAAAGCAAGGCTTTATTCATCCAAACTATAGGCTGCAGTGATTGCAATTTCAACCTCTACAATTAGAATGACTTTAATTTGTCACATTTATTAATAATCTTATGTGTTGTTATAGATTGGATTCATGTAGATCATTATCCCTACCTCTCTTTTTTTCTGATATAATGTTTGTATATGTCTGTGTTCATGTGTGTGTCTTGTTTTCTGACTCTGAAATGTTTATTATGCCTTAGACAGTTACCCCAGGGAGATTATGTAAAAAAGCCTGGAGATGGTGACTCTTTTTATAGCGACATTCCTCCTGGAGTCAGCACAAACTCAGCATCTAGTTCTAAGAAGAGGTCTGCTTTTCTGTCGCATTTTCAGATTTCTACCTGTTCCATCACACATTATTCCATTAGTCAGAACATTTCATTATTTTGCAGCAGGTTTGATTACTTCTTCCTTCTTTCTTGAATGTTGAAAAATAGTATCCTTTGTTCTTTGATTACTGTACTTCAAAATGCCATATGCTCAGAACCACTTGTTATACAAATCAGGCCACAAAATTGAAACAAAACAAACAATAATCCTAAATCTACATAGAAACTCCAGAGTTTTCCAGTCTTGCTTTTATATGGCTTAAGAAAGTATCATAGTATTTAATAGTATTTTAAATGGTGAGCTTTATGTCATGTTTGGTAGTCAAAGAAAAAGGTTACTGTCATGCTTCAGTAAAAGCAGTTGTTAACATAAAGTCATAACATAAGTGCCGCATTGAATATTTTTTTAATTTTATATATATTAAAGCTAAGCTTGCTATGAAACAAAGATTGCTTCTCTGTGAATCATATATTTGAACATTATGATTTTGCCTTTTTTTTCTGAGATGATTGTTTTTAGACTTTATAATTTACACTTTAGTTGGCAAATTAGGTACACTTAATATTTGCCTGAGTTTTATAATAGTACAGATAGGATTGATATTTATATGTCTTAAACTCTGATACTATTTCTTATTCTAGCATCTTAAGGTGTTTGACACCATTTAAAATCCTGCATGCTTTATAATTGCTTGATAAAATAAATGGGTATAAGAAATAAATAGTTGGGATGTTTTAGGGAATGAGACCTATGTTCATACTGAAGGAAGCTTAAAATATTCTTGTGGAAAAATTTCTTTAAAGTTGCCAATGAGGTATAATGGGTAGGAAAAAAGTTTTGGTGACTCTTCTCATGACTGGACACATTAATTACTTTGTTGAGTGAAGGGGAAGTTGCTAGTTTATTAAGAGGAAACATCAGTTCTAGAGTTCTGTATAGAGTGAATCATCTATGAAAATTCTACAGTGGCTCTCAGTCTCAATAAATATTAATCAGGAAGGAGAATATAAGGAATTAATGAGATCTAGGAACTCTATGTGGAACTTCTTAAGTATGAAGGATAGTTTTTACTTTTTAGAAAACAAAGCTTAAAGCAAAAGTAGAAATACTAGTTTGGGCCAAGGAGTACAGTTCTGTAGAAGGATGTTTTAAAAATTTATTCTTTTAATTTATTGAAGACGTGTTGGCTAAAAGAAAAAGACAACTAGGGAACTACTGAATTCTCTCATATAAATATTTTCTTGATCAAATATTAAATTTTAAATTAAAGTAACAGCAAATAAATGGAGAATTCAGTGGGTTCCAGCAGAATTTCTGTTGTCCTTTTGTACAAAATAGGAGTCATTCTGTAAGTAGCAAATGATGTTGGAAAAAGTTCCAGCCTAGGCAATGAATATGAAATAATTGTGCTGAGTTCCATTTATTTTCACTCATCAGTGGAAGATTCTTTTTAAAATAGTAGACATTATTAGTAATAAACCAAAATGATACATGGAAATATTTTTTAAGTATAGTGCTATTTTCTAAAGTACCTTAAAAACAGCTTAAAATATCCATTTGAATAATTTCCATACTTTATAAAAATCTCAATGGGTTATGATTTTTAAACAGTTGGGAATTCTATCAAATTGTTAGACTCTTAAATATATGTAATTTGTCAAAATTCATTTCTTGTGTGGTATAAGGTAGGTGTGTAAATTTTGCTTCTTGTAAATAATTCATTTAAAGGAGGTAGGACATAAATAGCAGAGGGGCTTAATGGTACATGGGCTTTGTGAGAGACACTTCCATTAAAAATTCCTGATTCAGTTCAGTTATTGGACAATCGACCAACATGTACTGCACTTTATTGGACTATATTTGTAGAGAAAAATGCCAATTCTCAGCAAATAATTTTATTATTTAAGAAAACCTAAAGATTACTTTGATAAAGAAATCTTAATGTAATCTTAATGTATTCTCTTGAAAGTCCATGTTCTCATAGTATTTGAATGGAAACCATTGCTTTACAATTAAGAAACATCTATGGTGGGACCCCATTACGATGCCTCATTGGGGTTATGTAACTGATATACACAGTGAATTTGCCACATGGTTGCTCTGTTCTGGGGAATGTCAATTGGCTTGCATTCTGTCCTGATACTTTCCATTTATGGACTATTGTAATGGGGTTCCATTGTATTTGACTTTTCTTAAATTGGATGTTGTGTAATTCTGCCTTCTTCATGAAGACTTTCATGTTCTCTTCATTCTTTCATTTCAGATTTTTTCTTTCTTGATTTATTTAACGCAAGTAATGCTTAGAAGCTTTGCTTACTGATTTCAAAGGATCCACTTGATTACGTTTTTGAACAATGTATCAATATTTTCAATTTCAGGTCAAATGGGCTCTCTCATTCTTGGAGTGAAAGGATTCCAGACACAAAACATATTTCAGACATCTGTGAAAATGGGCGACCTCGAAGTAACTCTTGGCAAGGTAGCGGCCAGCACTCTGAATCCATCTAGCCACACAATCCAAGTTCTATATTCTGCGGTCCCTGGTGTTACAAGCCTTATTCATTCTTGAAAGCTATTTAGCTTTTCTCCCAACAGAGAGGGGGGTATCTAGAATAGGAGTTGTTTTTTTCTTTTTTTTTCTTTCTTTGGATGGGAAGTGATGGGATTCAGTGGCACCAGTACATTAGACAAGTTGAGAAGGCTGTATACAGTGCTACGAAGCCCAGTGTTCCAGGGTGGTGCTGCTTATGCATTGCACCCACTTGAAATACCATGTGATTAGACAAGGGGCAGTCATTTATTTACTTGGAAATCTAGCTCTAAACCATCTTTTTCAGGTAACATGGGAGGCAACAGAAAGAAAATCAGAGGGAAAAGATTTAGACCTCGGTCTAATTCAACTGAGTAAGTCTGAACCTCTAATGGAAAAAGGCACTCTAAGGTCCTGTGCAATTAGTGTCAAAAGTTAATTAAGCAGATAGTCAAAGAACCATAAACCATGCCTCCAGTCTTGGTTTTTTGTTTTTTTTTTAATTCTTTTTTGCCCTTTAAAAATTAACCATGGCTTTTCTCTTTTACATAGGCATCTCCGCAACTGTGCCCATACCAATGTTCACTGATAGTGGGGGTCGCTCCCTTGCTGCAGGCTTTTTCCTCCAGTCACCTGCCATTGTGGTGTTTTGGTTCCTTTTGAAGGGAATTTTGATAACATTCCTTTCTTCTCATCACCCGGTCCAGCCATTTCAAAGGGTCACTCTTCCGCCCCCCAATACTCACACAGCCTGGAAGCATCAGGGAAAAACTCTCATCGTACTAGAGCATGAACTGCTCACAACCTAAAACCACCACTCCGAAGTCTTCATAGCTGTAATCTAAGCATTCTCTCAGACTAATGGAATAAGTTTCCCTTTTAAATTTTCCTTCTGAGAACATTTAAAAGGGCATTCATCTAAACTTGCTCTTTAACTGAATCATTGTCACTAAATGCAACATTATCTGTTTGAAATGATAGCCACACCATTTTTTAGTGAGGGTGGGGTCAGAAGTTACATTTAATAATAAAGTAAATGCCAGGCATTTTTGTTTGTTCATTTCTCCACTTAAGAAATTACAAGCAAAACAACACCTCATCAAACCTAATTTCCTTTCCTTGAATAAAACACACTCTTAGTATCCTTTTGGACTGACCCTGCCACCTAGTTTTAATTACCCATACTTTTTTAACCCACCTAAAAATTTTCACTTATTTCTCACTACAGTGGTGGTTATTATTTTCAGGATCTCTATTGCTTCTTCATGCCTTAATACTTAAAAAGTCTGAATAGTAGGTATTTACAACTGCCTGTCAAAAACTTATGTTAGCTTTTCCATCATACACCTTGCCTTTTCCAGTCCAGGAATAATAGCATTGCCCTGAAATTTGGACCTTCCACCTGAATGGTATTGTTTTGTACATGGCTCGTCAAAGCTTTCTAGAGGATACTTTACATTAGAGACAGTAGACAATTTCAAGTGATACCATTGCATGGTCCAGAATGGCACCTAGAACTCCATCCTAAATAACTAATCTGTTAGAGTTTATCTTAAACATTACAAAGCGCTTGGATGCTTTAGGGCTCATTGTTGATAAACTCTTCTTGGAATGTTGTTTGGTTTGTTTTGCATGAGGTCACCTAGTCAAAGCTCCTTAACTTATCTCAGTGGCTCAGGAGAGTACAAATAAAACTATAAAATGGTCTTTAGATATTCCTTGAAATACCATGTAATAAGACATATGGCAATCATTTATTTACTGTTTAGTATTCTAACAGTATTTCCTATAACAATGCTTTGAAAACTCCTAAGTAAAAAAAAAAAAAATTAAAATACTATGTTAAAGCTCTGAATTTAGGACCCAAAGAACATTTGGTGTTCTAATATTCATATAGTATTTTCTAGAACAATCACTTATTCTTTTTAGTTTCACATAAAATTTCTACACACATCATGTGATAATTATTATACCACAGATAGACTTGAGGAAATCTTGCCTGTGAGATAACTAAGTTATATTTAATAAGACATCACCATAGAATCATCTTTGTGAGGGAAAAGCATTAAGGACTCCCTCAGATTTTTTTAGGCTTTTCTGATTTTGTTTACATGACTCACATTAATTAAATGAAGCTAAGTCTGTGAAGCTGATCATTAGTCTCATATACCTTCTTGTGTGGAAACTGTCTCTCTATATACATACATATACACACACACATACATTTTCTTATAAGAATTCCTGATACAGAGCATATCAAGAATTATGTTGGCAAATTTTTTATACTTTTCATATTTAAGTAATCCCATTTGCTTCTGATGTATTAATACCACTTGTGTGACTAAAAGAAGAGCAGAATGATCACTGGCAAACATATCTATTTTGTGTTTTTTTTTAGAATAACAGGTATTTCAGGTCCATTATTTCAACATTCCCTCTAGTACTTCATCATCCCAACAGATGATGAGAAATCAGGACATGAATTAAAACATGCACCACAAATGCATGCTCTGCTAATTAACAAAATAAAATGTCCTTGTTTATTGTATTGTTTTTCCACTCGAAGCTTTTGCATCTTCCTCACTGTTGTACCTGATGTAAAATTTTTTTTGGCTTAGACTGTGTATTATATATTGTGTTTTTACAGGAGGGAGCCCCAAGCACCTGAGCCTGGGCACTCCCTCGCCCAGACAGTCCCATCCCAAGGCATAAGCCCAGGGGGCTCTGACAGCCCCCAGACAGGGAGTCTGGATCACAGGTCAGTCTCCACCTGCCCGTTTACTCTGGGCTGCCACTTAATCTCCCTCCAAGTCCCTTCCTTGGCTGAGAACAGGGTCATATGATCTTTGACCAAGCCCCCATGTCTGCTTGGACATGCTCCTGATCCAGCCAGCACCAGCTAATTTTCCTCTGCCTTTCCATCCTGGAGAACACAAAGAGCTCCCCTGTCCCGTCTAATGCATTTTTTTGCATGTCGCGCTATAAGCCAAGTTAAGCCACATAGGCAGATTTACAGTAGTTTGATAAAATCACATCACTCCAGCCACCACAACCTTGAGATGTTAGGAAGTCCACTGTGAAGACATTTTCATGCACAGATCCCCAGCAGGAGCAAACAATTGAGAGTTCTCTTCAGTGACCTCTGGTGAAGTGATCGCAGCCTTCTGAAGTGCTCCCCGAAATGGAGGGAAAAGTCCGTCAAGTGCAAGTGAAGCCATGTGGTTGTAAGCTGTCATGGCGCATCCGTGGCACCAGCCCTTTGAGTTTCTAAGATTGTCAGTGAAAGGAACAAATGTCTCCTCCTGGAAGTGGCCGTCTGCCTGTGGGTGACTCAGTTTGCTGTGTGGCTATGTTTCACCTGATTACAGCTGCATGGGCTTTTTCTACAGTTTTCCCCAGGCTGGAGCATTCACTAGCCTTCATCTGTGGCTGCACTTGCTTTTTGACTTTTTTATTTTTGTTTGGAGTCTCAGTGGAAACCTTTATGCAAGTTTTAATTGGCTATCTCTGTGAAAGCACAAGTTGGCAATGATTGTGGCTAAAGGCAAAACTAGTGTGAGTTTTTCCTGAGTCAGGACATATCATCTTAGCAAAATGGTCTTAAAAGCATAAAAAGCAAACTGATCTCTTTTTTTTTTTTTTTTTTTTTTTTTTTTTTTTTTTTTTTTTGAGACAGAGTCTCGCTTTGTTGCCCAGGCTAGAGTGAGTGCCGTGGCGTCAGCCTAGCTCACAGCAACCTCAAACTCCTGGGCTCGAGTGATCCTTCTGCCTCAGCCTCCCGGGTAGCTGGGACTACAGGCATGCGCCACCATGCCCGGCTAATTTTTTATATATATATCAGTTGGCCAATTAATTTCTTTCTATTTATAGTAGAGACGGGGTCTCGCTCTTGCTCAGGCTGGTTTCGAACTCCTGATTTTGAGCAATCCGCCCGCCTCGGCCTCCCAAGAGCTAGGATTACAGGCGTGAGCCACAGCGCCCGGCCTCAAACTGATCTCTTTTTTCAGGAGGGAATTTCGTGATACTATTTTGTAGAGTAACCTTGGTTATGACTAAAAATGAAGGAAAGGGCTATGGAAAAAATAACCTGACTTTATGATGCCACTGTGGAAATATAGTCTTGATTTAAATGTGTTTATGAACAGATTGAAAACTAAATACAGGGGAAAGAAGCAAACTTTAACCAAAAAAAATAATAATGTATTTTATATTTTTCCCTGGTTTGTTTCCAAATAAGTTCTATAGAGCTTGTTCTTCATTGTGTATAATATCTCTAGAAGTTATTTTTTTAAATGGGAAAACCCAGTAAAAACTCTAAAGTCTTACAATACTGCTTTGTTAAATCTATATTATTTTACAAGGGCAGATTCTAACGGGATGTGTTTTTGCCTGGCTCCCAGGTAAAAGATCAAAGGAAAAATTGTTGGGTGAAAAAAACAACAATTTGTACCTCCAATTTTACTGCCTTTAAAAGCGCACAGGAATTATGATGGAGACTTTGCCAGATCCATCTGGGAAGTGCTAACTAAGGTCATTACCTTTCTCTGGCAGTCATTCGCACAATTCATGATCAAACATGTGGAAGGCAACTTCTGAGGGCCTTTTCCTAATGAAAACACAAACACTTTAGTCTGAAGTGCAACTAAATTACTAAACCCAGCTTCACGGTCATAGAGACCTATTTAGACAACACTTAATAGGCATTGAGGCTCCAGAATCAGAAGAGTGGGAACCCTTCTGCTCCTTGCAGAGCCAACTGGAGCATGCCTTATTGTTGACTCCAGTTTGGGATCCATTATTGGGAATAAGACAGGTGCCATGTAAAAGCCTTCTCATATTGGAAAGAGAACTTTGCTCCTTTTAATAGTTCTTGGGATGTTATATGCCCAAATATCAGCTTGGAATTGGAGCCAACTGAATATTTTCAATAAGCACCGTTATCATGTAAAAACCAAGGAGCCAAATGAGAGGTGGCCTGGAAAAAGCCACTTTGGAGGTGGGTGAATTGGACCACTGACAGTACTGTGATTGAAAGGGAACTTCTGATTCACTTTGGGAAGCTGCTGGAAAAGGCTTTCCCAGAAATGTTGAATACATTCTAGAATGCCTTGAGCCTTGTTATAGCTCAGATTATTTTCATGTCATTGTATAGATTGCCTCATAATCACCCAGCATCCATCCTGGTTTATTTGCCATGGTCACTTGCATTTGGAGGGTGAAGACATCCTTGCTAAGCTTGTGCTGTGTATTTTCAGATTTTCTATCTTGTTCTGCTTTCTTTGTTCCTTCCATTGCTTTCTGCAGGTATTTAAACCCATGGTTCAAAAGAGACTATAATGTAGCTAAGTGGGTAGAAGATGTGAATAAAAACACTGAAGGACCATACTTTAGGTATTTTATAAATTAATTTTATATCCTTTTCAAACTCTCCCAGCACATACAAATACTGTAGTGTGACTGGTTTTCTATCTTGTATCTCCCAATACAAGTTCCCATAGGTGGAAAGGCCCTTGTTTATTTGCTGCCTTTTGATCTGTTTTTGGCTTCATGAGCAAGTCTAGTTCATTTTTGAATGTTTCAAATGAAGCCATTTGAAAGGGTCACCATTTAGTGCATGTCCCTCTCATCATCTTGAGCTTTTTAGTAGCTTTCTCTTCATTTTATGCTGTGTGGTGTTCTATGGGCATGAAACATACTTTCCACTAATAAAGAAGCACTATTAACCCAAACAATTTAATTTCCAGAATGGAGCAGTTTCATAATGTATTTTTCTTACTGCTTAAGAGTGCATAGTGCATATGAAAACTCAAGGAAAAACCGAAAAGGAAACTAAATGTAGTGGATTTTTACTTCGAGTAGAAATAATGATTTGATCTAACTGGAAAATTCTTGAAAATAATACTGAGCACATAAGAGTATGTGGAATGAGTTTAGGTTCTATTTGTTCAGAATAACTATTTGCTATCAGAGAAGGGGTGCGCTGAGTATTTTACACATTCTCAACAGAGCATTAAATAATTTTTTGATGCTCATAAAAATGTCTGATACTTCAAAGAGAACATAAAGCAGCTGTTCTTGACTCACGAAAGAGAAGAGTATTCCTACATTTTAGAAACTATCAAATTACTCAATTCACTATAGCTCTGTGTAATATTAGGGGTCAGAGAGAATTTCCAAGAGTTCTTAATGGTATTTTTTTCACTATTTATACTATCGCAGTGATTTCCCAGAGATAAATTTCCATCTTATACCTGACTACTTTGTGGACAAGTAATGTGAAGAAGAAATATAGACTCTATTACTGCCTCTTCTGAACATAATTTAACAATAAGCTGTTATATTACTTATTGCCATGACTTGGGTCAACATTGAACAGATATCAAAATATATATGTGTATTTAACTCTCAGCACCCATATAAGGTGGACTCTCTCTTCCAGTGTACCATTTAGGTTAGTCATGTATAGTTTGAGAAAATGATTAGACCTACCTGCATTTAATTTATTCCATACATTTGCATATACCCTAAGGAAAGCGTAACTCCTGCCTGCTCACAAAAAATATATCCTGCTTTTATACCCCATCTTGCCCTGTCTTCTGCTTGTCCCACACTTTCCCACACTGAACCTCGTACACATACACTCACATTCAAACATCCCACCCTCACCTGTAGCTCCCAAGACGGCCAACGTCAGGAAGACAGGTAAGATGATTTTGAATGTTATTTGGAATCTTGGCTCACCTGCAGTCCTGTTCCTCCTTTCTGTTTTCCTCAGGCTTGTGGGCAGATTGTAATTTGTACCAGCCATAGAATCAAAACAGAATGACTTTGGTCTGGGGGGGGGGGTTAGGGCTTTTATTCCTAAATGGACTTAGCATTTTCGTAGCAATAATTTGTGAAATGGTACCCCGGAAGAGTTGATTCACCTCCCCTGGGTGAGCTGAGTAGTTTATGTGGCTCCCAGAGAAGAGTTCACATTTAAAATCAGCACCCAGGTCTGCCCAGAAGCTGCATGACTAAATGCAATTTGGATGGGGAAATGCTTTAGCACCCCCAGTTGCACGTGCAAAGCTGCAAGGGCAATACTAGAGGGTTTCTTTATCTCCTCTTTTAATGTGAGATGTTGGTTCTTACAGTATATAACACATTAAGAATTATTAAAAATCATATTGATATTTAAAGGCTAAAGTTCAGTGGATGGTTATAATTTAACTGTTGTTTTTGGATTAATAAGGGTTATGCTGGTAATACTTTGAAAATCAACACAAAATTTCTGTGGCAGTGGGCGAATAATTGAGATGGCCCAGAGCTTTTAACACAATGACTCCAATACAACAGAGAGAATTTCATCCACTCTCCATCCAAGCCAAGCCTCACATAGAAGGCCTAAAGTGCATCCACACCTTGGCCTATGCTTTGCCAACCCTATGCTTAAGCTCAGATCTGCTACATCGGCAGCCAGATCATTTGAGATTACCTCTCCTGCCAAAAACAACAATGAGGGCAAAGGTCACCATATTAGTCACCCATGTGATGTTGGATTTGTGGCATCCTTATCAAAATGTAGTCAGGACTTTGTGACTGCAGCAAACTGGTCCAAAATATAGCCCAGCATTTGAAATACAGTATCCATATAACTACAAAGAGCCAGGCAAATGCCTAAAAATGTTGAGCAGAGTGTCTGTTTTGCTCATTGTCCAGTTCTCATATGACAGTGGTTGCTCAAATGTCCTCGCATGTGTCAGGTATCAGGAAGAAGCAAGATCAGGGCAAGAGCATTGAGTTCTGTTGGTGACAGTGCTTGACAAGCTCTTAGAAGGTATCCTTACTCTTGGGTATTATCCAGTTGATTACTCACTTCATCAGTGGTTTTTGAGTCAGAACCAGAATGAGAACCTGGCTCTGAGACCAAAATCTGTTCCTTCTCCATTTCACCATAATTACTTAAAAGTAGCAGGATAGATATTGACTACTTAAATCCTATCCTAGGACACTTAATAAATCCTTTTCTATCAGCCTGCTAAAAATTTGCATATGAACAAAAGTGAATAAGGTGTGACCCTCTCGTGATTGGCCTGGGTCTAGCCTGTCCTGGGGGGCAGAACTGAATTGAAATTGGCCTCACAGACCTGTCTACAAAAGGTGAGCCCAGGAAGTCTGATGTAGCCCCAGCCTGATGTGCCACAGTCCACTGGCACACAAATACCTTTGTTGTGCAACTCTAATATGGCACCCACTATGGTTTTTTAAAATGTAGTAATGATATCAGTTGATGCGTCCAAAGGTGCACTTCACTTTGTTAGTGAATGAGCTGAGTTAGTGCCTGGCTTTCGGTGAAAGCTGCGTTGGAACTGCCAGGCAAGTAGCCAGGGTCAGAAAAGAGCCTGGAGGCAGTTTTGAATCTCTTTCCTTAGAGATTTTGGAGACATTTTGAGTTTATTTTCCCTAAACTGACTTAGATCTTGTTGTCTATTCCTATTCTGATGACTCCTCTGATGCTCTCCATCTCCAAGATAATAACCTTTATGCTGTCACTCACCACCCAGCCTCCAGGACCTGTTGCCCCCTTCCCCTACTAAAACTTTCCTGCTCACTTCTCTTCCTCCCCTCAGGGTCCACAGTGTCAAGTATCTAGCACGCTAATGTAAGGAGGAGGACATGTACAGTTCCTCTGGGGTTCTGGAGTATACTTCTGGTTTTTGTTTTAACTCATGATTGGCTTTGCCCGTGAAAAGATATTTGAGGGCAAGACTGGACTTCCAGCACTCCCCGTTAGAATGGCTTTATCTGTGTCCCAGGCTGGTCATTTGGACACACACACTACAGCAAATTAAGAAGAGGATTTGTTTTGTGTGATCCCTCTAAAATTAACAAGATTTGTGTACCTGATTAGCTTTCCTGAACTTGAATATTTTGTCAGTAATGATCAGGCTAAAAGAGCCTAACCTAGGTCAGTATCCCTCATTTTAGAAAGATGCATTTAAATATCTAAATGCAAAAGTTTGCCCTCATTTTACACATACTGAATTTGTTTTTTAAAGATTATAGTCCTATTTAAAATGCTTTTCTAAAATAAATTTCATTCCTGAATTAGAGTAGTACATTGCTTTAATAGAACTTTGGAGGATTCGAAATAATAATCTTAGTTAACCCATCCACTCAGCAATGGAGAGCATCTACATGAGAGAAATCAAGCAGCTGCTATGTTCACGCTAGGGAGTGGTCCTGGCCTTTCCTCAACAATAGAGGAAATGTTAGGAATTACAGATTAAAAGTGAACTGAAACACTCTTGAATCTTAAAATCCATCCAGAATGGTCACTTAGATCTCAGAATGGATAGGAAAATTATTTTCAAACTTTAGCTTGAATTTAGTATCCATAAAATGGAAACTAGTTTGAAAACTGTGGCAGAACCAGAGCAAAGGGTATTATATGGATGGGAACCAAAATTTAAAATAAGGGAGGAAAAGAGAAAAGAGACATCTTCATGCTATTGAATGCAGTATAGGCAGTGGATTTTGACCTACCCAATGCCACCATTGCCCCGCTTCCCAACAATCCCAGGCTGAGGCAGTCACAGCAGAGGAAGTGAATCTGACTGGACCATTAAGTACCTGTGCTCTCTGTGGCAGCATAACCAGTTCAGCAATGTGGGTCATTAGCACCTTGCACCAGGAATTAAGGAGTCATGGATGTATAGTGGTGACCTTTGTGAATGGAATAGCTGCTGCAGTTATCACATCTGTTTTGCATTGATATCTTATGAGTAGATATTTTTTACTCAGTTATTTTTTTCACTTTAAAGACAAGTTAGCAATAAGTATGAGATATTCTAGTGAGTTTAGATCACTCAAATAATACCACTGCACATGCAAAATCAAACAAATACAGAATAATACACCAATAGCTTACGTAGAAATACTGATTATAGGGACTAATCAGACCATTTTTGTATGTTCTCATCAGACTTTGTTTGGCTGGAACTCTGCACTCCTTACTGCTTGCATGTATACTAATTTATTATTAAAACCCCTGTATTTGCCTTTGTTCCTTCACAACTAACACACTGGCCTCTGAATGCATGAGTTTTTGTGTAAACTGATGTGTGATTTAGCAACTAATAAATATATCAGTTGTAATATATTTTAAGATCTTAAGATATAGTTGGAATTATTATACTTAAAAACATTTTTTACATTAAGTGGTAAAAATAAAGCAGAGTATTAATATTTTGTACACTTCATTTACCATTATGAGCTCTTAGAATAATTTTATCTGTTCTCCATTTTAGCTTTTCATCTCTTCTATAGGAGATTTTGTTATTGGCTGTCTAGTTGAAAAGTATGATTCTTTGTCCTAACATTTAAACAATCCATTGCAGTCATGAAATTAGGAAGATAAAATCCCAGCATTCCAGTGTTGGGAATGACAATATCTTCCCAGTAGTTGGATCTTTGTAGTAGTGGCTTATGAAAGTAGAAATTAGAGGGTTTGTTCTGAACCCACTTTTCAGATATTTGAAAAAGATATTAGGCAATCACATGATATTTATTTTGTATGTTCTCAACATCTCAGGACTTTATCTCCTGCCAAGTCTCCTTCTTCATCAACTGGGTCCATTGCCTCCAGCAGAAAATACCCTTACCCAATGCCTCCACTTCCTGATGAGGAGAAGAAAGTGAATCGACAAAGTGCCAGGGTATGTGGAAACATCTTCCATATGCTTACATACTCAATCATTATCATTTATCTGGGAGTTCATATTTTAAAAGAGCCACTTTTCCTTTTTTGTTAATAAGAAAATGAAAAAAATTGAATATTAGAAGATTCTTGGGGCTTTTGGGTTCAGATTTATATTTACAAAATAGTTTAATCTGCATTGATATATTTGGTATATATTATTCATTACCATATACTTTTTTTTATTAGCTGTATCTAATATAGTAAATCCTGGAGTGGGCAAAACAGAGAGTGTATTCTGCTTTATCTTTTTAAAAAATTTTTTAAAAATTATTATGGGTACTGTTATGTTGCATATCTTTATAGGGTACATGTGATGCTTTGATACAGGCATACAATGTGGATTAAATCAGGGTAACTGGGGTATCAACTCAAGCATTTATCATTTCTTTGTGTTAGGAACATCCCAGTTCCACTCTTTTAGTTATTTTAAAGTATACTCTAACTTATTATTGATTATATTCACTTTGTTGGTGCTATCAAATACTGTTCATTCTGTGTATCTATATTTGTACACCCCGTAACCATCCCACTTTATTCCCCTTCCCACTACCTCTCCTAACCTGTAGTAACCATTGTTCTACTCTCTGTCTCCATGAGATCAACTGTTTCTAATATTTAGCTCCCACACGAGTGAGAACATACAAGATTTATCTTTCTGTGCTTAGATTATTTCACTTAACATAATGTTCTCCAATTGCATCCCTATTGTCACAAATGGCAGGATTTTATTTTTATAGCTATATAAGCCATTGTGTATCTGTATCGCAATTTCTTTATTCATTCATCTTTTGTTGGGCTCTTAGGTTGATTTCAAATCTTTGCTATTGTGAATAGTGCTGCAGTAAACATGGAAGTACAGATATCCTTTTGATATACTGTTTTCCCCTCTTCTGAAGGATATATACACAGCAGTGGGATTTCTGGGTCATATGGTAGTTCTATTTTCAGTTTTTTGAGGAATTTCTGTGCTATTCTTCACAGTTTACACTAGTTTACATTCCTATCAACAGTTTACAAGGGTTCCCTTTTCCCTACATACTCACTAGCATTCATTATTGCCTGCCTTTTGATAAAACCACTTTAACTGGGGTGAGATGATAACTTATTGTAGTTTTGATTTGCATTTTCCTGTTGACTAATGATGTTGAGCATTTTTACATATACCAGTTGCCATTTGTATGTTGTCTTTTGAGAAATGTCTATTCAGATCCTTTGCTTACTTTTTATTTGGATTATTTGATTTTTTCCTATTGAGTTGTTAGAGCTCCTTACATATTCTAGTTATTATTAGTCCCTTGTCAGATGGGTAGTTTGCAAATATTCTCTCCCATTCTGTGGGTTATTTCTTCCCTTTGTTGACTGTTTCCTTTGCTGTGTAGAAGCTTTTTAGCTTCTACATTTATCCAATTTTGCTTTGGTTGTCTGTGCTATGGGGGTATTACTCAAGAAGTCCTTGCCCCGACCAATATCCTGAAGCATTTTCCCAGTCTTTTCTTTTATTCATTTCATAGTTTCAGGTCTTAGATTTAAGCCTTTAATCCATTTTGATTTGAGTTTTGTATATGGAAAGAGATAAGGGTCTAGTTTCTTTCTTTTGCACCTGGATATCCAGTTTTGCCAGCACCATTTATTGAAGAGACTCTCGTTTCCCCACTGTATGTTATTGGCACCTTTGTCAAAGATAAGTTCACTGTAGATGTATGTATTTATTTCTGGATTCTCTATTCTGTTCCATTGGTCTATGTGTCTATTTTTATGCTAGTTCTGTAGTGTAACTTAAAGTCAGGTAATGTGATTCATCCAGTTTTGTTCTTTTTTCTGAGCATGGCTTTGGCTATTCTGGGTCTTTTCTGGTTCCATATAAATTTTAGGATTATTTTTTCTATTTCTTTGAAGAATGTCATTGGTATTTTGATGGAGATTGCATTGAATCTGCAGATTGCTTTGGGTAGTATGGACATTTTAACAATATTGATTCTTCTAATTCATGGGCATGGAATGTCTTTTCATTTTTTTATGTCCTCTTCAATTTCTTTCATCAGTGTTTATAATTTTCATTATAGAGATCTTTCACTTCTTTGGTTAAGTTTATTCCTAGGTATTTTATTTTATTTGTAGCTATTGTAAATGGGATTATTTTCTTGGTCTCTTGTTCAGATTGTTTACTGTTGGCATCTAGAAATGCTACTTATTTTTGTATATCGATTTTATATCCTGCCACTTTACTGAATTTATCAGTTCTATTCATACTAGGTGTTTTTTTTGTGTGTTTTTTTTTTTGTGGAGTCTTTAGGTTTCTTTAGATACAGGATCATATCATCTGCAAATAAACATGATTTCACTTCTTTCCAATTTGGATGTTCTTTCTTTCTCTTGTCTGATTGCTCTAGCTAGAACTTCTAATACTGTGTTGAATAACAGTGGTGAAAGTGGGCATCCTTGTCTTGTTCCAGATCTTAGAGGAAAGGTTTTCAGTTTTTCCCCATTCAGTGTGATACTTGCTGTGGGTCTGTCATATATGGCTCTTACCATATTCAGGTAAGTTCCTTCTATACCCAGTTTTTTCATAGTTTTTATCATGAAGAGATGTTGATTTTATTGAATGCCTTTTAAGCATCAATTGAAGTGATCACATGGTTTTTGTACTTTGTTCTCTTGATATGATGGTATCACATTGATTGATTTGCATATGTTGAAACATATTTGCATCCTTAGGATGAATCCTACTTGATCAATATGATCTTTTTAATATGTTGTCGAGTTTGGTTTGCTAATATTTTGTTGAGGGTTTTGCATCTATGTTTGTCAGAGATATTAGCCTGTAGTTTTCTTTTTTTTTGTATCAGGGTGCTACAGGCCTTGTACAATGAGTTTGAGAGTATTCCCTCCTCCTTGATTTTTGGAATAGTTTAAGTAGGATTGGTATTAATTCTTCTTTGAATACTTGATAGAATTCAGCAGTGAAGCCATTTGTTCCTGGGCTTTTCTTTGATGGGAGACGTTTTATTACTGCTTCTGTCTCTTTAGTAGTTATTGATTTATTCAGGTTTTGGATTTCTTCCTGGTTCAATCTTGGTAGGTTTTATGTATCTAGGAATTTATCCCTGTCTTCCCAGTTTTCAAATTTACTGGCATATGGTTGCTCATAGTAGTCTCTCAATAATCCTTTGGATTTCTGCAGTATCAGTTGTAATGTCTCCTTTTCCATCTCTGATTTTATTTGGGTCTTCTCTGTTTTTTTCTTAGTCTGGCTAAAGGTGTGTCTATTTTGTTTATCTTTCCAAAAAACTAACTTTTTGTTTCATTGATCTTTTGTATTTTTTTTTTTGTTTCAACTTCTGATCTTTACTATTTCTTTTCTTCTACTAATTTTGGTTTGGTTTGCTCTTGTTTTTCTAGTTCTTTGAGATATATTGTTGGGTTGTTTACTTGAAGCTTTTCTACTTTTTGATGTAGGCACTTCTGTAAACTTTGCTCTTACTACTGCTTTTACTGTGCCCCATAGGTTTTGATTTGTTGTGCTTTCATTTTCATTTGTTTCAAGAAAATTTTTAAATTTCCTTCTTAATCTCTTCATTGACCCCATTGGTCATTCAGGAGCATATTGTTTAATTTCCATGTGTTTGTATATTTTCTAATGTTTCTCTTGTTATTGATTTGTAGTTTTATTTCATTGAGATCAGGGAAAATACTTGGTATGATTTCAATTTTTGTGAATTTTTTAAGACTTGTTTTGTGGCCTAACATATGGTCTGTCTTTGAGCATGATCCGTGAGCTGAAGAGAAGAATGTGTATTCTGCAGCTGTTGGATGAAATATTCTGTAAATATCTATTAATATTGGGTCCATTTGGTCTATAGTGCAGGTTAAATGCAATGTTTCTTTGTTGGTTTTCTGTCTGGATGATCTGTTCAATGCTGAAAGTGGAGTGTTGAGGTCTCCAACGATTATTATATTGGGGTCTCTTTATCTCTGATAATATTTGCTTTGTATATCTGGGTGCTCCAGTGTTGTGTGCATATATATTTAGAATTGTTATATCCTCTTGCAGAATTGACCCCTTTATCATTATATAATGACCTTCTTTGTCTCTTTACAGTTTTTTTCTTGAAATATGTTTTATCTGTTAGAAGTATTGCTACTCCTGTTCTTTTTTGTTTTCCATTTGCATGGACTATCCTTTTTAATCCCTTTATTTTTAGTCTATATGTGTCTTCATAGGTAAAGTGTGTTTATTGCAGACAACATATAAGCTGGCTTTTGTTTTTTTATCCATTTGGCCACTTTGACACGAGACCTGAATCCAAATTTCACAGAACAAAAAAGTTTGATTTGGTCGAGGGGCCACGCTTGGGGATCTGGAGGGCCACATGTGACCTTGAGGCCACCAGTTCCCCACCCCTGCTTGTTGTTATTGATAGGTAAGGATTTACTAGTGCCATGTTATTATTTGATTTCTGGTTGTTTTGTGGTCTTCTCTTTCTTACTTCATTTCTGTCTTTTGTTAAAAGTGATTTTCTGTGGTAGTGTGTTTTAGTTTCTGGCTTTTTATTTTTGTGTATCTGTTGTTTTTTTGATTTGAGGCTACTATGAGGCTTGCAAAAAACATTTTATAAACAGTTATTTTAAGCACATGACAACCTGCTTACAAACAAGCAAATAAATAAATGAATAAAGGGAAATCTAACAAATTCTACCCTTTTACTACATCCCCCACCCCTGCTTTTCAACTTTTTGTTGTTTCCATTAATATCTTTTTAAACTATCTTTCAAAAAAAGTTATTTTTGATAGGTTCACCTTTTAGTCTTCCTACTCAAGATGTAAGCGGTTTATACACTGCAATTACAGCAATAGAATATTCTGTGTTTTTGTCCTTATTGTTACCAGTGAGTTGTATACCTTCAGATGATTTCCTATTGTTCATTAATGTGCTTTTCTTTCATATTGAAGAACTCCTTTTAGCATTTCTTATGGGATAGGTCTGGTGTTGTTGAAATCCCTGAGCTTTTGTTTGTCTGAGAAAGTCTGTGTTCTCTTTCATGTTTGAATGATATTTTTGCAGGATATTATTGTACGGTTAACGTTTTTTTCCTTCAGCACTTTAAATATATTATGCCACTCTCTCCTGGTCTGTAAGGTTTCCACTTTGTTTTGCAACTTGGGTACCAGCTCAGCCACAGTAAAATAAAATTCCAAGCAGACTCCAGAGGCCTCTGAGTACAGGCCTTAGTTCCTGGAAGGCATTTCTGGACCCACCCTGGGCCAGAAGGAAACATGTGACCCTGAAGGGAAGGACTGAGTACTAGCAGGATTCACCACCTGCTGACTAAAGAGCCCTTGGGCTTTGAATAAACATCAGAGGTAGCCAGGCAGAGGGCTTTGAGTGAGACTCAGCTGGCTTCAGGTGTGACCTGGCACTGGTAGCCACAAGGAAATACCCATATCACTCCTCCCCCAGCTCCAGTAGCACAAGAAGTCTGTTGCAAGACATATTAGAGCTCCTCTATATGTTTTTTTTTTTTTCTTTTTTCCAGCTTCCCTTTGGACCTTTTCTTTATCATTGACCTTTGGGAGCTTGATTATTAAATGCCTGATGTAGTCTTGTTTAGGTTCAATCTGCTTGGTGTTCTATGAACTTCTTATATTTGAATATTGATCTCCTTGTCTAAGTTTGGAAAGTTCTTTATTATTTCCTTGAATAAACTTTCTACTGCAATCTCCCTTGCTACCTCCTCTTTAAGGCCAATAATGCTTATATTTGCCCTTTTGAGGCTGTTTTCCAGATCTTCTAAGCATGCTTCATTCTTTTTTTTTTCTCTCTCTTCTGAATGTATTTTCAAATAGCTTGTCTTCAGGCTCACTAATTCTTTCTTCTGCTTGGTCAATTCTGCTCTTGAGAGACTGATGCATTCCTCAGTTTGTCGATTGAATTCTTAAGCTCCAGAATTTCTGCTTGATTCTTTCAAAATTATCATTTCATTTTCTTTGTTAAATTTCTCTGATAAACTTCTGAATTCTTTCTCGGTGTTGCCTTGAAGTTCATTGAACTTCTTCGGGACAGCTCTTTTGAATTCTTTGTCTGAATGGTCACACGTCTCCATTGCTCCAGGATTGGTCATTGGTACTTTAGTTTGTTTGGTGAGATCATGTTTTCCTGACTATTCTTTATGTTTATGGATGTTCACTGATGTCTGGCCATGGAAGAGTTAAGTATTTATTTTAATCTTTGTAGTCTTCATGAGAAGGCTTTCCAGATTCAAAGGGAATTGAGTGTTGTGATCTAAGTCTTTGGTCACTGCAGCTGTATCAGCACTAGGGGTGCCCAAAGCCCAGTCATGACTCTTGATGGCACCGCCTTGGTGGACTTGGGTAAGATATGGGAGGATTCCCTGGATTGCAGGCAAAGACTCTCACTCTCTGTGCTGGGCTACTGGAGCTGGGGGAGGAGTGATATGGGTATTTCCTTGTGGCTACCAGTGCCAGGTCACACCTGAAGCCAGCTGAGTCTCACTCAAAGCCCTTGGTGACTGCTGCCTGGCTACCTCTGATGTTTATTCAAAGCCCAAGGGCTCTTTAGTCAGCAGGTGGTGAATCCTGCTAGTACTCAGTCCTTCCCTTCAGGGTCACATGTTTCCTTCTGGCCCAGGGTGGGTCCAGAAATGCCTTCCAGGAACTAAGGCCTGTACTCAGAGGCCTCTGGAGTCTGCTTGGAATTTTATTTTACTGTGGCTGAGCTGGTACCCAAGTTGCAAAACAAAGTCCCCTGAACTTTTCCCTTTCCTTTGCCTAACTGGTAGAAGACTCGCTGAGCCGCACTGCCTGGAGTTGGGGGTGATGGTGGTGACATAGGCTCTGGCTTGGCTGCCACTGCTGGTGTCTTACTGGGTCACATGAACCCCAAGTCTACTGGCTCGGAGCTAGCACAGCTGTAGGGATTGCCCACATTGCAGCCTTTGTGGCCCATCTGCTTTACAAATTTAGTCCAGGACCTAGGCTGCTTTTTGTCAGCCAGTAGTGGAGTTAGCTGGAACTCCGGTTTTGGTGAGGAGAATTTCTCTATTGCTCAGCTCATCTAAATGCTTTCTCTGTAGGCATTGGCGGAATTCTACCCTGTGCTGTGTTCCCCTGTTCCGGGGTGGCACTGAGTTTCAGTACACAGTCTCAGTTATTTCACTCTCCCTCCCCTGGGCACACAGATTCTCTCTCCACTGGGCACTGTGGCTCTGCCGGGGGATGGGGAAAGCTGGTGTAGGAAACCAAGACTGTCTTCTCTGCCCTCTTCAGTGCCTCTCTCCCTGACACAGTGTTAAAACAAGGTAGTATGATCTCTCACTTGATTTTTGGTTCTTTTGAAGGTGTTTGCTTGTGTGGTTAGTTGTTGGATTTGGTGTTCCTAAGGAGAGTTGATGGCTGAAGGTTTCAATTCTTGGACATCTTGCTCCATCCCCTCCTGTCAGTTTTTTTTAACATACCTGGAAATGCCAGACATTAAGTAAATAAGTGTCTTTTCCATGCCTAATGTGCTTACTCAGGCCTTCACTGGCTCCTAATACCCAGTAGGATTTTAGGAATAGGAACCTGTGCCAGAAAATCAGATCAGTGTCTTGGAGATGGGGGTGGAATTCAGATACAAGGAAAGGAGACTTGAAAAATCGATAGTATTAAAAGAATATAGCAAAAGGTTTGGCACAATTTAATAGCCTTTTATATTTAAAAAAGCTGAATTTAAAAACAAATATGGAGATGTTGATTATTTTTATAAAAATAGGATGCACCAAAAATTTTATTTAGATCTTGTCACCTTTCACATCTTAATCACACTACCACTCTGTCTCACAACATTCTTAAAATACATCCATTATGTGAATTTAAGATACAGTAGAGTTTAGAGAGGCAGACCAGCCCTCAGAGGATTTAGTGAAAGATAAAACCAAAGAATAATTACCTTCATTGATGCCCAAGCTCTACTGTGGCTAGTTACACTGTAATGTTGATCTTCTCTTTATTTTATCCATTTATCAGACTTCGCAAGAGTGTGCATTCACGTCACATATATGTAGATGGAGTCACTGAATCTTTTTCATCTTCATAGCTCAGAATACATCTGCTTCCTGATTTTAAAATTGTGCATTTTTGCTTTTCTCTGTTGTGCAGCTATGGGAGACATCCATTTAAGATCAACTGTTTACATGTGACCCATCGAAACTGTTTACTTCAACTTTTATAGAAACCCAGCCTCACGGAATCACTGCAAATCTATCTGCTCTTCAGACAATACGAAGGCCCTCTGAGATGCCACAGAGGAGAGGAAGCCAAATCTCACATCTGGATACCATTTTCTTTTTGTCATTGGCTTAGGATTTAACCGAACCATGAAAAGAACTACTGAAATGTTACACTATAACATGGAACAGTAAAGGTACTGGTATGTTAATGGATAATCTGCATGACAGATAATATGTAGAAATATCAATAAAATTAACTCACAAGACCCAAATGTAGCAAGTTTCCTAAGGGACAATAGTGGATTCAGAACTTGACATTCTGAAGCACATCCTCATTGTAAACAGTAATGCTATATGCATGAAGCTTCTGTTTATTGTTTTCCATATTTAAGGAAACAACATCCTATAATAGAAACTAGCATGCAGGGCTAAGGCATATAGGATTCTTCTGCAGGACTTTAAAGCTTTGAGAGGCCAATATCTCATATGCTAACTGTAAACATGTATTTTTATTTTTGTTTTGTTTTTTACTTTTCATATTTATATCAGCATACAAGGATAATTGTATATATGTAAACATTTTTAAATCTTAAAAAAAAGCAGCTGTTACACAAAAGTGTATTTTGCCAAATGCCTAAAAACAGTCAGTCACAATCACATCATTGTCATTCATCCAATGGTCTTTGAAGATTTTAAGCAGGTGATGTTGTAAATATAGTGGTCAGTGCTGTAAATGTGTCTCTTTATAATTGGTATTTGTCCAAAACATGTGATATCCCTTTAAACTGTGCACAGTCTGGAGGCAATTTTACTGAGTAATTGAGTGGGAGAACAAAATGCCCAGCAAAACTTCTGGCTCCCACAGCTTGCTGAAGCAGGAGTCCAGTAGTGTAGCTGCTCACTGGGAATCATCCAGCCTGTCCACTTCTCGGGGCATACAGTGTCTGTCTCAGCAGCTGTTATCTTTCAGTACCAGAGCGCATCTGCTGGTATCACCCTGGAGGCTGTTGAGCCCCTCAATGGTGTGTCCTGCTGAGGTTAAGCAAGTGCACCAAAGAGACATGAAACCACGGATGCTGGTGAACAGGTAGCTGCCAATACGCTAATCCTTTGCGGCCTGAAGTTTTGTTCCTGGAAACAAAACTCTTTCAAGGAACCTTTTAAACCACCCTTATCTTTGAAATGAATGACTTGTTTTAACAAAAGCTACTGTTACATTGTTGATTAAGGATATTTATCATCACTGGGATGTGAGTCCCAGCAAGTCATTCTGCACTGACTTTGAAGCAAGACGATGGAAGGTTCTTCTTTCTGAGCTGGGAAGCCTTAACAGTTCATACAGGGTTAAATGAAATCTAAAGCCACAAAGGTTCAGCCACAAAGGTTCACAAAGGTCTTTCCCCTGCTCAGCAACTGGCTGGCAGGGGAAAGAATCTGATGTTTTGAACCACATATTGTGTATTTTTTAGCTCGTAGGAAAGTGAGAATTCTATGTTCAAAGCCCCTTCTTTAAAACCAAAGTGTGATAGCTGTTATGATGCAGCTCTGTCATTCCGAAACAAAGCTACCCTAGTGAGGTCTGAAATTGATGGGATCGATCACATGATCTGCTGTGATGTGTACTTCCGATTTCCTCCTGTTTTTTCTTGAGAGGAATGGAATCTGCAGACAAGATTTCAGAAATAGTCTAAATTTGATCTCTCCCAGTAGTGTCTATGGACAAAAAATCCATTTCATTTCCATTTGTAATCATCTTAGATGACCAAACTGAAGAGCCACATTAGAAGGCAGCATTTTATACTCTGTGTGTTGATGTCTTCCGTAATGGACCTCTCTTCTGAAAGTCTTTGAAAATGTTTGAAAGGCAATTTAATCATCCAAAATTATACATTATGAAACAGCATTTTTCATGCCAGGAAGGGATATGATTATTGATACTACAGTAAAACAATCCATCAGACTAAGGTTTGGGTGAGTGTTGGACAACATTGCCACATAGCTCAAGCCGAGGACAGAAGGGCAGACAGATTGAAAGATGTAGCAAATAAAGTGACTTTTGGCCAAGATCACTTTAATGTGCACTGAATGTTTTCTGGTATTGAGTGTATAAAAGGCTAATGTTATAAGGTTTATTTTGACTATGAAAGAGTTTATAGATTTGAATGTAAGGTGCCTCATGTAAATATGCTTCCTAGTTGTAGTTTACATAAGCCCTAATTTGAAAGAATCCACAAATGGCTAGCTAAGTAGTCAGCAGATCTCTATCATCCATCCATCCATCCTTCTTCTGTCTTTCCTCACTTCAGTTATTTTTTTACATGTAGTTATTTCAAATGAAAACCATTATCATGTGCCTTTTGGGGGAGACATGGTTGCTCTAGAGGTATATATTAATAGTTTGTAATTGTCCTCCTCAGTAATAACCTTCATATGGAACTGAATGAAAAATGTTTGGTTTTTTTTGTTTGTTTTTTGCAGAGCTTATGATTTTAGAAATACAGTTGCTTTAAATGTTCTATTCTGGGAATCTACTCTATCTTCCATGTTTAAACATCCTTAGAGCCATTTGTGGAATTCTTTCACAGATTTATAGTTTCAAGGGGTAGTTTCAAGAAGTATCTATATGTCTACTCATGGTTGGTGTCCTAGAGGCATTATATCTAAATGACTTTTCACCCACTGAGATAGATAGAATGGACCCATGGCACTAAGTACAAGCACAGCATTATTTCTTGTTAAATATCTATTTTGTAGAGAAACTTTGAGGCCACATAGCAGTTTGTATCATGCAACTAATATTTATATTTCCCAATCCACTCCAGGATCATTACTAAGTAAAGGAGAGCAGTTATTTGGCCTTTATGTTCCATTGTATCCCTTTCCCCTCCTCTTTCTAAAGTTTTGTGCATCAAATAAGACGGCAGATTGCTAACCCTGCTGCCTGAGCTGTTCCATTCATCCATAGTCATTACAGTGCAGTAAACTCCGATTTAAAGGAGCATTTAATTATCTCCACTAAGTGTCCACAAGGGAGATGTGGGATAGCAGGGATCCCTTAAGGAACAGATTGGACCGACTAACTTCCTTCCACATCCAGCCACTCTTTCTTTAGATGGCAAGTGGCATCCTTTTCTGAACTTTGCCTGTTCTGGGGATCATTTTCTAGTTTGCAATCTGGAAAGGAATAAATCTCAGACAGTGCAGCATAATGAAGGCTTTCAATTTGCTATAGTTGCTGTAGTTTTAAAGTAACCCAGCACCTCAGGAATAACCTATTAGAGTTCCTAAAAAAAATGTTGACTAATAAAGCAAATGTAGGCTTAAAATGCCAAGCTTATTTTTCAGTTTGACATTGAAAAATAATTTCAATTTGCTTTATTAAGTGATGCTATAGTTTCTCTTTTTTCCCCTCTTGGTTTAAAAAGGCTTTTAAAATTGTGTTTGTACATAAAAGTTAGTCCAGCATAGAATTTCTGAATATAGGATTAATAGGGTTTCTAAAAGAAGTTGCTGGAAAGATAAAATGATATATTCTGTGCATTTCCAGAGAAGGACTATTAATGTTAGAATTTCATAAGACTTATTTTTTTATTCCCTTATATATTTGCATAATTTAATTCTGCCCATTGTCCCAAATCTCTTATGGCTACTTTACCTGTTACCTTTCTTTGGATTTTGTTTTTTACTTTTTACAGTTACCTTTGAGCCTGAGGAAATATGGTATTTCTATTCACTTCTTTCAGGGTTTCAAAACTGTTTGTTCATTTATTCATTTCACCCATTCATTTCCCATCATTATGTAGTTCTATTTTAACCTATATATATAGTGCTTTAAATATTTCTTTGTTATTCAACATGATAATAAATCCTTCTCTAAAGAAAAGACTACTTTACTTTACTTGAAGGAAAGGGAATTTATTGGCAGGATATTGAGTAGCTTGCAGAGTATATGGGAAAGGGAAGATGAAGGTTGGAACCAACAGAAGTGAGAGAGGCAAGACAGCTGCCTGCACGGCCTGATTAGGGCACCATTGGCTGCTGCCACTGGACTCCCCATATGGGCAACATATTGTAAATATCATCCACCCAGTTAGTAAGTTGGCATGAATTTTCTATAAAACACTTTGACTCCCATTTGCAGTTAAATGTCTACTTTTTATGCTCAAGTATATTTTTCCTTTCACTTTTATGTTTTCCTCTAAAATTGCCACCTAAATACTTCCCCTCCCTTAAATGTATGAAGTCAAGATGAATTTCTCCTTCTTGCTCTACTAGCTTTATATAAGAATCAAACATTTCTATGGAATAATAGGGCTCAATGTGGGATTAAAGCTTTTCTTCCCTTCTCTGACATATTTTCCGAATGCAAAAGACTACTCTGATTTTGGATGAGCAGCTTTTCTCCCAGTGTCAGAGAACTAAGGACTTTCATAAACAGCTTCCTCTGTTTATTGTATTGTGAGGTGCCCAGTCTGCTCTTAGGAAGATCAGCTGAGAGGCAGCGGCCCATCTGAGCAACTGTGCTGTTAAAGTACCGCTGCTGGGAATTGTTGGCACGTGCTGGTAGCATATGCTTTGTGGGGCAGGTGCTTTTAATTCCAAGAGGAGCTTTTCTGCCACACCTGCAGATGTAGAGCAAAAATGTAACAAGACTTCAGAAAACAGAAGATAGTATTTCTATTCACATTTTATTCATTGCTTTGTTAGATTCCCCAAAATGGAGTATCTTGTGGTTGTTTGCAAGCAGAAAAACAAAACAAACATTCAAAAACAAAAACCTGCTGAATTAGTATTTGGGTCTTTTATATCCATAGCCTGATAAACAGTAAGCATCCTCACTATGAGAGCTGAGAGATGCTTCCAGAACTTTCCTACTTTTAAAGTAGCTCCCTCCTCAGTAGCTATGCAGCCCTTTCCCCCTAATTAGGAATTTTCACTGTTGTGAAGACCAGTCCTTATTTTGGCTAAAGTGGCACTTAGGAGGACCCCAGGGGTGCAGAATAGGGGTGGTGGGCATCTTTAGTCTTCTCCAATTGGCACGGTGGCATGGATTATGCAACTTTGGAAGTCACTGACAGATGGGTCCTAAGAGTGTGAATTTCAGGATGGGGGGAGATAAGATAAAGCAGTAACCTTTGAGAGGTCATGAGGCATTTAGTCCTGGCATAGGAGCAAGATGGACAGCCACATGAAGATCCCTGAAGCCAAGTGAGTGGTCACTGGGGGCTTGGTGGGGAGAGAGGTGCTGGGTGCCTAAGAGAGACTTGTGTGCTTTGCATTTTGAATTTGGCTCTGTAAATACCTCAAGGTGTAGTCCATGATAGGCCAGTCACTCCACCTCGAGTGTCCCTGTTGCATTGTTCATAGAACCTGTATCATACTGGAGGTGCTTCAAGGCTAGCACAGTTTTGGTCAGGTGACCATCATTTCATGTTCTTGAAATCAAAACCAGGCAAAAATGTGTTTTGCGTTTTGTTTTAGAAAAAGGCATACAATGAGATGAAGCGATCTTGTTAAGATGAGGCATACACAAAATCATCAAAGTTTCAAAGAGTTTATGGAGGGTATTTTCCTCTATTGTTTGAAAATACATATATAATACCAACCTGCATTCACCTTAGGGCCTAGCCTCTTATGAATTCTCAGACTATGATTTGTGTTTTGATGGTTAAGCTCTAACATAATGCAAACAGCCCCAAATCTTTAAATATAGCGGTGCTAAATTATACCAGATAACTCAATATAGAAAGTGCTGATATGAATTAATACTTAGTAATAATACAAGAGCTCTTGCTAAATTATACATGTGTATCACTGCCTGATTAGAAACCCCACTTTTGTTTTCTAATCCAGCACACACAAAAAAACTGTGATTCTACAACCAGTCTTTTTAAAGTGTAAAAATGACCCAGCACCTTTGTTTTGTATGGAAAACTGGTTTTTTTTCCTTAAAAAAACACTACAAAAATGCTTAACAAAAGGTTTATTCAAGATAAGCATGTACTCCTTTTTTAACTTGCTGGGAGACTCGCCCCTCCAAACTAGCATCCCAAAAAGACTTCTTTCAGAAACTGCGTGTTCTACCAGTTTCTGTTGGCCAGTGTAAGTCTGTGCTAATGTTTTCCACATCGATCATCTTCAACAGGCAATGTCCATCTGCAGGTAGTGGAAGCCACCCCATCGGAGTGTTAATTGTAGCATGATTTCACTTTCGCTAATCAGGTAATCGTGTATATATTTAGATTCGCACCATTTTAACATTTCTCTGCTACTTTGCACTTCAGATTCTTAAGCTACTTTAAAAATTACTGGGTTTTGGCAAACACCAACAGAAATGTATATGGCAACTGCTTTCTTGAGCGTGATTTGTTTTATGGCTGTTCAAGTTATAACACTGTTCTCACACTGTAAGTAAACAAAATCTTGCTGTTTTTAAAGGTCACTGTATCTTGAGATTCAAATTTCTGGCACAATTTTATTAGTATTCACTAATAAGATACCACAGTTTTCTATGTTACTCTCATTGTAACATCAATAAAGTGACTTTCAATAAAAGATTTATGTTATTTTGATGCACGACTCCCTTTTCTCCTAGCCAGTTTTCAGTAGCTTTGTGGGGGTCTATTCAGGGGTTTTCTGTTCCACATGGGACCATTAACATGATGAGAAATATAAATTTGTTAGTGAAGTATGAGTGCTCAATTTGTTGAATAGTTACCTCATCTAGGTGACAAAAGTAGTTTCCTCCACTTATCAACTTGCCCCTCTTCATAAACTTTCTTCCTCACCCTAAGGAGGATCCATTTCCTATGTCCTGTCCTATCACGCAGGCAGCAGTGCTTAATTAACACGCTCACTTGTGCTGGATTCTACAGCATGAGATTAGGTTCTTGAGTTCACTGCCAAAACAACATACCTGCCAGTCATTATTCTGGCATTTGCAGTTTCTTTGCCTTCGGCTCAAAAGCAGTTACAAGTAGTTAAGGTGCTGTTTTAATGTGAGAAAAATAGAAGTCGTTGACAACAGGTTTGTACATTTATTATGAGATTTAAAAAGCTTATAGTGATTACATATAGCTCCATTTCTTGTATTTATAAGATTTTAGGCATATAATTGACTTAAATGAACACTGAAATAGGAGTACACTCAGTTGTGCCAAAGCAAAGTCTAGTTCACAGCAGACGTTTTAGTTCACGTGACATCTCATGGACTGATGGTACCCACCCCTGGAACATGCGCTGAAGTACAGTCTAAACTCCAATTTGGCTCAATAGGGGGGAGAACTTTAATAGGACTGTTGTGATACAAACATATGCCAGCTGTCCCCAGGAAGCACCAGGCCTCTAGCAGCCACATTCCTACAGAAGCCCATGAAATGTGTTATAAATCACTGAAGTATTCAAGTTTGAGCTCACAGCTTTACCATGCTCCAACTAGAATCTTTAAGAAAAAATAAACAGACCAGGAAACAGTTTTAAAGTAGCCAGCAAGGCTGCACTAGAAGTATACGATGAATGAAACACAGAACCTGGCATGAAATAGAAATAAGGCAACATGAGATTCACTTGTAAGGAAGACTTTGGCTGTAATTAAAGGGGATGGGTACGTTAAATTTGTCAAGGGGAAGGAAACTAATTGCTGGAACCTACTGAAGACTATGCTTCATGCTTTTGGAAAGAAACTGAAAGCAGAAGTGGAGGAGGTAGGGAGGTTTCTTCCAAGGGCTCAATAATTAAATTGAATTAACTGAATGATTTGAGAGGCATGGTTTTGTCATAATACTTTAGCACTTACCCAAAAGCAAATTCAGAACGATGACTGATGCAGCACACCTTGGGACTTACCAGAGCATTAGGATGGTTCAAATATGACCCATAACCTTGGGTCAGCAAGGGCCTTCTTCCCTACCACTTACCCTCATGCAAGAAATTGCCATTTCCTTAAATTATGATTTCCTCAGAGGATCCTGGTGTGTTGAAACGAATAGCAGGTGCTGGGACTCTGAAGGTGAGCTCTCTGCTACCTGATCCTCTGAGCCCCTTGTGGGTCCACTTCTGGACAGCTCAGGCTCAAGCAAAGCTTTGTGGCCTCACAGACAATATACAGGTATGAAACCTAGAGTCACAGTGTAATATACAGCAGGCTGCTTCACATGCTGATACGTAACCTGGGCATAGCTACATAATTATATGTTAGCGTTGAATAAATATTGAATATTTTAGCAATATTTGAAAAAAAGTATATTAGTGAAATGAGGCTAAAAATGTTTTATTTTCATTGGTTGACAACTAATTGTTCAGATGAATGGTAAAACTCACATTGTGCCCTAGAATAAGGAAGACACTCTGCTAGCAAGGAGAAAACAGACTAATTTTATCTGTTAAACTCTGTAAAAACAAAACAAAAAAAAACAGGCCAGTTTTGAAACATTTTTGGTGCTTGTCATATCGACACACTTTTTCAAATTCAGAACTACCCCAAGAGGTATCATCTCCTTTTCAAAGATGGAGACACTGAGACTCTTGTGGTTATCCACAATGACCAAACCATATATTCGGGGTCACAGTCAGCATTAGAATCCAGACCTTACTGGAAAACCCATGGCTTAAACTTTTTAAAAATTTTTTCATTACAAATGTAATCCCTGCCTTATGAAAGGATATTTGGAAAAGTAGTAGGAAGGGAGAAAATGGACTCATGATCCTGACTCCCAGTGGTAGCTACATCAACATTTTGGTACACTCTTTCCGGTCTTCCTGATGTGTATATTTTAAAATTTGTGAACATATGGCATATCAAAATGTATCAATATTTTTAAAATTAACATCTTAATTTTAAAAGGAAAACATACACATTAAAGAAAATTTGGAAAATACTGAAATATATAGAAGGCAATTAAAGTCACCTAGAATACCATTAGCCAAAAATAACCATAGTTAATATTTTATATATTCCCTTAGTCTTTTCTTACTAATCGTTTTTATATAGTTAAGTTTATAATGTACAAAATTTGTAAGTATAAAGATTTAAATGGATGGTGACAAAGAGGGCCTCGGTGACAGTTATCTGCCACTCAAATTATTCAATAGACTTTTAAAGAGGCAGAAAATAATTATTTGCATTCCCTTATTCATTCATAAGGCCATTAAAATACCTGTAAGTCTTAAAGCTTGTGCTAAATTTCTACTAAGGTGAAGCCTGACAGAGATTACCAATTTTTTTCATCTAAGTGAGTCTAAATCATTTGTATAAGGATACTTGACACATAAAACCTTTAATACCACATTAAACCCCTCCAAGAGACAAAATATAACAGCTGTAGTCTGATTCAAAGTTTCTATTAGTATCTCATAGTCAAAAATAATGTGCCTTAAACATTTTGCATACTTAAATTTACATAAAATAGGGTTAGCAAGAAAATGAGGCATGATTGATTGATCATGGCTCAAGGAAGTTCTAAATGGTGTAAAAGACCATTGATTTTATATTATTAAAGTTCCAAAGAATTTATTATCAAAACTAAAAACAAAATTTCAGTACATAAAGTAATAAACCTTTACACTAGCTGTTAAGGGAAAGTGGCAATGCAAGTTTACACACATTACTGAAGGCAAAGTAAGGGTGAAGAACTCCAGTTGGAATGTCGATTATATTCACGCAGCTTCTTGATTTAAACACTCATGACACACTGAATGAACTAAAAGAGAGAAAAGTCAGTATTCTATTGACCTCAAAACAGTACACCATAGCCTATCTTCAGGCAGCTTATGTTTTGATTTTCTAATTTGAATTGTGGGTAAGAATAATGCAATTTTCTGAGGTCTGAGTAAATGATAAATGGGAAGTTTCTTTTAGGAAAGGAGTCCTAATATAAAATTCAATGGGATTCTCACATCAAAACTTCTTACAGGAAGCAGATATTACTCCAATGTATAAGGAATTATTTAAATTCCAAATAATATCTAAGACTCTAGAAATGGTTGTGGTCAAAGGTACCCCAAAATACAATTAACTGGAGTTTATACTGTTGTATCACATGAGAATTTCTTAACTGTACAGTATTACCTGACTACTCTAATGAAGCACTTTTAAACAGTTTCTTCTCTTAAAATCTGCTTTATTAAATTAAATCCTGGCATGCAAATATATATATGCACAGAAACAGAACAGCTGACCAGTCATTGGCAACTCAGAAACCTGAGTTTAGGAAGCATTGGTATTTGAAATGTTGGCTTCCCAATAAATACTCAGCAATAGATTCTGCTTTTTGTATCAATTTTTTTACTTCCCCAACACTAGTAAGATTCTTTTTTTTTTTTTTTTTTTGAGACAGAGTCTCACTCTGTTGCCCTCACAGCAAGCAACCTCAAACTCCTGGGCTCAAGTGATCCTCCTGCCTCAGACTCCCAAATATCTGGGACTACAGGCGTGAGCCACAATGCCCGACTAATTTTTTTTTCTATTTTTAGTAGAAGGAGTCTCGCTCTTGCTCAGGCTGGTCTCGAACTCCTGACCTCAAGTGATCCTCCTGCCTCAGCCTCCCACAGTGCTAGTATTACAGGCATTAGCCACCACAGCCTGGCCTCTCATAAGATTCTTAAGGTACTGCTAATCCTTGCAGCTCTTCCACAAGGCCAAGCTGATTATCCTTATTTTAGAGAAAAGGACACTAAGGATCACGATGTTTAGAAATTTTTTAAGTGGCTCCATCTGAGGCTGAAACCCATGCTCTTTCTATTCCCTAGGCAGCCTCTTGATCTCTGGAAACAGTGATGAGACTATCAACTGAGAAGTAACATGAAAGAGAACACACCCTTAAGCAGAAGAAAGCATACTGACACACACTAATCCTTTTAAAAGTGTACTTAAAATTACCGCAGCTGCTAAACCAAAAATATGTGCGTCTTAATATTTTGCAATGGAAAAACATTTTAGAATATCCAGTGATTTCAATTCTGAAAGTTATCTTTAAAATCAATGGCTAAGCAAAAACTGACCAAATGACTAAATATCTCCCTAACTTTGTTATGTACCATGTTTCCCCAAAAATAAGACCTACCCATAAAATAAGCCCTAGCAGGATTTCTAAGCATTTGCGCAATATACGCCCTGCCCCAAAAATAAGACCTAGTGATGGGTGTGGCTACGCAGCGTATCTGCACAACTTATGCATTTTGTCGCAGAGTGGTAAAGATGAGCAGCCCTTCTCATCTGCCCCATCATGACAGCTACTATCCCCCAGGGGTGTCTGGAAAGGTGCAGGCAGCCCCACCAACAAGGTCGACTCCCTGTCAGGTCCCAGCCATCCTTTGTGTGCTGCAAGCTGAGGTTTTGAGGGGAAAATAACACATCCCCTGAAAATAAGCCCTAGGGTACCTTCTTGAGGAAAAATAAATATAAGACCTTGTCTAATTTTTGCGGAAACATGGTATGTCCAACTAATGCCATTAAAGATGGCACTTGGTTATGTTTATAGTGGCTAATTGGCTTTAAGCTACTATATTTAGCATGGCTGTTTAGTACATAACTTGTTTTAAATTGGGATTTAAGTTGATACCTGCCTTACATTATCAATGAAGAACACAGGTGTACAAAGTACATCTTTGAGCTGTTAAAACTGCTTCTCAAAAATTGAGATGCTTTGTTTATAGAAGGCAAAAGCAGACACAATATCTGCATAGTGTTTTTCAAGGATATATCTGGTAGAAATCTTATACCAGCTCAGCGACAAAGATATTTTTACTACATCCTCTTTATTCAAACAGTCAGAGCAGTTAAGAAACCTGCTTAAGTGACCCAGCTAATAAATATAACAAACTGGATCTTGAACGTAAGTCTCTGAGTTCAAATCAAATAGTGGTATAACTATGGATAAGATTAATGAATAAAATTAACAAATTTTGGATAACTTCTTCTGATCATTTAATCCCTGATTTCTCTGGCATCTTTTAGATTTTTTTTTTTTTTTTTTGAGACAGAGTCTCACTTTGTTGCCCAGGCTAGAGTGAGTGCCGTGGCCACGTCAGCCTAGCTCACAGCAACCTCAAACTCCTCGGCTCAGGCGATCCTACTGCCTCAGCCTCCTGAGTAGCTGGGACTACAGGCATGTGCCACCATGCCCGACTACTTTTTTCTCTATATATTAGTTGGCCAATTAATTTCTTTCTACTTTATAGTAGAGATGGGGTCTTGCTCTTGCTCAGGCTGGTTTCGAACTCCTGACCTCGAGCAATCTGCCTGCCTCAGCCTCCCAGAGTGCTAGGATTACAGGCGTGAGCCACCACGCCCGGCTTTTAGATGTTCTTAACAGCTAACTTCAAAAGGCATGCCCACCTTATGTATGTCTTATCCATCTACTTAGCGCTTAATTTACTGAGACTTACATCATCATATGGGAAATTCACAACACCTTGCTGAGAAGTATCCCGTCTTCGAAAGCTGTCTGTAAAACACAGAAAAATGTATATTTTTTCTTTAAATATCTTTTCTAAAATCTCTATAATTATTTTGGCATTGGGTTCAAATTTCAGTAACATTTAAATTGTATAACGAGTCAATATAAACAAAAGATCAAAGCAAAGAAGCCAATTATATAAATACTGAAAGATTTAATATGCAATAAAGTAATATAATAGGCAGAAATCAGCCACCTATCTTTTACAATGTGGAGCTGGAAGAAAATACCTTATCCTAAAGTCAGTAAAAGCTGTGCAACTTCTGAGGCCATTACTTGTGATGAAAACATGGAATTTCAAACTTCTTAATAACATATATATTGCTTAATTAGGAAATAGATGGATAGTGTCCCTAATAGGACAAGTGGACTGTGATCAAATATCCTACCCATTTTAGCTATGACCTATTGAAAAGGATTTACTTTCACTCTTTTCAAATATTTCACATTCTAGGGAGAAATCACTTATAATCATAATCTGACCAAAATGTAGAAAATTACCTCGTTATGTTTTGGAACATTTTAGTAAAATTTAGTTAAGCTTATTTTAATGGCAGATTAATAACTAATATAAAATTCTGAAAAAACAAAATTATTCTGCTAGCTATGCTTAACAGTAATGTTAAAAATCTAAAGCAAGAAAAAAATTGAATGGAAAGAATAAAAGTTCAGAAGTATTGAAAAATGAAATGGGTGTCATAAAAACTGTCTTCTTGGCTTGTGGTGATGACAGGATCACACAGAACACACCTGTGAGAGCCCTCAGTTTGACACAGCAGGCAATGTAGTCATCGAAGGTAATCTTTCCATTTGTGCTGTATCGTTTTGCAATTGAATTCACAGCCTGGGGACTCAACCTAAATCCTGAAAAGAAAAAAAAATCATCCAGTAAAAATGTTAAAGGATTGCAAACAAAAACAAAAACCAAATCATTAAAAAGAATCAAATGTAATTTTTTAAGACTGTGAACTCATTTTTATGAACACATACAACTTCTAAGGAAACAGAAACTGCCTTCAAGTAGCATTTACTTTTAGAAATAAAAAACTGACTTCTAGGCCGGGCGCTATGGCTCACGCCTGTAATCCTAGCTCTTGGGAGGCCGAGGTTGTTGTCAGGGCCTTCTGCAATTCTTGAGGATCCACTGTTCCACTCCTATCGCTGTCAAAACTGATGAAGTGTTGTCTCCAGCCATTCAGTACAGACCAGAGTTCTTTAAATTCATTGAAACCCATTGTGCCAGACATATCTCTCTGAACTAGAATCAAGGATCAGGGCTTCTTTATTTGGAACATTTTCTAATGATTAAGTGAAAGATCAGGGATAAGGGGAATTTAATGTTCTTTATGGTCAAAAACTAGTTATTGTATATTCTTTGTATGATATAAAAAGAGCAATGATAAAGAAAAATAATAAAAAGAAGCTATGTAGAAAAAGCTCTGAGTACCAATTTTTACTGTGAATAAAAGATAACCCATGTGATCTGATTACAAGGAAATAACATCACCACGGTGAGCCACCTGTAAAAAGCAGTCTGGTTACTGGAACTGGGCTGTACTTTCTGGGTGCCCCAGGCTATGCCGTTTACCCTTCTATACTAGGGTCATCTTTGGCACTAACATTCTCTTGTTTAGTCCTCCAAGACCCAAGGATTTCACTTTTGGAGAAAGAGGTGGGATGGAATACACCACAGGGTCAGCACTAGCTAAACTGAGTCCAATAATTGGGAAGTGAAAAAGCCCATCACTTGAAGGTCAGGTGTGAGTCAGGCAGAGCAATCAATGTTAAAGAAAAAGCTTCCCTGACACTCTGGTTTCTATACTCTTTCTACTTTGACGCTTCCTTGAATTCCTAAACAACTAACATTCCATTTACTAAACTTCCCTTTTTCCTACCAAATTACATTCTAAAAGCGAATTATTTCAGAAAGCTTTTTAGTGGTCATTTTGTGTTTATCGGTATTACTTCTGAGATTAATTCCTTTAGGAAATTTTTTTGTCAAGAAAAAAACATTCTAGACAACAATCAAGATAAAGGATACATCCAGCATTGAAACCATAAGCCGACAAGTCTCCAGGTTAAAAGCTGTTAAATTAAGAAAAGTACATACATATTAATTTCAAAAATTCACATTACATATGATACATTCAAATTAATTATAAATGTGATTATTTGTACACTTTTATTTTTATATACTACTTAATTTACAAGTGACTAAATTATACGGAGCTTCCAAGTAGATTTTTTCCAGATTTTTAAGGATTTCTAGAATCCAGATTTGATTTTGATATAGAAATCTTTAATTCGCCATAATGTATTATATTCACCATGGTAGATGGGAAAGTAGGGTTGCTTTGTTCCTACTCATAAATGACTGTAAATAGCTGGTTTTGCTAATTTTGTTTTTCTGTCTTTTCCTTTAATGTCAGTTACTGAGCAGTGACCTTCTACCTCAAACAGTCTCCTCTTCATTTATATATGAAACCAGATAAATATGCTTGTTAGAATCGTGTGTTTATTAAGAGCACCCTGGAATGAGACCCAATCACCAATTCCGTGGTGGCCATTGTTCATTTTCGTTTACCTATAATTTGGGAGCATTCTGAGAGCATCTGTGTACCTCACTTATGCAATCAAACCAGAACACACTCAATGGTTGTAGCCTACTGGTTCTCAACCCTGGTGCTAATCAGAATCACCTGGAAGCTTTAAAGGATCCCGAGACTGCGTTGCATCACAGAACAATTAAATCAGCGTCTCTGAGCATGGGACCCAGGTATCAGTATTTTTAGAAAGCTTTTCAGATTATTCCAAATGAGAACCCAAGGTTGAGAACACCATTCTACTCAAAGTGTGATTCCTGGACCAGCCATATCAGAATCACCTGGGTGCTTGTGAGAATTGAAGAATCTCAGCCCTTAATCTACACCAATAAAGTCAGAATCTGAATGTTAACAAGATCCCTTTAAAACGACATATATTCACTTTAAAGCAGCCGGTTCAAGCGTCTGGACCAGCATCACATGGAAATCTGTTATAGGTGAAATTCTCAGTCTCACCCCAGACCTCCTAAATGAGAAACCTTAGGGAGGGTCCCAGCAATCTGGCTTTGGAAGCTTTCCAGGTGATGCTGATGCTGCTAAAGTTTTAAGAACCACTCTCGAGAAGGCTTGACAATCACAGGACAGAGCCAATTGTTTGGCTCACATCAAGGTTTCTGAGGGGCTGTGAGGCAGACAGCTTCAATGTCTCCCAGTTTTATGAATAACACCACCATCCACTCAACAGTCACCCAAGCCAGAAACCTGGAAGCGTCCTCAATTCCCTTTCCCCCCATACTCAAATCACCCTCTAAACAGCCCCACTGTCTTGGTTTAGTGAGCATTTCTCTCGCCTGCATGACTCCAACAGCTCCCAGTGGGTATCCCCGACTCCCATGTCCCCAGTTTAGTCTTTGCCCTATAGCCAGGGGTGGTATGTGCTGACCTGTGTGAAACCCAGTGTCCGTGTTCTACTGTCATCAGGATAAAGTCAAACACCTTGACTGGCATAAGGCCATATACTTACCTTCCCATCCAGCTAGTCTCTTACTCATTCAACTGCCTATACTACGTTCATGGGAATTTTTCAGTTCTTTGGCTGAACTATGCTCTCTCTGGGTCTTTTGCACTTGAGCTGTTCTATCTGCTTGGAACAAAACTTCCCCATCCCACTCACTTCTTGGGTAGCCTCATTTCTGCTCTACCTTCTCTTCTCCTCAGTTTATGTATAAATTCTGCAAGGAAAACTTTTCTGATTCCTGTCTGGGGTATGTGCCCATCCTATGTGGTCCCACAGCTTCTATCCTTGCTTATCTGAGTGCTTTTTACAATGCTCCACGGGCATTGTTTGTGGCTGCACACCCAGACCTGGCACATGGACGGTGTCCATTGTCCAACTTGTTGGCTGGACAAATGAATGTGCTGATAAGACTGAATTCTCATTGCTATGCAGGAAGCTGTATACCCATGCATTTTATATGAATACCCCTCTCAGTTTAAGGAGGAATGTTTTTTGAATAAAATTTTCTGATTTTTACTGATACTTAAAAGTAATCTATAATTTCAAATCAAAATACCAATGAGGGTATAGGGCAATGATTTTTGCATTTTAGAAAATTTTCCATACCCATTAACTCAATAGCCACCCATTCAGTACTTACTGGGTACAGGGCTCAGGATTCCAAAAACTTTGTAGATATAAATGTGAAATTGGATACTGTCCTGCTGACAGTCTAGGGAAATGGTAAGTCGTACACACCATACAACTCTAATGAAGGCAGAGAGCAGTAAATCATAACAGAGGTACCAGAAAGTACCAGGAGGTTTTGGGGAGTAAGAGGTTCCTCCTGGTAATCAGGAAATCTACAAAAAGAAGGTAAGATTTCAGGAAGGTAAGAAATCAGGAAGATTTCATAAAAGAGGTATCATTTAAGCCAAGCCTGAATGACAAAAATGACCAGGGAGAGGACATTTGGTGACAGCTAAGGACCAATGTAAGAGAGAAACAGAAGGTCCAGGGCAGGCAAAGAGTAAGGGAACAGCTCAATGTAACCTGCAAAGAGCACAAAGGAAGTGGGAGGAAACATGGTTGGTTAGACCAGGCTGCACTACAGAGGATCTTGAATTCCTTCTAAGCTGTTAGCCTTTCTTTTATGGGCACCAAGTAAAGATTGTTGGAGGAGGACAGTGATAGGTTAGAACTGTGGGTGAGGAAGTTCAAAATATGGTCACCTTTTTAAGAAGGATCTGAAAGGGAGGGAAGGCAGTGGACAGTGAACAAAAGGGAACAATTTATCATTCCAGATAGTTCTAATGAACTAGAACACATATGTCCAGTAAGTTTGGATGAGAAAACCTCCTGCTCAGTTTTGTTAATTATATTCCCTCAATAGCTTTTATTAGTCCTATTTCTATTTTAAATAATTTCAGAAGAATCTTTGCTGTAATTTTACCTTTACTCTTTCTCCTTCTCTTCTGTTATTCTACTAGAATGCCTCAAACATCTTTTCTTCTAGTAGAAACACAATAGGCCTAGCAGGAAAGCCATACCTCTAGCTGTTTCTGTCAACCTTACCACAGCGGAACAACTAAACTTAAGGGAAGAAGAGAAGCTGAATTGCTATCCTGTAGACTAGAGCAACTTCTCTCGCGAACTCTACCTCTGGGTGTGACTGTTTATTTTTAAACAGATTAAGAAGAGACCTGTAGGTACTAGGCTGGAGTATCCCACCCACCCACTTTGGATCTGTGCTTTCTGGTTTGTAAGCTGGGACCAGGTTTAAAAGACTAATGGCTGTATGATTTCTGTATTACAAAACTCTGGCACCTCATAAGAAGGGTGGTTCTGTGGTTCGTTACAGTCACTAGAAAAGATTAAGCAAGTCAACTCAATTCCACGATCCCCATGACTCAGGAAGTATCTTCTCTTTAATGAATCCATCTAAGGCCATCACTAAAGTGGCTTTCTCAAATGAAAGTTTTAAAAGGACTGTTTTCTAAGAATATGTAGCCCGCTTTGTTAGTCGGGTTTTTAACTCTGCCACACCTCTTCTACTGAAAGGCTGCAGAATAATAGTCTATGTTATGGCCTCACCTCATTTTGGCAAACCCTGCTAGTAGAACTTTCTCGTTCACCATCTCAACTGCTTGAGATTAACAATTTAAATGTGCTGCCTACAACAGTAAAAAAAAAAAAAAAAAATCCCTAGTCCAGAAATGTTTCTTTTGTTTAGGACGAGATTAAACGACAGAAACTCAAGTTTCTTCTTTTGTATTAATTCATTCCAATTAGGAAACAGTAATAGGATATTGAAGTCACACAAAACAAAGGATGATAAAAATAGAAACACAAATGGTTCAAAGACAGCCATCTAGTAAACATGTCAATGTCAGTCCAAAAATGCCACTATAATTCCTTAGGTGTGAATTCTAGTTTGAGCATTTTAACTGAGCTTACCATGAAATTGGGGCTTCAATGTGATGTTCTGTCCCAAAACAACTGGCAGAGAAGTTGGCAGGTAACACACTATTCTCTACCCTGGAATTCTGTCACGGTGAAGATTTGATTTGAAGAGAAAACGTGTGGTGTGCACAGAGGGAATGCACACCCACAATTGGGTGCAGCATCTTTGCACTATTTCTCTACCCGCAGCTCGTGGCAGAGAGCTCAAAAGGCAAGCAGGGCAGGTAAATGCTAAGTTATAGGGCATCAGGTCTAGCCTGCCAGGAACTGAGGAGAACTACTAGTGTAAGGGATTTCAGAAAGTAGAAAGCACTTCCTATTTATCCTGAACACATTCTCTGAAATGGTAAGAGGAAAGAAAGAGGAAAGACCTGGGAAATGTCATGACAAGCATTCATGTTGCCAGTAGTATACCCAGGGCTCTAAGGACCAGGACTGCAGGAATGGCCACTCAAAACACTAAGTGCCACCAGGTCCAGGGCAGAGTAGGCTCTTGGCAAATAGCAGTAAATGTAGCTCCTATCATTAATGACACCTGACCTGGCAGATTTCATTTCAGCACTTTACTTGTCCTCTGTGAAGGAGGCCACCCAAACTGTCTTTCACTGGTTCAAATACTTCCAGGTACATAAAATTCAAATCCAAGAAATCCACTAAGCTGGCAGGTAAAGTGGAATGATTTATATTAAGAACTGTTTTCAAATCAACATTTGGAGATAATAACTTAATTTAGCTTTTGAAATTTTAGATTTTGCTGGGTCAGAAAAGCTGTTTCCTTGGAGGCAATAATCACAAGGAACAGCTAAAATGTGAAATACAAGAGTACTTTTAGAGAAACTCTGGGACTGTCAACTTACGTTTGTATCCACCTGCAATGCCAGACTGTGTCAGACATCTCTGCAGTTCATCAGCATCTATTTGCCCATCCTTTTGAAAAAAACAAGAAGATGAATCACAACAGTGATTTGTACTTTTAAGTTGTTTATCTCTTGTATTCAATGCAGCAATAGTAACAAAGAAAATGAGTATCATGTATGAGACTTTTTTTTAGAATGCTTTCCAAAAGTGGATATTCTTTTCCGCATCCTACTTCCAAAAATAATTTAATGATGAAAGAGTCTGTTTTGTCAACTACTCTTCTCTTTGAGCTACAAAACTGCCAAAGCTAAGCATTTTAGATTACTCATGGAGTTGCTTAAAAATCATATTCCTCTTTTTTTTTTTTTTTTTTTTTGAGAGAAGAAAGAGAGTAGGTACACAGTAAACATCAGTAAATAGAAGGCTTGGTTCAAGCAGAAAGGGACCTCCTTGGTCAACATTTCTTATGATAGGGTCAATGTTTGTTTTTTTTCCAGAGCACAATTATATCTGGAAGATACAGGTTGGGTTCCCAATGCCCATTCATTGGCTAAACCAGGAAAGAACTAGATATATGTTATTTTTAGGGATTTAAAAATATCTATAACTAATAAAAAAAAGGAAACATGTACCTACAAAATATTAAATTATAGGCCGGGTATGGTGGCTAACGCCTGTAATCCTAGCACTCTGGGAGGCCGAGGTGGGAGGATCGTTTGAATTCAGGAGTTTGTGACCAGCCTAAGGAAGAGCGAGACCACGGCTCTACTATAAATAAAAAGAAATTAGCCAGACAACTAAAAATATATATAGAAAAAAACATTAGCTTAGCATGGTGGCATATGCCTGTACTCCCAGATATTTGGGAGGCTGAGGCAGGAGGATCTCTTGAGCCCAGGAGTCTGAGGTTGCTATGAGCTAGGCTGATGCCATGGCACTCTAGCCTGGGCAAGAGTGAGACTCTGTGTCAAAAAAAAAACAAAAAAACTTAAATTATAAAAAGTTCAGACTACTGTCTGACCACAACACAATCAAGTTACAACTTAAACAGCATAGCCTTTAAAACCCTAATTTCTGGAAGCTTAGTGAATGGTAATATGACTTCCTGAGGCTAGAGAAGCAGCAGGCTGGATGAAATTCAAAAATTGTTGTTTTGATAGTACAACAAAAACCTCTTGAATAAGCAATATGAGTATCATATAGGCATATTAGTGGGAGAGGTAATATCTTCTGTGTACCAGGTTTTATAACTGTGCTATTTTTCCTGCCTTTTACTAAATGTAAATGTATTTTTGTGTCTTCTTTCACAAAATGTTTGTAAGATTCACTATTTTGTTATGACTAGCCATAATGTATTCATTTTTGAGGCTGTATGACATTTGAATACATTTATCACAATGTATCTATTAAAAAATAAAACAAATAACCTAAATATTATATTGACTGGTATTATAAGTTATAAATGAGAAGCAGGATCAATAATTTGAAAGACAATGGGCATGCTGAATACAGGCCAGGGCTGCTGAAAGCTAAGTAGGTGGAGTCACTTACACACTGGAGGCACAGCAATCTAAGAATGTTAGTCTTGAGGTTTGCCATGTCTTGTGGTTTCAAAGATACAGATCATTAATAGATTAAGCAGATACTTAAGAGGAAAGTCTTCCAGTTTTAGACTCAATTTTCCATTCAATTTCTCAAGCTGTATTTCTTAGAGTGCTACTTTAAAAGGTGGTCTTAGGTTTTTATTCCATAATATTCTAATGAGTTTTCACATTAAGACTTTGCTATTTCTAGCTTCTGATCAAAACAAAACTAAGTTGAATTCAAAAGAATAAATATCCCCTTTGGACATGTCTCGGTTCTACCAACAGTGTATTTACTATACACAGAGACCTCATAAGCTAGGGAAGTGTCCTCCCTCAAGGTAAGTCAGCACCTGTCATTCAACTCAGAATGGAGAGAAGTAGAAGGTCTTGGGGAGCTGGTCTTAATTCTTTCTCTAGGTCAACAGGCCACAACACCTAATATGGTCATGGAAGAGCTGATCTAGTAACAGTATCTGCATCAAAGAGAAACTAAATTGTTCACAAGATTAACTTCCTTATACAAAGAAGAGAACAGTAACTTGCTTATTTAGAAGAAGGTTTTTACCATACATATCTATTTCCTAGGGTGAGTAAATGATTAACAATCAAATTCAACCTGAAGAAAGCGTTCATCAAAATCTGGATACATAATTACTAGTACATGTCTTTAAGTTGTACAAATAGAGGTTTATGTTCACCAGATCTTGACTTTCTTCTCTTGAAACCACCCTAGCCCTGACAATTCAGTTCTACAAACATCTTTCTATTTTACAGATCGTCAAAGTATATAATTCCCTATTCTGTTCAATCGAATTCAGTCACAAGTTTAGTTTTGAACCTAACTAACACAAGTAACGCTCTGTCCTAATTTGTTCTGAATAGTCAAAAATAAAAACTAAAATAATAAAGAACTTTCCTTCATTCTCTTTTTCTTTTGCAGAAACAAAGGGACTCTTTTCTGTGTCACTGTATCAAAAGCTAACACAAATGCAGAATACGACATTTCTTTAAGATTAAAGGAAAAGCTAACCTGTCCAGCTACAGCTGCAAAGTAACCATACAGCGGATCCTGGGTTTGTCCGGGAAATGTTGGCCCTCCAGGAGCCCCTCCGTACTGTGAAAAAGAAAACACAAATGCATCAATTCGCTGATCCGAGTTTTATTCTTTCACCACAAAGGGCTTTTGTGCAAAGCCAGGCCACCCTTCCAGGGTTTACCTCCCCACCACCCGGCACTCTCTAACTGCAATCACACCACGCCTTTCCTCCCTTCTCACTATGTACTTTAAAAACTGGCTACTTGGCCCAAAAATAGCAGTCAAGAAAGTGAAACCTGCACAGGTGAAGCAACTTTTAAAACCCCTATTAACCTGCAGATTACTGAGGTGAAAAGCAACCTAGGCAAGCAACTTAAGGGCAGGCAGGGGCTCAGAAATGATTTTTGTTTTTATAGCTTTTATGGTATTTCAAAACTGTTTTAAGTACCACGGGAGGCAGGAGTTGGTAAAATACTGAGACAGGTGTAGCCTAGGGAAGAGTAAGGCGCCTAGGCCAGCTGTATCTCGCGGGTGGCGAGGGAACATTCTGTCTGGGAAGCAGTTCCCAGGACAACGCGCATCCAGGACGCCCGGCAGCGAGGCGGCCTTCCCACAGGACTTTTACTCTAGCGGACTTTCCCTGATCTCTTCCTTTCAATTTTTTTTTTTTTTAAGGACGGTAGGTAGATCGCCGAACCATTCTAGAATAAAATAACTGTTGTTGTTTTGGGGGGGAAACGAGAGGGAGGGGAGGAAGCCATCACCCAATTAGCACTATTTCACGTCGCGTATCCGAGGGCCACAGGGTGGGCTTCCTGGGTCCCCGCCGTCTACCCGCGCTTGGCCCCGCGGACCACCCGTAGGGGAGAAAGGACGCAGGGAGACGAGGCCCGAGGCGGAAGCGCAGGGCCTAGGGCGAAGCCGCGAGCCAGTGAGGAGGAGCCAGGGGCGGGAGGCGCCCAGGAGCCGCTCAGCGGCGCCTCAACCCCGCTAGCCGCCGCGTCTCCGAAGGTCCCTCTCGGTGCCGCGAGAGCCGCCGGGCCGCGAGCCTGCGCGGGCAGCACTTACCCCGCCTGGGTAGTACCCGCCGCCCGCGCCAGGGTACGACATGGTGCAGTCTACACTGCCGCCGCCCTGCGCGCCCAACCTCCCGGCCGCGCGCCCCGCCCCGCCGCGCCCTGTGGGGGCCGCCCCCGAGCGCTCCACGGGCCGGCGGGGGACGCGCCCTGCCGCGGCCTGGCGCCCCGGGTTCCGCCCCCGCCCGCGGCTGCCCTGCCCGCGTTCTTCCGTGTCTTCGCCTGTTCTGTGCCCAGGCCGGGCGTGAGGGGAGGCCCGGTGGTGACCCGTGACCGGCGATGCAGTTCACACCAGCGTCTTTCCTCCCTTCGAAACTAATGGCACATTCCAACACCAGTACAGCGCCCCGGGAATTAGTTTTTTTCCTTCCTCTTTGGCTATTTTCTGGCACACTTATTATTTATACAACTTTATTGGGCAGGGCGGACCCGCATTGAGCTCAGTGCAGTATTGCAGAGAAGGGGCTGCATGCGTTAGAGCGAGTCTTACATGCCAGTGGGTGAGGGAGACAGGGAGAGATAAAAATAGGAAAGCGCCCTTGGAAAACAAGAATAAACTTGAGGGACTGTGTGCCAGGGGCAGTGTGGCTTGTGGTTGGTCACACATTTCATTGAACGACAATGGCGTATTTCCTGGCCAGGAGACAATTCATCGCTTGATTAATCTGGGCGTAGCTCGGATGAGGCCTGCGTGGACAGAGGGCATTTTCTGGGCAGGACAGCCTCGCCCAGATCGTTCTTTGGAAAATGTTTGAATTATCTGGATGATTCAGGCAGAAACAATCTCTTTCCCTAAAATTATTCAGCTGCATTTTTACAAGGAAAATTTTAGAGCAAGCTGTGTGTGTGCTGGTAGATATTTAGGAAGGTGTGAGAGATCAGAATTTCACTTTGATTACTCAGAAAATGTTTTTTCTTCAGACATTTTTCTTTTTCATCCAGTTGAACAGTTTGAAGCAATTCAGGTGTGAGATTTTTGCTTGGTTTTGTGTAATTTCAACCACACAGAAAAACTTTTTGTTTGCCCTTGACCGTTAAGGACTAGACTTAATGATTTCCTGAATGTTAACGTTTGAGAAATGTATTAATAAGTACGATTCACAGTATTTGCTGTAGAGGTTGCTCAGAAACATTGAAAGAGTCATCAGCATTTAAGAAATATTGGAGCACCTGCCAATGTGGTGCTGTACTTGTTCGTATGGTAGAAAGGGCCCCTCCGTGTTCCAATTTCCTGGGCTATGTGGTTCATTGTTTTCCTCTTATGTGTAATTTCTCTCTCAAGTCCTCTTTTTAGATACCCAAACTCCAGAAATGAAAGTCGTAAGTTGTGAGAAAGATTCTTACAGTTCCTGTTGTCTCACAGCAAACTATGTGTTGCCTGTTTTGTGTTTGATTCAGGAAGTAGGTTACTGTTTTCAAATACTGTAACACTCATCAAGGTAGGTTAGACATTTTATGAGTCCCTTAGCTTCTGTTTTGAAGCCTGTTTCTTCAGAAAGAGGTAACCAACTATAGATGGTGAGGGGTAACCTCAAAGTTGAGCATAATCTCAAGACTCAAGTTTGAAAGAAGCATATAGCATATAAAATATTTTGAAGTAATACAGAAGTAGCTTTATGGATAAATGACTATGCTAATTGTCATTTCTCTTTAAACATCTTTCTACTGCTAAAGGATTAAATTTTAATGGAGTGCTGCAAATGAAATTCTTACAATTATTGATAATAAATTGGTCAGCTGCTTCTGCTTTAGTTTATGAAAAAAATCCTGGCAAATAATAATAACAAACATATATAGTACTTAATATATGCCAGATCCTCATTTAAGCATTTTATGTATTTGCTTAATCTTCATAAAACCCCATGAGATAGGTGCTATTATCATCATCATTAAACAGTTGAAGAACAGAGGATCTCAGAGAATTTGCCAAACTGGAAGGAACACAGAGCTGAGATATGTTGCCAAGCCATCTGTGCTCTACACCAGGGGACAGCAAATTGTGTAAAGGGCCAAATAGTAAATATAATATTTTAGGCCTGTGGGCCATATAGTTTCTATAGCAACTATTCAACTCAGCTGTTGTAACCCACAAGTATCCATAGATAAATGGGTGTGGCTGGGTTCCTCATTTGACTTTCATATAATTTTCATATGACATGAAATATTCTTTATTTTTCCAAATGTTTAAAAATATAAATATTATTCTTATCTCCTAGGTATACAAAAACAGGAGGTAGGCTAGATTTGGCCATTGGGCAGTAGTTTACCAACCACTGCTGGAAACCCCTCTAGGATGCTGGCTTATGACTCTGGGAATTTAGCACTTTAGCAAATGATTTGCTGACTTTCAGGTAAAGCCTATGGGTAGAATACTGTCATTTGTCCTAACTATTTACTTAGTCCTAGAAGAAGACTGCAGGAGTGACACAGCCATGTCACTATGATTGAGGATGTGGCAGCAGCGTGGATTAGGGAGAAAGCTATACCAGGTTTATAGATAGGATGTGGGTCAGAGTTATTTTGGGAAGCCATTGGAATCACAGAAACCTTTGTGATCATTTACTCCAATCATGCTGTTCTACAATGAAGAAACCAAGGCTGGGAGAAGGCAAATGCCTGGCCTAAGCTCCTGAAGGGCAAAACTAGCCAGATATAAATGTTTCACCCTTCCCAATTAAAGCTGTGACATTATCTGAATATGCCTCTCAGAGAGAATCCTATTGTTTTGCGGTACACCCTCCTCAGACCATCTCTATTTTCAAGACAGGCAGTGTGGACACTCTTTCTTGTCCCTGGAGCAAAATTAATACAAAACACTACATATGGTATCATATCCAGGCAGAACGTCCTTACTCAGATAAGTGGTGAAAGAAATAGTGTAACTAACTGCAGTTATTTCATCATGTCCTGCAGATGAATTAATGAGAAGTCTTCATGTTTTAGGAAGAAATGAGCAAATAACATTTGCCAGATAAAGGTTTCGACTTTCTTTTAGTTCTGATCTCAGTGTTGCACCTCATAATTTAAAGACCTCTGCCTTAGAGAGATACTCGTATCTCCAAATATGAGTGGAAATGGGTGTTTGATAACCACATAGGTTACCAGTATATACTATCTCTATTTTCTTAAGATTGTTGGGAAGGAGTGTGAAGACTAGGATCTTCATTTGGGAATAAAAGATATCCTTTTTCTCTAACTCTCCAGAGTAAGAGTTCAGTTAATCATACTATTATGAAATCATTTTAAAAGTATAATAAAACTTCCATATTGATTGATATGCATGTATATAAAGTGTTTAATCAATTCCTGGCTCATTACAGTAGGTAATGAATCATCAACTACAGCTATTCAATAGAACTTCCTGCCATGATGGAAACTTTCCATATCTGTGCCATCCAATAACCGATCACATGTGGCTATTGAGGACGTGAAATGAAGAACTAAAATTTTTATTTAACTTAAATTTAAATAGCCATGTGGCTAGTGGCTACCCTATTGCACAGTGTAGGAAACTGCTTATCTGCATTGGCTGCCTCCTCCCTGGATCTCAGAGGAAGCAACTTCACTCTGCTTGCCTAGAGTAGGCATGATAAGCAAAATAAATCAGTTGTTCACAAAACACATCAAGGGCAGTCGGTCATAAGCCCTGTGGCAAATGCTCTCATGTTCCTATTTCTACTGAAGAAGTTCCTACTGACCTGTTCCTTCCTTTAGTGAAGCTCTTAGCTAGAATGGATGATCAGGGTTAACCAGAAGGCAGATTTTGAAAGATATGTGTGTGTCTCTGTGTGTGTACTCTTTAGTCATTAGAGCTGTCTAAAATCACCTTCCAATGATGAGCTCCCTGTCACTGGGGGTGATCAAGGCTGTCAGTTATGCTAAAGGGTAACTTTTTACTTTGCGTGGGGCATTGGATGAGATAATACTATAGACTACAAAGTATTTTCTAATCCTCTTCTTTTGATTTTACCCTATCATACCACTTAGATTATTCCCATTTTGCTGGATGAAGAAATTGAGGCTCTGTGACTTGCTCTAGGTTACCAGACTAATAGCATCAAACCAAGTATTCAATTATCATCTCACTTCAAATCTTTTCTGAATCTCACACTGTTATTTCAGGCCCCTTCCCCCCAAGATTCTGTAATTCCACTGGATCAGGAAACCAAGAACATGTTTGTTTTTTTCTTTTCTATTCCCAAGTAGAATGTGTTTCAGAAATCATAATATCAATTATAAGGGTTAACTTAAGCACAATTACTTTTTTTGACAAACAGGGCGTAAACATACATGGCTAAAGGGAGATCAAGATACGAATCCAAGAACAGGCTGCAATTAGTCTTTTCTGAGGCTTACACTGATTCTCAAGCCTCCACAACTTCTACTTGTGACCAGTTAGAGAGGAAAATGTTGAATACTGGACCTGTCTTCCTAGGTAGAGAATCACCCATGTTCCGTACCAGAGTTCTCTGAGGATGAATATTCCTAAGAACGTTGGATTAGTATATTACAAGGTGGCCTCAGCTCTAGAAGCTGGTTGTTTACAACCTGGGCATATTCTCCCATAAAAGTCACTTTATGGCTAGTTCCCAGGCAAGCCCTCAAAGAGTTTTTAAAGCCCTCAGTGTTCTGAAGAGAACTAATCCTGGAGCCAGGGTAGAGTGGGGTAGGGAAGAATCATTTAGGGCTGGTTTTCTGCCCATCCTTACCCAAATCTCCGTCCCTTTATCCTGCTAGTCCTATGTCACAAAGTTGACACAGAATCATAGGTGAAGTGGGCAGCCAGCTTGGGGGAGAAGGGAAGGGAAGGTGATACAGTCTCCATCTGTTCAATAAGTAGGGGAGAAGAGAAAAAACAAGAAAAATTCCAACTTATAGCCACGGGGAAGAATGACTATTCTAGTCTCCTAGGTACCTAGATGGCTTAGATACTCTAAAAAGCCAAAACTGAATGAAGTTTTTACATTAAGTCAGTCATATGTAGATTGGCAACTTCACAATTAAAAGTAAGATATCTTTTACTTCATAGATTTTTTTTCCCTAGGAAATTACTTGCCAGTTTTCATAGTACTGAGCAGTCAGTGGCAAAGCTGA